AAAAAAAAAGTTCCCAATCCGTCTATTTGGTGGAAGCGCCAGAGATAAGAAAAATCAACAAAACCAATCCGACACCGTTGATGCCCGCAAGCCAGAGTAAAAATGCACAAGTCTATATCGTTTCGTGGCGCGCATAACATAAGTTTTCAAGGCATAAAGAGGTTGCAAAGAAGAAGAGTTAGAACCGGTCTGCCAAGTCATTGCCAGCAACGGAATTGTTGGCTGACGAGTTCATGGAGGAAAATCCGGCCGCGGGGTTGAGCATGTCCTGCACCGCAACCTTGGGAATCTGGGGCACGGGCAATTTGCGCTGTGTGCCGTCGGGTTTCGACATGATGTCGGAAATGGTTGGGCCCATATGACCCTGGCTGGGGCTGTAATAATTGGGACCTTCTGGTTGCGGCTCCATAGGTGCCAGCGCAGGGGTGTGCTGGAGGGACAGGTGGCGAATCGAAGGCAGATGCAACTCGCTGGCACCGAGAGGGCGCAGACGGGGCGAGTGTGCAGGGGTGGCCAAAGGGGTGTGATCGGGGGTAGGGGACAGAGAATCGTGAGAGAAAGTAGGAGAAGAAGGAGCAGTGGAGTTGGGTGAGTTGGGACGAGAGCGCTTGACACGGTGGCCGTAGCCATCATCGTCATCGTTGGAATGCGAACGGGTCATGTTCTGCGAAATCGCATACGCGGAAAGCGAAGGGAGACCACGGCTAGTACCGTGATGACGAGAGCCAAACATTTGGTGTCCTCGCGAGCCGTGGAAGCCCATGTGGTCGTCACGCTCTACTTGCGACGCAGCTGTAGCCAGAAGGTTGATGTCCATTCCGGAGGAAGCACGCTCAGTGGTGCGAGAGTAAGGACCCAAATTTGAGCGCATGTGGTTGGCGTAGTTGGAGAAGGAGTGAGGAGGAGAAACGTCCGGAGACCCGACCTGCGAGACTGGAGCAGAGCGAGTGATGGGCTTGCTGGGAGGCGGCATCATGTTGGCAGCGTTGACCATACCAGTATCCTGGCCTGCAGCGGCCGCGGCCGCTGCCAGGTGCTGAGCCTTATTACTGCGGCGCGAGTTGGGGTTGTTGTGGATGCGCGAGTGGCGGGTTAGTTCGTCAGATCGACTGAAGCGCTTCGTGCAACCGGGGAACTGGCAGGCGTGTGGCTTCTCGCCAGTGTGCGTGCGGATGTGCCTCGTCTGGTGCTCCAGGCGGTGGAAGGCACGGTCGCAAAGAGGACACTTGTACGGCCGGGGGAGATCCTGGCGGACCTCCTCGGTCGCGGGGCGCGCACCCTTCATGAGAGGCGGTAACAAGCTAACTGAAGAAGCCATTGAAGAGTCTCCTGAAGTCGAGGGTGTCGAGTCGGGCGAGGCTTCGTGAGGATTAAGTAGATTTGAAAATCCTACTGAAGAAGCCGGCGGTGGCATGTGAATTTCCTGGGGCGGAAGGTTTGTTCTGAAGGGAGGACCGAGAACGGGTTTTATCGCAGGGGTCCCGAGCTAAGGTCGATCAAACACCCGGATTGGGATGGAAGGTCGATCGGGATCGGAGTGATGCGCAAATAGTCCTGATAGCTTGCTTTGTTGTAAAAACAAGTAGTCCAGTAGAGTTTGTGGGGAGGAATAAAGTAAGAGGGAAGGAAGAAGGATAAAAGGAACCTGGAGACGACGATCTGGGGAGTCACAAATAATATAGGGAATGGAGGGGGAAGGGAGAAATCGGGGGAGAAGGGGCAGTGTCGGAATCGGATTTGGAGAAAAGAAAATTCTGAAAAATTCAAGTTCAAAAAGCAAAAAATTGAAATTGAATTAAAAAAATCCATAAAATAAAAAATCAAATAAAAAAAATGAAGAGATTCTCAAGGTTGGAAGGCCAAGTGTGGGGGAGAAGAAGGGGACACTGGGGCAAAATAGGAAAAGTGGGAAATTTTGAGAAAAAATTCAAAAATTGGTAAAGTCCAAAAAGGGAAATTTGAAAATTAGAAAAAGAATAAAAATTAAAAAAGGAAAAAAAGACATACAACATACCCTTACTCAGGTGGGGGCATGCACATCGATCAACTTCATACGGAGTATACCTAGTTGCAACCTTGGAATATATAGATAGAATTGACTAATGAACTACCTAAATTCAAACGTATTAATCACTCTAATATGTAGCATATACCTACAAAAAGAAATCCAAAAGAAAAAAAGGATCAAGAAACTACGTAACTGCATAAAGCAAAAATGTGGGGACTCGCATTTTTGCTGAAGAACCGTGTGGCGTGAGGTGCGTGTCCCTATCCGGCTATCGCGCCTCTGGAGAATTTCTTATCAGAACATGGGGAATTTGGGGATTTCTACTGGCTTCTGATTTGGCCTATCTCGGGATGGCGAGCTAAACAGAGTGGATGATAAAAAAATGATGGGATGCGGAGAGCCGATGACGAGCAGAACCTGGGGTCTCCAGCAACTCCAGACTATATCATTATATGTACTCTTATATGTACGAAGTATACGAAGTACATATACATATAACTCTGAGATACTCTCCAAAAGGGTCAAAGTCTGGGAGTTACAGTCATTCTATGCCGGACCAGTCCAGACCCATGTACAATGGAGATCCTGGGGACCATCTGATCCTGTCACGGAGTGACGATAACGAGGATCATCGATGATGTCGACTGAATATCTCCAAGGCTAAATTTTGTAATCATTTAGTCACGCGAAAAACACAACAAATCAACAGGTCATCCAGTGCAAAAATGAGGTACGAAAATGACACGGGTTCACCCCCAATTGCTCTGCGGCTTCATCATCCGGAGGAATCATCCCCCCGAACCCTATATGGCATATTGAATGGTACTCCGTACAAAAACCCTGGGACCCTCGACTCAAGTTCGCCGACAATCCCCCGGATTTCGGGGTAAGATATGCTGGATTTCGATTTTTCCTTTTAAACAGACTCCTTAATCGATTGTGGAACGATAAAGCGAACCAACAGCGCTGATAGGCGCGGATCATCCAATTATTGATAGCCCTGATGCAGCTGCCATGCAGCCGCAAAGCCGCGTATCTCGACAAAGGGACCAGAGATGCCAGTGTCAGCCCCTGCACAATGAGCACTTGGCTGCATTCCTTGCACAATAAGAAACGTTATCCCCGACTGCCAAGGCGTCCAAGTATAGAAAGTGACCAGGGGGCGTAGATTTCCTTTTCTTGGCCGGCTGAATCTCGCATCAAGGGTAATAACCGGGGTCTGGGGCCCCGGTTCAATATTAAATATACGTATTAAAATATGCATGTATTTATTATTCTCCTATCACCGATCTGTGTCACATGTTCACGCTTCTCTACTGTGTAAAAGGAAACCATGAGACAGCAACAGATTATATACTTTCACCCGAAGTTCCCCCGGCTTTATGGAATAGGCCAACCAAAGGGCCGAGGTACGGGAGAAACGGGACGGGGCAAAGATACGCCCACTCGGCAAGGCCGTCTCGCCGATAGTCCGGTTTATGCTTTGGATAATAAGGTGTTATCTGTGGAGTCCGGTATAGTATTACTCCGCATTGTTACATTAGCAGGTAAAATATATATGGTCACTACTATATTGTTACCCGGAGGACGGAGTACAATACACAGTATACATCTTCAGGGAGTACTTCATACAATATGCAATATACATAAGTCCAGTGCAGCTTAGTGGCAGATCCTAACGGAAGTTTTACCCCCGGAACAGCAAATTCAGCCGATCTCCACAGTCCCGTGGGGATATTGGCTAAAGTCCCCTTGGCAAATCAGGACCATTTAGCAGACAAAAAGCAAAGACAAAAGATAACGGGGAGGAATCAGGGCCCAGATGCCTATGCCGGCCCGACTACCGAGTTCGTACTTTTGAGCTGTACGGGGATCTGGAAGAAATCGCACGAATCTCTGTTCTCCTGGTTTTTAGGGGATAAAATGTGCTCACAAATATACCCGACGATACGGAGTACACTACCGTGGAGTTCTCCATTTTTCTCCACGGGGAATATGACACCATTCAAGAGAAAATCCGGACTCGGAGTGGCGATCTGCAGGAAGAGATAGTTTGATCTTTTATTTTATTTTATTATTTTATTCCAAAAAGCAGGTACCAGTCTATAAGCAATTACCCGCCTTTTGCCGATTTTTGCGACGTGTACATAGTACATTTGTTAGGGATCATGAAACCAGGCTGTGAGGTGTTTCTGTTTCAGATGACGAGTTCGCTATTTATGTACTCCATACGGAGTACTCCGTACAGAGTGATAGAAATTAGAACATATTTACCGAACATCAGGCATATCGGATTCAAAGTTCCGACACATTTCATTCCCCGGAACTCTACTCATTCTCCCAAATCCTCACAATCGAAAGATCCACAAAGCTACGAGCTAGTTACTGCCTTTCGAAGTACGGAGTACGGGGTACATCGTAGATAATCAAACGTGGGGGAAGCCCAAATCAGTAGTTCCGATTGCCGAAAGTCCAAAATGGCAATATCACGGCTAGAGAACCACCTCTGATGAACCGGTATACGCCCCAGAAAATTCAGTATACTTTTTTTTAAACACTCGACCAACTTTATCAAGCCGATATTCCCGGTGATCACTCCAAAACACACAGAGACGTACATACTCCATATCTCACCCCTACCCCACAATCCCCAAGCGTTACGCCTTGGGGGAGAGACCCGAAACAGCACCCGCAGGAAGCGATCTGCGACTGACATCTCAATCTTCCTGCCAAATCTGCCTTGATCGTCGCGATCGCCCCTAGAATGTGATCCTCCGATATCGCTGTCGTCATGGGGGCGCCCCTCCACATAAGGTCGATCCATCACGCCATCTGGGGAAAGCTGGCAATCTACGGAGTACTATCCCGTATATTGTACACGAGGTCAACCTACTTAGAGCCTTGCAAGCATGTGGACTTGAATTTACCGCCACGAAATTTGGATTTGGATTCGTCACTCTCAGCATTCCTCTTCCCACTTTTCTTTCCGACAATGCTGATCAATCCTATTATTCTGGCATGCAGACCCGCGCACAGGGCGGGTACGTCGATCCTGGATGGGGGGAAAAGCAAAACGAATCTTACGGATACAAAATGGCCAAGACAAAGAGATGAAATGCGAAACAGAAATAATGGAAAAAGCAAGGGAAAAAAAGAACAGAAAAGAAAAGAAAAGTCAAAAGAAAAAGAGTGAACGCAATATTGCTCGATTAGGAGCGTGGAGATCCCCCCGGACTCCCTCCGTTATCAGTCCGGAGCCTCGTTGTACTCCGTGGGGAATTCCCTTTTCTATCCGAGCTCTTTCAGAATTGGGATTCAGCCTTCGAGCCCTGGAGGGTTACCTATCTTCTTAGTCAAGATGTCGCCAGCAACCAGTGATATCTATTTCTAGTACCTAACGGTTCGCTATCACCCCCGCACATCCCCAGATCGTCACGCAAGATAGCGTCGGAGGGGCTCGAGAGACAAGGATGAAGATATTTTTTATATTACTCTATTATTCACACTATTCTTAGAGGTTGGACTATTAATCCTGGATATTAACCTTGCAGAGATTTTCTAGGGCAAGCCAGTAGTGTATGAGTCCGAGTCTGGACGCGACCGTCCCTCTCAGCCCACACCCCCTTGCTACATGGGACTTAGACAAGTTGCTACTGGCTGTACTACATCCAACACGGTGTGAGTCATGACGTGCTCACGTCTCAGCTCGAGGAATATCCAAGCTGAAAGCGCCTAATAGAAAGCCGAAAAGAAAAAGAAAAAAGTGATAGGCCAACATAACAACAGGGGATCGACACATCTTTCGCGCTCCGTTTCCAATCGCCCTGCTGGCGCCGTGGTTCTGTCTCCTGTCTTGCTGCCTGGAGACTGAAACTCCTCCCACCGAGCGAGGCGCCACCGGTCAGCAAGACAAAGATATAATTTACCCAGGGTGGTGTAGGCTGCAAAAGGGGCAATATGGTGATCCTCTGGATGCTTCAGTATATAACTTATGGAGTACAGTTGTATGTAGTTATGTTCCATCGTATCTCAAGGTGACATTTATTATGCTTGGCAGGTCTCGATGCGGGGGAGTAGTTTCAAAAAGGGAGAATCCGGGGTAGGTTTGGCTTTGGAGCAACATTCCACAAAACTCAAGGAATGATGGAGCGTCCGTTCGGGTACAGTTACTCTGTACAGCGTGGGGGCGTAGTTTACGTAGGCTACTCTGTTTCTCAAGAAGACACATATGCTTTGAAGAATTCACAGTGCAACCCTAATCAGCTCGGGGTTTTCTTGCATGTGATTACATAAGGGATTTCCTAATTCAGCCAAGGTTGGAAGGTTGGAGTCTTGGAGTCCATGGAGTTCCTATAGCCACTCACTCTCCTTATTGCCCCAAATTCCGCCAAGGCGAGCGATCAGCGATCCACAGCTTCTGGAACAACCACCAACCCCTGCGTCCAATTAGCGGCGCAAATGGCCTCACACTGATATCACCATATGCGGGGCCGCTATTCCGGAGTCCGCGATCAGGCCATTGGTGGAATTCTGGTTTTTGTCCGGGAGATTACACCCTATCTTACAATCTATGTTCTAATAGATTATCTGGAGAGCATGTGATATTCTGGGGAATACTTTGTAGATAGCGTCAATAAAAAAGGAGAAAATAGAAGTCGAGGCGGGGAAAAGAGTCCGTTACCGTGTCCAGTTCTCGGTGAAGCCCCGACACCCCCCTTTCCACGATCCCACCCGGGCACCTACATACGAAGAGGGGAGAAAAATTTTTTACTCTTTTCAACTCCACTGAGCGATTTATCATCGTTTCTCTTACCCCATATTTGCCTGAGTATGTACCATAATGCAACCCACTAGCGGAAGCCGGGATCAACTTTCGGAACACAATGCCCCTGTCGCTCGCAAGATCCACACTGTCGCGATTTCTATCTAACTTGGGTCTTGAAGGACGCTACAACCAGGTACCATATGCAGTAGATCACTTAGTCTGAGATGAAGCAGATCCTAGCTTTAGTTTGCATTTCCAATAAGGGTGTGGGATAAGCCTACCTAACCCCATTAACCCACTAGAGAAACAGGGGGTAGACAAAGAGAAAAAAAAGGTACGGAGTACTCCGTACTCAAGCGCAAGCCCTCACCCTCTTTCAATCACACAGTGGGATCCGTGGCTTGAACCATTCCGCCCCAAACACACACCATAACGGGCGAATCCCCGAGATCGAACTAGGCGTATTTTGATTTCCCTTGCGGGAGGAATCCGCTCCGAACCAGCTGCGCTATCCCTAGCACGTGTATGGGGATTTCCTTGAAATTGTTAGGTTATTGATTATTGGTTTATCGATTAAACTATTGGAAACCAGCACAAAAACATAACTGCGGGAGCTCCGGACTCTGTCTTCCCCATTAGGATATCATGAAGCGGGGGGGCCCAGATCTCCACGGGGCATGATAGCTTGTGAGTTTCACATGTTCACATGTTCACATGCGGGAATCATGTGTTTATCTTGTTGGCTTCGGTTGAGCCTGGAATGCGGGATGTGGAGGTTTGATAAGAGTGACTGGAATGCCCATGTGCATGGCTGCCTCGGTTTCCCCATGCAGCTGCATCCCTTGCATTGTGTACAATGTGTGTGTAGCTACGGAGTACCTTTGAGGAGTAGCGAGAAGATGGCGTCATCGAAGGGGGGAACATGTGTTTTCTCCAGATTTGTTGCCCACATTGATAAGGGATTCAGATAGGAGAAGTATTAAACACGTCTTCTTTACATTGATCCGGGCTACCTAAGTAGCCATAAGCACATCTTACCTAAGGATGTTGTATGTGGTATGTTATGACTATCATTAAAGATGACGACAGAGCTTATAACCTAGACCATTCTACTGCAGGTACCAGACCACGACATCAGCCCATAGGGCTGGTTGACCGGAGAGAGACAACCCTCGGGTGATCTCGGAGGACGAGATTGTGACATTCTCGCACACGCTTCTAGCATTTTTCCTACTTGCGGGGCTTAGTGCCGATATGGGAGTCTACCGAAACTCCACGATGATCAGGGGGCGTTTATTTTATTTTATCGAAGTCAGGAAGAGGAAGGTATGCCATGTCTTGGCTATCCATTTTCGTCTGAAGCGTAGTATAGACGGAGATATCTACTTTGTACGGAGTAGTTTTAGACACTATAAGCACTACTCGATGTTAAATTCAAGGAAATAGATTTTTTTTCACGGAGCAAGCACTGAGTCAAGTAACAGTAATTCAAAAAGGGGTTCGGTGAGACTTGAAATTCTTTTTCCTCTCTCCCCCTGTGTCAGTTCCCGTCTCTGGAGCCTCCCGATTTGCGCAACTCGGGCGAAATCTTTTCGGCATTGCCGTGCCGAATCGGGCTCTCTCTCTCTCTTTGCGTGTCGCCGGGCCGGTTTTTGTTTTCAGGCGAGACTTGTATTGGCTTGGTACTCTCCACAATATCCGCACCTATTATTATCATTCCATACTGTATGTAGTGTATTGGGGTTGGCTTTCTTTTTGGGGGAAAAAAACTCCTAACTGCCGTACCACCCCGAGATTCCTCCGAGGCTCGGAAGTTGGGAGTCTTGGGGGGTGAGCCGTGGGATGATTTGGATTGGCGGACGTACTACCCATGCAGGCAATCCCCTAGGGTCCTCCCGTCTAATAGCGCTGCAGAGAATGCTTGTCTACATTCTATTATTGTGTGCTATTGCAGGCCTCGGGATGAATGGGAGAGCCTCGGGATAACGGAAGTTCCTCGGATATAGCTGTTAGGTAATTATTGGGGCATATCCTGCCTCTTCTCCGGGTTTTGTATATGTTGTATCCAGTCTACTCCGCATGTAGCGGTGAGGCCCTGTGGAGTTGTTTAAGTCTATATAGGCAAGTTGTGGAGATCTGATAAAATTTTGCTGTCTGGATCTGGAGTGTGTGATTTGACTTGTTGTCTCTTTTTAAACCCTGTATCTACCTCTTCGAGGAAAACAATATCAAAGTATTGAATATCAAATACTTCAATGGTCTAAACGAACATGTGAGGATAGTAATAGTTGAAACAAATTCGATGGTGTCAAAAGAGAAAGCCATCTAAATATTTCAGCCAACGATATATATTCTGGAATCCCTTATGTATTGTAGTCTCCAAAATGTTGGTGAATCCAACTCGACCGATAAGCCTATGTAATGGTTACATATGTATGAATCTTCCTGCCAATAGATGCTCGCTTTGATATTGACTAAAAGATGTAGAGGGATTTCTTAATTGTAAAAACTCCCTAGGGTTGTTTTGAATGCGGATGTAGGGAAGCAATCAATTTGATCTAATCTATCATCAATCACTTCTTGACCTCTACAAAAAAGCAGCATATAGACATTTTTTAGCCCTATTCATTTGGATCATTACTTTAATCATTTCCCCTCCAAGAAAATGCGCGACGAGATCAAAAACCTTAGGAAAATAGAGGTAACCCTAATTTGGCACCAGACGCTCCTATCCAGTCCATATCGAGACTCGGACGCATCAATAGTCTATGACATGCCCACTGGTAATTTTCTGCTAGAAGTATTTTATGTCCAAGGTTTTCTTTTGTTCTTACCCTCGGCATCTAGCTCATAGAAAACGGCGTGCTCTTTTTCTCGCTCGTATTTCTTCTACCATGTCTTTTATGCTACGTTATTCAATCCCCCAGATGCTGTGAGGGGAACCTTGACTGTCTTACGATATTTCATACGCTTCCCTGAAAAGGTGGTCAAGGCCTCCAGCTAGGTGGTACACATTGCCGATATTGCCTCTAGTTCGTGGTTGGCATCTTCTACCACCTTAACAAGGTGGAGTATGCGAGATCGCTACAAAGATCCAGACCTACTCGTACTTGGTACGCGGTGTGAGGTGACAATAGTGGCTCTAGGCTCCTAGATCGGTTTCCGGGCGAAGAGGGTGGCGGCCTTTCAAGTCTATGTTCCTAGCGGGGGCGGGTTTTTACAGCGATCTCGCATTTCTTTCCCTGTGAACGTGGTAGAGCGTGCCAACCACCCAGCTGGAGACCATGATCTCCTTTTTAAGGAACCATATGAGAGATCGTTGTTGCGTATCCAACTCCCCCTTCACGACACCTAGGGAAATCGAGAAACAAAGCTTTGGGAACATAGCAAAACGAACAATACCAGTGAGGAGTTAAAACCAACCGTCATGTATCAGCTGAGGGCCCGAGGAGAAAAATAAGAGAAACAGGGACTCGAAGGAATTTACATTGTGAAGCCGTTATGGTTTGGGCAGGTGCGATTAAGGCAGGGAGGACCTCAATATCTGCGGTCATGGTGAGTACATGGAACTTCAAACCCGAGATGTACCTAAATTACTTGGAGAATTTAGAACTGTTGCTGGTGGCCGAATTTTTGTTTCTAGATCTATTAGTGCTGGGATTGTTATGTCTATGCTTCAACAGTGGTTGTGAGGGGAATAAATGATAGTTGAGACTCGGGAGATGGAAGATATTCCCCGTTAGATATTTATAATCCTAGAAAGTAAGCAGCATGACACAATCTTTAATTCAGCAGCCGGATTTTTACCATCGGCATTTGGAAGAGGGTTTGTTCAAAAAGAAGCAGAACCAGAACCAGAACCAGAAGAAGCTGTTGCATAAGCCAAAGTAGGGCCATCAAGGCGAGCGGGCAACCGAGTATACATCGTAGATTGAATATGATGAGCTTTGTATCATTTCTAGCCTCTCGACAAAGCAGAAGGGGCAGAGATTAGTCTAAATTTTTGAATGTCCTTAGTATACATGACCTCACCAACGGGCTTTGATATGACTAGAAGTTGCTGCGAAGACAGGCAGTCTGGAGACGTTTGGAATCCTACATGCGGCTGGGGCAGATGAGTCTGCATGGGTGTAGGAAGAATTGCTGGACGATGAATAGGTCCAAATTCAAGAACCGGACTACTTATTATCCAATCTCTCTGCCTCTTCGTCCGTTTGTAAAGCCATCGAGGCTGGCAATCACCGATTTCTACTTGTGGGTGTTCCCCCAACTACCGTCCTCTCGCAGCTCCAATCGTCAGTCTCCCGCTGCTATCATATGCCATCGCCCGTTGTGATTTAACCAATGTTGGCATGCAGCGGTGTCTGGTAAATGAACTGTCTCATCCTCAGTTATCCCAATATATGCATGTCCATCTTTCATGATCATGCCCGTCACTTTGGCAAACGCACATCATGATCTAGCTCTCCTTTAATAGTCGGCGGCTTTAATCCCCGCTGGCATTAGTAGTGCAGGAACAACGGCGTTAGGACATACGCTACTTCCTGTTGCTTTGCTGCCTTTCACTGCCAGTCAAATTGTAGCTTACGATCCAGTTATTGCAAATAGGATACACTGCGCCCGTATCGTTGATTCCAGATGGCTTCCCCATGAAATGCCAAGTCCGCCGTATATGCAGTTCCTAACCCAGAGGGAAAGAAAGGGCTCACGAAAACCACAGCCAATGACAGAATCCCAGCAACAGGCGCGAAATGTGACTATTCAGCTTTTCTTGAATTGGCGAGGTATCAAAGTTGGAGCAAAGGATGTAGACGGTAATACTGCCTTGCACTGCCTAGCTGGGGCTAGGAATGTCAGTGAGTATATTGTTAAGATGGTTCGACAAATGGATGGAGGCGAGGAAACCTGGCAGAATGCGATAAACTGCTATGTGGTTACTCCACGACAACTATGGGGTGAGCAACATGGATTGCAAATATGAAAAGTGAGTGTATGACTGTATAGAAAAGCTCTCCAGGGCTGGTGATCTTTCAAATTGATTTCGATGTTGTTATCACACCTGCGGGCAGTAGTACCCAATTAGGAAATACTCTCCGTGATTACTCCCTACAGTGACACAAAGTTTTAGCACCCCGAATTCTGCCGGTCGAATATCCATCAATCAAAAATTAAAGCACAACGGGCGGTATACCGGATTAAGAAGGCGGTAGCAGAAGGGATGCTAAAACTTTTGCTGTGTCACTGTATCTCTGCTTTTCAAAGTTCGCCTTAGGCACTAAACTAGAAGCAGAAATGACGTTTCTGCCACACCCGGCCGCCCGGGGAAACGAGAATCTCAAGTGTCAAGTCCAGACTAAGAGCGTCATCCATCCAATCTACTTTATACAGCGAGTCCCTGTATGATTTGATCCTATCAGCAACCCCTCAATCCAAATTCTAGACATTGAACAACACCCCCATTCCAATATCCCTCCAGCCTCGAGCTCCGGGACGCAATGGCACCCCCGCGCCAGCGCACCACAGCTATCGTGGATGACTCGAGGTCCGAAGCCTCGAGCGGCACGAGAGAATACCACAAAGCCACCAAGTCCCGCAGACCAGCTGCTGCAAAAGAGAAAGCCTTGGTCACCAGCGCGCCCGTCGTGGACAACCAGCACACCGAGGAACAGCCCCGAGTATGTTTTACCCTGAAAGAGATCGATCAATCGCAACTCTACCCACAACACAGTAAAGAGACCATAAACTAATACCCTTTCTCTTTCTACAGCTCCCCTGGACAGACCTTCCCCTCGAGATCCTCCACTCATACCGCCACGTCCACAAACTCCCCACGCCCTCCGCATTTTCGAGCGACTACTCTCGCTTGATCCTTTCGCAAGGCGTCGGCCTTCGCTCGCCAACCTCCCTCGCCGCCCGCCGCGCTCAATCCTCCTCATCCCAGAACCACAACCACAACCACTCCCACTCCCACCGAACCAATACCTCGGCGGACTCCCTCTCCGACTCAACGCTGCGTCGCACCGTCGGCCAGGACCGTGTGAGCAAAGATCAGTTCGCGCTTGTTGTCCGGAAACATTTTAACAGCGCTGGTCTCTCGGAGCAGGAAACCATTGCGCGGTTTTTGTACACTGTCCGTGAGGACAGGAGAGGGAGGCAGTTCCGATTGCGGTTTCAGCCGTAAGATGAGGGGTGAGTGTCCTGCTTTGTTCTCTTGCTCTTTTCATTCCTTTGGTAGCAGGGGAAATGGGATTATACGGGGCTTGGGATGGAGCTAGGTCTCTTCTGCTTCTTATCCCGCCGTTCTGGTGCTAGCCTGTCCTGGTTGACGGTGCGCTCAGTTCGGTGCGGTGAACATACATTGCGTGTGTGGCTTACTGGGTTGCCTTGTTTCGAGGATCTGGCGGCCTGTTCTCTTTTGATATATTAAGATACCCATTGGCGTTCAGTGTGTTGATCTTGGTTGTTTTATCTTTATTTCTTGGTTTGCGAGTTGCGAACTCTCTTCTACTATGTATACTTTGCATATCATATAATTGTATAATTGTGCAAGACAACAGCTACACTCTACTGTATCTTTTCCAGTAGGGAATATTCTTTTTTTTTTGGCCATTTCTATCACATATAATACTCCGGTACGAAATCATCGAGTGTGTTCCTAGATGAAGAATATAGGTACGATCGGACGTGCCTCTCGGGCACCACACATTATCAAAACCTAACTATATATCAATCAAGACTTGCTCAATCAAATGGTCAAAAGGTATAATCGAATACTCACATAAGGTATAACCATATATGTCGACGGGTAGGTTAAATCATACGTCATTCAGAATCGGGAAGATGCAGAGCACCACGTCGAAGAAACCTTAATTCGAGAACGCAGGACCCTACTTGCTAGTATCCATGGAGATATTTCATTTGTCGTTTACATAAGAGCATGCATGTCCCCTCCAGTAACCAATGAGGGCAGAAAAGACAGATATCCAAACCGAACGTAAGAACAGGACAAAAGCCCCCCAAAACGAAGCAGTTCAGACAACATGATAAAACCCCGCGAAATAACAAAGAATCAATCGAGGGCGACCTCAAAGCAACCGGTGTAAAAGGCCGTAAACGCCGAGATATATGCCTCCCTTCCAGCGGGCCCGTTCGGTACATGTTCCGTGTTCCATTTTGCCAACTAGGTCCAACTGAATCTAGCCCATTCCACCCCGCCGTGTAGCCAGTATTAGCAATCGCCCAGATACAGGGAAGCCAAGCTTATTTCCAGGCGTTGAGACCAGCCCATGGATCGGCGGAGGAACCGGACTGTGACTGTGGCTGCGACTGCGAGGGGGTCTTGTGGTGCCCGTACTGTCTGCTCTGCGCATAGCCACCAGGACCAGAGGGGTATATACCACCTGCTGTAGGAGGGTAGGTTGTCTGCTGGGGGCGCGGCGGAGGTGGAGGCGGGATGTAGCCCTGGGGAGCCATATAGTGTGAGGACTGAGGGCCAGCGCCAGGAGCTGGCGTGCCGGAATTTGAGTAGCCGCCGTACGGGGCCGGGGCTTGAGAGAAGAATTGCTGGTTCGGGGGCGGGGACACGGGGGTCTGGTAAGGATATGCCATGGGGTTGTAGCCCTCGGATAGGGGAGCTGCGGCGCCTTGCTGGAAATGCTGGGCTTGGTAAGTTCCTGGACCACCTCCCATGTACTGCCCGTAGGGCGCTGGAGAGTGTGAGAGGGGCACGCCTGGCATGGTGGGCGGGTAGCGGGGTGACGGTTTTGGGGATGGACCGGTGGTTCCATACGCCGGCGTCTGAACGGGCGGGGGTGGTGACTTGACTTTTGAGGGCGGTTTTGCTGACCCTGTGGAGGGTAAAGATGACGAGTTCTTGGGTTCCGTTGATAGGCGCTCCATCAGCTGGCGCAGCTTCTCTCGCTCGCGATCTTCTTGCTCTGAGGCACCGCTGGACCTATCGCGGTTGTTGATAGAGGATTCGGCATTCCTGCGGAGACTGTCGACATTTTCACCCATGGCCTTGTCGCGCTCTATCTGGCTAAGAAGCTGCGCACCTTCTGATCGGCGGTTGTTGATGAAGGTTTCGACATTTTTCCGGAGACTGTCGACGTTTTCACCCATGTCCTTGTAGAAAGTTCGTGCTTGCTTGATACCCGACGAGAGGCCATGGAATGCTTCATATACCTTCTTGTACCGAGCTATCACAGAATTGCGTTGTCTTTTTATAGACTCGTATTTCAACTTCTCGGATTGAACTCTTTTGTCTTGACGAAGGTTATCGTGTATCTTGGTGAGTTCGTTCATCAAAGATGATTGTTTGTGATTCGCCTGCACAAGTATGTTCTGATATGGCAGGAATTTCACCAATTCATCCTTAAAGAATTCCTTTTCCCGGCCGACATAAGACTTTTTGTTTAGAATCAAGCGATCTGTGATGTCGTCTTTGTGGGTCTAAAGCACAGATAGTTAGAAAGTTGTGGTGGGCAGATAGGTTAGGACACTCACCTCCACTTTGAGATCTGCGAGCAGTTGGGACTTCTCTCGCTCCACGAGGTGCAGTTTCTTTAACAGCCCCTCCATCTTGGCAATCTGGTCTGCAACAGAGGCGCCACCCTCATCATACACATCATCTAGCAGAGTACCTTCCGCCGGACTGGTGACACCGTCCTTGCTCTTGCTATGCTTTGAACGAGCTTTGATCAAGGCTCGCTGGAAAAGAACATCGGCCTCATCTGTTTCGCCAGCAGACCGCATCTCATCAAAATCGCTTTCATACTGGCGAAGTGTGGAAGACAACTGAGAATCACTCGCGCTGGCCTCATTGATAGTATCTCGATACGATCGGACATCCCCTCGAAGCGTGGTATTGAGTCGAGAGCTGGGCTGCTGGCTCCAGTCTGCTCCATACTTTGAGCGCATCTTCTCACACACACTTTCTTCCAGATCTAGCTGCTTTGAGCACTGGTCTAATTGGGATAGCACTTCTGCCTTGCGATCCTGCAACTCGTCGAATGCCTTGCGGAAAGGATTGTGGCCAGCAAGTTCTGAACACCAGCGACGGAAGTCCTCGTCCACTGACATCTTCTGGTTCATGCCTCCCTTCAAGCTATCGAGAGTGTCTGGCAGTTCGAGTGAGCCCAATTTACCGGCTATGTCACGATTGACACTCTCGGCCTTTCCAGTCTCAACTCGACGCAACTCGGCCTTTTCTTCCTCGTAACAACTGGCGGCCTCAGTGACCCACATAGGCCTCAGTTTTTTGAATATGTCTGGCCCAATGATTTGATTAATATCTTGTCCTTGGTATAATTCGCTAACCGGAATCGCCTTGGCAGCAGTAACCCTGGCAACTGGCGAAAGACCAGCCTCATTAGGGACTGGTTGGTGGTAGATGAAATCATTGTCTTTGACCATAGTGGCAAGTAAAGCTTGCACATTTGTTTGATTATGCTTGATGAGGTCCAAGAGGTTGGGGCCCGACTCTGCCGTCAGGTTGGTGTTCGCTGGAGGCGACGAGGGGAATGTCTTTGCCCAGCTTAGAGCAGTGGCGGACTGCTTATCAGCCATCTGTAAACGAGCAATAGCAATTCCATGAGATCCGCTCTCACTGTCCGCAACCGCCTGATAATATGACGCTACTGATCCCATATGTGCTGCCTTGGCCTGCACAACAATCGTCCAGACCTTGTCAAACACATTCTTGTCGACGAAATTTTGCATTATCTCGGCAGCCTGCGAGTATAGGTACGCTGCCTGTCCAGCTAGCTTGGCCAAGAGCCCAGGCTTCCTCTGATCTGCCACTTGTTTCTCAAAAAACACCTCTTGGGCTTGAGCTAGTGTGACATGTATCAGTGTCATGATGGTGTCCCCCTTCAGGTCGGTTGATGGCGGATGTAAGAAGTTCTGATTAATATATGTAAACATTCCGGCGGATGCCTGGAAAGAGTGATAGGCGGTTTTGAGGCCGGTATCATCGGCCCGGCTTTGGTTGGCAGCATGGCAAGATAGGATGGCGGAGATGTTAAAGATAATGGAGGCCTTTTCGAAGGCCAGGGAGAATTGAGAGGTAGACGTATGAGTGAAAGCATCGTACCTAGAGGACAAATATATAAGCACAAGCAGAATACAGACGAGAAGAATACTCCTACCATGTGAACGAGATCTTGACGTGGTTTTCATCGACGGGGAACCTGAGGTCCAGCAGCTCCAGCTGACCGTAGTATCGATACAACAGATCACGACCGATAGCGCTGTCTTTCCCTACGCCCCTCATGTCCTGGCGAAGCCGGTTGAGAGTCGCGCATTCTTGGCTATATCCCTCGGGGTCTTCGCCATGGCCCTGTCGAATGTAATCCTTGAGAGGTTGGATCCAATCAATCTCGTTGGTCTGCTTCAAGGGACACGAGAGCATCGGCGACTGAGCCATTGTCGGATGGTTGCCAGGAGCGATATGCTCCCATCCAACAACAAGAAAACTGTGGGAGAGGAAAAAAAACGCGGGGCAGGGATGGTCAGAAGCTCGGTGTCTGAGGGGGTCGGAGTCGAGGCTGTGGGGTAAGGGAGGCGGAACGTCAGCGCCTGATGGTCCCTAGTGTGTCAATGACGTCGGCCGATGAGGTATTCTTCAATGTAAGCAGTTTAGAAGATGACAAGTTAATGCGAGTGAGAAAATAACAGGGTTGCCTAGAGTGTTGAAGGGTTGAGGTGTTGGAGGAGGGAGATGTGAGATGTGATTGTCCGTGGCCGTGCCTTGATGGGCGCCAAACCCCAAAACAGCCGGATAACTAGAAACACATATACAACACAGCCATTGAACAAAACATTTGAACTTTGAGTAATATAAGATAATTAATAGATGAGAATGATCATAATACAGTCAGAAGTAGAGAGCTTCTTAGACATCTATCACTCGATAGTAGTAATACAGTATTCTGCCCCCCAAAACCTGGGCAGAACAGGTCCCCAATATCGCCGGCGCTATGACATGGGTGAGGTAAATACAAACGGATATAGAGTACATGATGATTTAAATTTTTCAGCTCGACTTCTTCGAGCTATCCTTGCTGGCATCGCTGCCAGCATCCTTGTTTTCCGTGTCCTTGTTGGAGTCTTTCTTGTCGGCTTGTGATGGCTTGGAGGAATCACCATGCTTCTCCGTGAGTCGATGCCAGACAGACTTCAGGAAACCTTCGTTTTTGGCGGCGTCATCGGCACTATCAGAAGCAGAGGAGGGGCTATCAGTGTAATAAGTTAGTACAAGAGCCAATATCCACCATGAACTGTGGATCTTACCTATCCTTGCTGAAGTTCATTGTACGCTTCGCTGTCTTATCGTTCATCTCATCTGCGAGGACCTCCAAAATGGTGCGCTGGTTGCCTGTCAAGTACTTGGGCATGGCAACCTTGAATTCGACCTTAAGATCACCATTGGGAGTGAAACCGCGGGTACGGCCACTAAGCTTCTTCATGCCCATTCCCGACAAAGTGATCCGGTCACCGGTACCCGTACCAGTAGCCACCTTGACCTTCACTTGATTGTCGAGAGTTGGGATGGTCACCTCACCACCAAGGATGGCAGTGGTGAGGGGAATTGAGGCTGTGTAGAGAATGTCGGACCCAGAGCGGCTGAAGCGATGGTCTGGAGCAACTCGAATGGAGACGTAAAGATCACCGGGTTGGGTGCGAGCACCAGGCGGAACAGCTGTTCCAGTGGGTGGGGAGTCACCTTCGCCGGTCACACGTAGACGCATGCCATCTTCGACACCGCCGGGGATGTCTACCTTGATAGTCTTGCGCTCTCGGATCACGCCATTTCCGTTGCAGGGGCTGCACTCTGACCCCCGAGGAACAGACATACCGGCACCTCCACAAGCGTCACACGTGGCGGCGACTTGGAAGCCTCCCTGCATGAGGTGGACACGGGTACCTGTGCCGTTACACTGACGACATTGGGACCGCTTGGCACCAGATTTCAATCCGTCACCTTTGCAGGTTCCGCACTTGGTCAACGGCGTGATGACAATTTCCTGAGACGTGCCCTTCGCAGCGTCCATGAACGAGATGTTTGTTTGCACCTCAATGTCTTCACCGACCAAAATCTGTTCCTGGAAAGGGTTGCGTCCACCCCGGGGTCCACGGCGCGCTCCTCCGGTAAAGGCTCCGAAAAGATCCTCAAAGTTGATGTCGCCGGAAAAGCCCCCGCCAAAGCCACCTCCTCCGCCGCCAAAACCGCCGCCAAAGCCATGGAATCCTCCCGCACCAGAGAATGGGCTGCCCCCAGCATTTGGATTGAACCCGCCATTCTGATCGAAAGCGGCCGAACCATACCGGTCGTAGTTCTCTCGCTTCTGGGCGTCGGATAATAATTCGTAGGCTGTCTGAGCTTCGGCGAACTTGTCTTTGGCCTGGGCGTCCTTGTTGGTATCCGGGTGGTACTTCTTGGCCAAGCCGTAGTAGGCCTTCTTTATGTCGCCGGCGGATGCTTTCTTATCCACGCCGAGGACCTTGTAGGGGTCGGAAACGGCGGCAAGAGGAGAGGTAGTGTGGAAGGCCTGTCAAATAAAAAACATATTAGTTAGCAACCTGAACCCTGACAGACCATAGAGACAACATACCCTAGCTGATATCACCAAAGATTCCTTTCTCTTGCAAAGACCCTCCCGGAGACGCCTAGCCGGAGAAGCAGAGACAGTTGCATGGTAGTTTCTTGTTTGGGTGGATGTGTGAACGCTATTGCCGGAATTCTTCTTAGAGCATTGTCGCTGGGTTCGCAACAGACGCGCGGGGAGAGCCGCGGCCTTGGGAAATGCCGTAGATGGATTCATGGATAGTAATAGCCGAACAACGGTTGGACGGTAGTAGTCGTGGTTGAGATAGATATGTGAGGGAAAATGGCCAAGAAAAAGAATGACAATTTGAACACGAGATAGAATGGTTCCAAGAGCACCAATGACCGTCCAAACCAAGTTAAGCTTCTCTCCGGATCACAGAAGCTTCGAGTTCTTTAGCAGAGAGAAGTTTCTCGGAAAAACGTGTTCCCGGACAATGATGAAAGAGTTGCTTACCGAAGCAATAATGGGGTGCTCCGACTACGGAATTCCAGCTTCCACTCTACCCATTTGCATCTAATACTTATTGCTGTCTTTTTGGAGCTGTGCCACGGGCTGTCACGGTTCTTCACTATATCCTTTCTTCTTTCCTTCACTCCATTGCCCGGGCATCCACCTCATACTTAAGGAGCATGCTCCGCGGCCAGACCCTCCCCTGGAGAGCTGTACTCCATCAAACACCACGACCTCTCCTCCGACGGCCGTTTCTTGCTTCACCGAGATATAATGCAACCTTTCGATCAACACTAATCTCGGCCCGACTTGGTGTCTCTCTTTCCTCGTCTTCCCGCGCCTTCTCTGCGAGCTCCATTCGGCGGAGAGAGAAACCCCCGCCAGAGGACCCTAAAGACGAACCGGAAGAGAAGGAAGAGCACGAAACTAGGCAGGATGATAAGGAAACGGAACGGGCTCCTGAATCGCGGAGGAAGGGAGCCGACTCAGGGAAGAATGTCCCTTCCGCAGATCAGGTAGCTCCCGCACGAAGAAAGGACCGGTCATCCGATAAAGAGCGCGGAGTGGAAGAGGAAGCCAAGAAAGATGCCAACGCATCGGATAGCAAAGGGAAGTCGAATGACACACCTTCCCCCATCCCACCAAGTGATGGCCCGGCCGACTCCAAACCCAGTGGCGCAAGCAACGGTGGTAATAGCGGCAATGACGATAGTGGGAAGAAGGGCAAAAAGGCCTCTGGGGAAAAGGCTTTACAAAAGCCGGCAGTTCCGGACGTTTACCCACAGGTGATGGCAATTCCCATTGCGAAACGCCCGTTGTTCCCTGGTTTTTACAAAGCGATCACTATTCGCGACCCGAATGTCGCTGTTGCGATCCAGGATATGATGAAACGGGGTCAGCCGTATGTCGGAGCGTTCTTGTTCAAGGATGACACCGCCGATGGTGACGTGATTGAGAAATTGGACGACGTTTACGACACTGGAGTTTTCGCTCAAATTACCGCCGCATACCCTCTCCGTGGAGAGGCTAGCGGTGTGACAGCGGTTCTCTACCCCCACCGGCGTATCAAGATCTCGTCGCTACTTCCCCCTGGGGAGAACACCAAGGCCGCTACACCTCCACCCGCACCTACATCAGAAGACAAGACGACTGAAAAGCGAGGCGATGTCGTGGCCAGCTTCGAAGAAAGCGCACCCGAGCCAGCTCCAAAAGACCATTACGAACCCACGTCCTTCCTAAAGAAACACCCTGTTAGCCTTGTCAACGTAGAAAACTTGATTGAAGAGCCGTTTGACAAGAAAAACCCAATTATCCGCGCGGTAACCAGCGAAATTGTCAATGTGTGCAAAGAGATCGCCACCTTGAACCCTTTGTTCCGCGATCAAATCTCGGCATTTTACACCGATCAATTCCCAGGAAACCTGAGCGACGAACCGGCCAAATTGGCTGATTTCGCTGCCGCTGTATCTGCCGGTGAGCTCCACGAGATGCAAGAAGTTCTTGAGACAATGAACATCGAGGAGCGTCTCCCTAAGGCACTTGTCGTTCTGAAGAAGGAATTGATGAACGCCCAACTGCAATCCAAGATCACCAAAGATGTCGAGGCCAAGATCCAGAAACGCCAGCGCGAGTACTGGCTGATGGAGCAAATGAAGGGCATCAAGAGAGAACTTGGCATCGAGTCTGACGGGAAAGACAAGCTTGTCGAGAAATTCAAGGAGAAGGCTGAAAAGCTTGCCATGCCCGAGGTTGTCAAGAAGGTCTTCGACGAGGAGATTAACAAGCTAGCACACCTCGAACCTGCTGCATCCGAGTTCAATGTCACTCGTAACTACTTAGACTGGCTAACCCAAATCCCCTGGGGCCAGAAGAGCGTGGAAAACTTTGGCGTCAAGAACGCAGTCAGTGTCCTCGATGAGGATCATTACGGGCTGAAGGATGTCAAGGATCGTATCCTTGAGTTCATCGCTGTTGGCAAGCTTCGTGGAACTGTCGAAGGAAAGATTCTTTGCCTTGTTGGCCCACCCGGTGTTGGAAAGACCAGTATCGGCAAGTCGATAGCTCGCGCTCTGAACAGACAATACTACCGATTCTCCGTTGGTGGTTTGACCGACGTGGCAGAGATTAAGGGCCACCGACGGACTTACGTCGGGGCTTTGCCTGGACGCATTATTCAAGCTCTTAAGAAGTGTCAAACCGAAAACCCTCTAATCTTGATCGATGAGGTTGACAAAATTGGGCGTGGCCATCAGGGCGACCCGTCCTCTGCTTTACTCGAACTTCTCGATCCCGAACAGAACAACTCGTTCTTAGACCACTACATGGATGTTCCTGTGGATCTTTCCAAGGTCCTCTTCGTCTGTACAGCCAATGTGACCGACACTATCCCTCGGCCATTGTTGGATCGTATGGAACTCATCGAACTGTCCGGCTACGTGGCAGACGAGAAGATGGCGATTGCCGAGAGATACCTTGCTCCCGCCGCTCGGGAGCTGACTGGTCTGAAGGACGTGGACGTGAACCTTGAACGGGATGCCATTGAGGAGCTGATCAAGTCGTACTGCCGTGAGAGCGGTGTCCGTAACCTGAAGAAGCAAATCGAAAAGGTCTACCGGAAGGCAGCATTCAAGATTGTCCAAGACCTGGGCGAGGATGTGATGTCCGAAGAGGCGGCACTGACCGAAGCGGGTAAGGTTGCCCAGGAAGAGTCGAAGGAGCATGAGTCAGCGGATCCTGCGCAAGTTCCGATTGAGCCAGAGAAGTCGACCACAGAGATCCCTCGACTGGCCCTCAAGGTTCCCGACAGTGTGCATCTCAGCATCGGCAAGGGAACCTTGAAGGATTACGTTGGACCTCCTGTTTTCACCGCCGACCGCCTGTACGACCAGTTCCCTCCTGGTGTCACCATGGGTCTTGCATGGACTAGCATGGGTGGAGCGGCTCTATATGTTGAATGTATTCTGGAGAACGCATTGAATCACAACTCGCGTCCGGGGCTCGAAATCACCGGCAACCTGCAAAACGTCATGAAGGAGTCCACTCACATCGCGTATTCCTTCGCCAAGTCTGTTATGGCGCGGCAATTCCCTGAGAACCAGTTCTTCGAAAAGGCGAAGGTCCACTTGCACTGCCCTGAAGGCGCTGTTCCAAAGGATGGTATGTGAAACTTTTATGCGTTGGTTAATACTGTAACAAGGCGACGGCTAACCATTCCAACAGGACCATCTGCCGGTATCACCATGGCTAGCGCCTTGTTGTCTTTGGCTCTCAACCACTCCCTTGAGCCCACCGTTGCCATGACCGGAGAGTTGACTGTGACTGGTAAGGTTCTGCGCATTGGAGGCTTGAGAGAGAAGACTGTAGCTGCTCGCCGGGCCGGTGCCACAACGATCCTCTTCCCTGCAGACAATACATCTGACTGGCTTGAGCTACCTGAGGTGAGTCATGAATCTATCCATTCCTGGTGGTTATCTTAGCTGACTGTTTTATCTAGAACATCAAGGAGGGTATTGAAGGCCACCCGGTGAACTGGTACTCCGAAGTGTTTGACCTTCTCTTCCCCAGTCTCGACCAGGAGGCTGCCCGCACGATCTGGCAAAAAGCATTGGCCAAGCCCAAGAAGGGTAGCCAGGAGGCTGATGAAGAGTAGCATGCTGATACCTTTTTGGTTTGGGGTTTCCCCTTTGGGTAATGTCGTATATACCTGTTGTGTTTTACGTTGTATAGCTTTTGTGTGATTATTGTGTACATGGCGTCTTTGTCTTCCGACACGGAATGCATGGTTGGAGTTGAAGGACTGTTAGTAGACCTTTTTGTTCCCATGTGAGATGTATGGACTAGAGCGAGAGCCAAAAAAAGATTACTCCACTCAAAACAGGAGGTGTTCTAGTAAGGTATATGTATAGTATAGTATATATCGATATTGCGAATGATAATGCAAAGATAATGCAAAGACTCACCTGTACTTTGTATATCGAGTAATATTAATCAAAATTTAGGGCTGCTGTCGTGTCATATAGATTGACGCCAAATAAACAGGGCGTGAACGGAGCCCCCAATCAGGCATAAGGGTCAGGCCGCAACGCATCCTCGAATTTTGATCTGTGCGCCGTTCGATGAATCATATCTTTATTCTATTTTTTTTCTCCCTCACCCTTGTGTCCCTTAAAGGGCTTTTGATTGATCTCCTGCAAGGTCCTTTTGCCTCCAGACATTTGAAGCCTTGCAGCGGAAGCATCTCATCACCGCTATCAAACGGGCTGCAGGCGATTCCTTAGAGAGAAAAAAATTAGAGAGGAGAAAAAAAAAAAAAAGAAAACCACTTATACCTAAGAAATTTCATCTTGACCGACATCTCTCTTTCCTTTTTGCACCTGCCCTTTTACTTTATGAGCTTGTGCTGGGCCGGTCTCCCAGCCTCGCCCATTGCAGCCCGACGTTGTGCGACACTTGGACGTTGAACCTCGAGGTGAACCTTCCAACTCTTCAAACTTGAAAGACTACTTGGAACTGGTGGGACCAAAACCGTGTCAGTGTGTCAGTGCGACGCCAAACTTCCCTGCCTCCTTGACCCTGTCTCAATTCTTATGGACATCGGAGATTCGGCCAGCGGGGTGTTCGAGTCGTTCCTTGCACGACAGAGCGGCTTGCCGTATGGCCATCTCTGTTCCCAACTCCTGTAGCCCGACGCGGCTGGCTTTTCTGGACGACAAAGGCGGGAATCCGCCAAAGCAGAGCATGTGGCACCGGTTGGGTTTGCGAAAATTATGGCAGGGCCGCGACGATCATCGAGACACGTCTGCCGGGGAGAGTCAAGACGAGATTTCTCCCCGCCCTTCTTCTGACCACTCCCGCGCCAAACAAGACAACTTGACACGTCGACTCTCGCGAAAAGTTGGCGTCGGTCTACCACGAACCACCCCCTTTAAAAGACAGAGCTCCGATCTCGAGCGACTAGCTCCTCGGGAACCTGATCACCGCCGTGCCCTTTCCGCCGACCGCCGCCCCTTGAGTTCCCAGCGAAGCAGGTCTCCACCGCCAACCGTGGGCCCCAGACAGTCCGCGCCCGAGGTTCAGTGGCCCGGCCCGACTCCCACAACCACGGTCGACGACCCCCCGAACCACAATCCGAAACGAACGATGCCGACGAGATTAACGATATCTCCGAAAATTCGAACCCCTATCCTGAAATGACGACGGATAATTTCGACGCACCAGAAGAGGAGGAGGAGGATGATCACACAATCGATCTGGATATGGAGCTGGAACAACGGTGGATTTTGAACCTGAGCATGCACTTCCGAGATGGTTCAGAGCGGGAGAAATTCTTTGTGACGTACGCGGAGACACCGAATCGATGGCGCCGAGTGACGATTTCCTGCGATTACCACGATGCGCCACCTTATTCACTGGAGCGGGAGTTGAAGGAACTGCGGTATCAGCGCGATAAGTGTGCGCGGATCTACGAATCTATTCGCGAGTCCCTTCTTGCGATCCAATTCTATGAAGGTGTCACGAACCTCAGACTCGAAACGAGCGATGGCCGCTTACACGTTCATGTGACGGAGGACGTAAACGAAACAATTCCGTACCCGCCCATCTCCAGTATCAGGCATTTGGTCAATGCTCCTATCATCCCCGAAGACTCGTTGCACTTCGAATCTCATTTATCCGGCTTTGTTTACAAAATAAACCTGGACGGACGTTACTATATCAAGAAGGAAATACCGGGCCCCGACACTGTGGATGAGTTCCTCTACGAGATTAACGCTTTGCATGCGCTGAAAGACCGCCCAAGCGTGATACAGGTGGAAGGAATCGTGATAGATGAGTGGCGAGGTGTCGTCAAGGGCTTGCTGATTAGCTATGCAGAAAAGGGTGCACTGGTTGACATTCTGTACGAGCAACGCGGGAGAACAAGCTTTGCACGACGCGAGCGATGGGCAAAGCAGATTGTCCAGGGCCTCTGTGAGATCCATGAGTCGGGCTACGTGCAGGGCGATTTTACACTCGCGAACATTGTGGTGGATGCAGACGACAACGCTAAAATCATTGATATCAACCGCAGGGGATGTCCAGTGGGATGGGAGCCTCCGGAAATTGCCGCTAAGATTGAGAGCAACCAGCGCATCTCCATGTATATTGGCGTCAAAACTGATCTCTTTCAACTGGGCATGACGCTGTGGGCGTTGGCGATGGAGGAGGACGAACCTGAACGACAACCGCGACCTCTTCGACTGGGCGATGACGCGAAAATTCCAGACTATTACCGACGGATAGTGGATATTTGTTTAAGCCCGACTCCGCGACATAGGCTCTCTGCGAAGGATCTTCTCTCTATGTTCCCCCCACTGCCGGAAGCCCGGGTATCAACACCTGTTCAGCCACTGGAGACCATTGCCGACGATTCTAGGCACTTGCCAATTAGCAACTGGGCTCAGCCTCGGCCTACTGGGCTTGGGCTGGCATCTCCAGGGGGCATGATGCAGCAAGATGACCATTATTACCCCCAAAAGGAGTTTTCGGGGAATTCCTATGGTGATCTGCAACACCCAATATTCTCTGAAAACCACGACCTCGTCAAGCGATCAACAATAACTCTCGCAGAACCCAATGGAGACATGGGATTCCCATCTAAGCCATCTTCTTCCTCTACCCTGAATCACCACGAACCTCACAACCATGACGAGTACATGGACTTCTCCCGCCATTTCAATGATGGCTCGTCACCCTACCTATCCTCTGACAGTCAGAAACCAGAAGCTATTCCAGTTTCTCAGACAAGATCAATGGGCAATGGCTTCCACAACCACCCGGTGGAACCACCGGCCTTCCCAAATGAGCCCAGCTATCTCGAAAATGCCCCCATGAATACTCAGCAAGAGACAGACGATGAGCCGACCAATAATAATTCCCGAGCTTTGCTTAGCTCTGCAATCACCGCGCCTCCTCCACCCCCGCCCCAAGTCAGCACATCTCTTCTTGAGTCGCAGAAACAGGAGGCTCTGAATCGACCAAGTCCAAAGGCCGTCAATGACGAAGGTGACCTTGAAACCCCAGCTTTGCCCATCAACCCTACTTTGCGTGGCTCCGGTACATCAAGTGGCAATCAGGCTATCCCTTTTCCGACAATCCCATCTTCAATTAAGCATGCAAAGCAGGACGGCGTGGATCAGCTACGTGCACAGGTCAATGACAAGGATGACCTTGAATCTTCGTCTTTGCCCCTCAGCCCTACTTTCCGTGACTCTGGAAGTTTTATCGGTCTTCAGAACGCCCCTCGATCGGTGAAAGCTTCTTCTATCGAGCCGCCAAAGCAGAAGTATGCGGATTTACCATGCGCAAACGGCGAAATAAAACCTAAATTCACCGAGCCATCACCCTCATCATCATGTCTGTCTCTCTCGGAACTACCTATCAGCCCTAGTTTCCGTTCTGTTGGACCTTCCATCGGCGCTCCGGGTACCACTTCACCGCAGAACTCTTTGCCTGTCAAACCGCCAAGGCAGAATAACGTGGACCAACCACGTGTAAAGGCTACCACCTATATCAAGCCCATACCCACAACACCATCAGACTCAACATCTTCCCAACCTCTCCCAACATCAGCTATCAACCCTACCCTAGCTCGCTCTGGGCCTTCGCTCGAGCTCCCGAGCGCCTCTCGATCAGTGAAGTCTTCTCCTATCGAGCCACCTAAGCAGACTTATGCAAGTTCACCATGTGCAAACGCCGATATTAAACCCCAATCTACCGAGTCAACGCCCTCGACATCAAGCCTAGCCCATTCCGAATTGCCTATCAGCCCAACATTCCGTTCTTCTGAGACTTCCATCAACACTCTAAGTGCCCCTTCATCACAGGGTTCTTCTCCCATTGAACCGCCAAAGCCGGATCATGCGATTATGCCACCTGAGAAAGATATCACACTCACATCACCGTCATCGCCATCTCGATTTTCTTCAATGCACATTTCGAGCCTCCGTCACACCGGGGCTTCCATTGGCTCTCTGGGTACGCCATTCGCAACAAGTCCATCTGTCGTTGGAATTGGACTTTTAAGGCGGCCATGGGAAAAACCATCTGCAAATAATCCAGATGTCAAGTCCACATCGACAATGCCATCAGGGTCAGCCTCGTCCCCTGGGAACTCTCAGACTTTAAGAAAGCCAGAGAGCGCCACTTCGCCGGCCAATACATACCCCATCGAATCGCAGAGGAATGAACCCTTGGGCCGATCCAGCTCAAAGACAGCCGATGTCAAGCCTGCACAAACAAGTCCACTGAACTCCAACTCGAATTTGCTAGGTTCGAAGTTGCCCATCAGCCCTGCTCATCCAAATTCAAAGCCTAGTTCCACTTATGCCGAGGTCGAGGTGGCACGCGCTGTTCATGGCCCATCTTCACCTCAGGCCAAACCGAGCATTTCGAGCCAGGCACGTTTTTCCTCGAATCGAAACCAGTCACCAATTTATCCCCCACGAACAACTTCGTGAAGCCTTCATGGGCAAACTCACACCTCGAACCAATGCAAGGTCACTAATATTTTTACAAAAACAACCTTGCTACATTGGCCGCCACCCACGACGCCACGATCCATTTCTCCGAACGAGCCCCATATTCGGGGCCGAGCACTCGATACCCTTTTGATTTGCTCTGCTTGTACAGTTTATGCCTCGTCGTTTGCCTCGTGTTATTCAGCTTTTGGAAGCATTTATACCGATGGCGGGCGAACCCCTGGAGTCCTAAAAAGTCATTTTTTTCTTTGCATTTTGGCGGATTTTAATTGGATTTTGTTCTGGTAGCCTTTCTTTTGTTCTATCTCTTTTGTGCTGTCTTTTTCTTGTTTCCTTGCGGTTGATTCTATGATTTATCTGTTTTTCTCTTCAGCGGAGGCCCTCGTTCTGCGTTCTGGTGTTCTCACCCGGAAGTCGATGTATATTGATGGGATTTTTTCTATACCTCTTCTTGTCTGACAGGCCTGTATTATTTTTATTTTTTCGTTATTTGGCAATGCAATTCTTGGCTAAGACTGTCTTTCGAATTCTAACCGTAAATAGGCCCTGCTGTCTCCTTCCATGAGGCAATGATTTCTTTTTGCTTAATCATAGACAATTCATTCTCCTCATTTTGCAACCAAACAAGATTCAAAACTTTCCTGCCAAGGTTCTACACTTGACCCTAGTCCTCGTCCAATGAGCACAATCTTGCACTGAAGTGGTTTAGACTTATCCTCGGTGTCTATGGGCTCCGCATCTCGAATCTCGAATACATCCCGCACGGCTTGGATAATCCTGCTTGTCCCGTCATTCAGAATCAGTATACCCTTTAACCGATGAACCTCAAAGTCTACGGGATGTGGCTCAGATGAGACTGGTTTCGCAGGCGCAGGGAACGTTGTATCCCACAAAACAGAGCGCAACCAGGCATCCACGCAGTTGACCTTATCTGCCGGGATTGGAGGTGTAACAATCGCAGTGGTAGAAATTGCCTGGTTACAGTTAGAATCACGAGAGCATTCCCTGTTTGCAACAAGCAGAAGACAGAAGACAGAAGACAATCTAAACATACCGGGTCCATGTGGCTATGTCCCTTCTTACTGAAGTCCAAATCCGCCAAGTGATCATAAGCATGCAAATCCAGCACAACGCCCTCGATCTGCGGCGTCCGACTATGATCCGTCACATGAATCTTAGCCACGCTATTGATAGAGGTAACACGATCTCGCACAGCCTCCAGCTCCAGGTCCGTAACCAAATCCGTTTTGTTGAGGATCACCACATCCGCATGCGAGATCTGCATATGCGCCATAGACAGAACAGGGCCAGAACCGTGGTCGTGGTGCATGTCATGCGACTCGGCCTTCTCTTCAGGCGCCGGCTCGTCCAGCAAGTGCGTAATGTTCTTTGCGTCAACGAGAGTGACAATTCCATCGAGGTAGATAGAGCTACCGAGCCCTTCGTCCATCCAGAAGATCGGGGCGATGTTGCCCGGGTCGGCGAGACCGGTCGTCTCTAGAAGGATGTAATCGAAGGTGCCGCGGCGTTCCATCAATGACTCAATGGCCATTACGCCTGAGTCTTTCACAGAGCAGCAGATGCAACCATTTCCGACTTCCATCCATTCAGTCACTTCTTGGCCGCCCTGATTTACTGTCATTGGTTTTTCAATATCCATTGCTTTGTGATATAATGTTAGAATGTAAATGTTTGCCCCTTTTGGTTGGACATCTTACAGTCACCAAATTCTGCAAATGTATTAGCGATGTATATCATATCTCACAGCCAGATCTAATAGACGAACCATTCATGATCACGGCAATTTTCTTGCCGTGTTTCTCTGTCAGGATATAGTTCAACAGGGTCGTTTTGCCCGCTCCCAGGTAACCTAATCAACGTATTAGTCACATCCTATGGCTTAAATCAATATGCACTGTATTCAATCATACCAGTAACCAGCGTGATGGGCACTCGAGCTGTTGGTTCCTCATCTACCGATGTTTGGTCCGCTGGCATTGCAGACACATCGATAAGCTCCGGGGAGCATCCTCATCTTCGAAATTGGCAGACATACTGTCCTAGGCTTTGAATGTTGCGTAAATAAATATATAGAAGAACACAGAATATGAAGAGAAAGCTCGTAGATGCGGCGGATGACGTTGTTTCCCAAAATAGACGTTAGGGCACAGGGCTCGGGCGGTCAGCCGTTGCTATGTCGATGGTTGTTATCTTCAGCGTCTATGTTTGCTCTCAATACTCGACCTTTGCTTTCATTAACCCACTTTAACAGGGCGTCTAGGGACTATTTACTCCTTTACTTGTTTCTCGGTTTCTCTCATTTCATCTAGCGCCCTCGTTATACTACCGTCATGGCTGCTGCGGGAGTCTCTCCGTCAAGCTCCCCGCGGCTTCCCAGTCCTCCTCCCTTTACTGAGGTTCAGATTGGGCCCCGGTCGCCGTCGGTTGGCGAATCCTTTGGCAAAGATGCAGACCTATTTGGTGTTGCGATGGGAGAAAACGATGACTCGACGCGCAGAATCCGGCCAGGGACAAAATCCGCCAACATGGGCCTGCCTGTGATTCCCCTTTCGCAGGTCGGTTGCTCCCCACTAGCTACTCTAGAAATTACTAATAAATGCAGCTTAATTCTCCATTCCAACTTCAGGAACACATCAAAGCCCAGTACCATAAACTTGCGTCCCAGTACCCTCAACTTAAGGAGAAGTACGATGTGCTTATGGAGAAGTACGATGTGCTCATGAAGGAGTACAATGAGCGGAAGCGCAAAGCATCTGACAAGGTGGACCCGAAGTACGATGAGCTTATGGAGGAGTACAATGTCCTTCTGGAGGAGTACAATAAACAAAACCCCAAGGAATCTGACAAGGTGGACCCGACGAGCGAGGTTGCGAAAGAGCCGACAAAACCGGAGAGCGAGGTTGCGAATGAGCTGACAAAACCCCCGAAGGGAGTCGATGAAACGGTTTGGAAATACGAACTGTGCCGCTTCTTCACTATAGAAGCCAATCGCCTGATCGAGGGCTTTTTCGCTGAGAGCCCGCCCTGCTCGTCGCAAACTTGTCCCGAGATGCGAGTCAACGATTGGCAGTATATTTGCGCGGGCGCGGGGCACCCGAAAGCCGAGTATTGCTGCGCGATTGACTATTGCTGCCATACTCTGGATTGGGCCATGAATACTCTCACCTCGAAAAAGATTTTCCCCAGCCGACTTACATTGTCAGGTGATGAGAATACCACGAACCGCTTGAATGATATCTTCCGTCGCCTTTACCGCTTTTTCGCGCACGCATGGTACCGGCATCCCGCTGTGTTTTCGAAGGTAGAAAAGCATGGCGGTCTGTACGTCTTTTTCAAGACCGTCTGTGTTCACTACAACCTTGTCGCGGACTACACGATTCCCCTTAAGGCCGGAGGACCCGATGAAGTCGCAGCAGCCCAGAAAAGGGAAGAGGCCAAGAAAAGGAAGGAGGAAGCCGAGGGAAAAGCACCTAAGGAAAAATCTGCCAACAGCAGCAACCGTTTCACTATTCTACGCAAGGACGATGAAAACTCATTCGGTACTGCTGTGGAGAATCAGGACCCGGCGCTCGTCACTGGCGCGACCACCCGTCGTCACAAGCACAGCCCTTCAACAGGATCGCGCGTTACAACTATCGCGGAGGATGCGGAGGATTTGGAAGGGGTTACACCATCACCACTGCGTGAGCCCCTGAAGCAATCGCCCGAACCGCGGCCTGTTTCTGTTTTGGAAATACGGACTAGAGAGGAACCTACTGCCGCGGATGAGCGACCTACTGATGTGGAAAAATCCTCCGAAGAGCCAGTTGAGGAGTCTCAGGAACAGCCACCGCAAGAACACCATGAGCTGCCATCTGAGACTCCTGAAGACCAGGAAAAGATTGAGCAGACTGAGCAGACTAAGGAACCCTTGTCCGAACAGTCAGCTACAAACACAGAATTGCCCATCGAGAAGTATGCTACGGAAGGTGATGAAAATACAACTTCCTATGAAGAGGCAACTCCAGCTGAAGAGCCCAAAGAGGAGATCGAGGCGGCACAAGAGCCTTCCGTTACCCCCGAAACCAAATCCGAGCCAGAGAAAGAGGAGTCTTGATGTCAACACTCTCTCGAACCTTTCACGCCAATCTCACACTGATGATAATTGACTGTTTGTATGTATTCTTCATGTTTCCCTTTTCTTTGTTACCCTTGCGGCTAGCGATGAGTCGCAATTTTTTACCTACCAGATACTTCTTTTTGTAATATAGTTCAGGATATTGTTTATGGCCAATGTCAATGATACCCATTCTCCTGTGCTTTCTTGATATACTCATGGATAAAACAAAGAATGTAGTTCGTAGGTCTTACCTAGGTAGCCACATCGGTGTCTACATATACATATTTCCATAGGTAAATAGTATGTACAGGTTAGTCCAGGGTGAAGGGGATGGGGATGGACCTCGGGATGCACAGTGATCTTGATATCTGATAAGCGCTTATCAATACATCGCCCGACATCACCGCAAAACTAACAAGACAACCTTCCAAAAATCTCAATATCCCATAGGTATCCCAACTCCGAAATGTCAGCTCTCAAAGGTGCCACGGCGCCAATCTACTTTGGCTCCTTCATTGTCACACCACAGGTAAATATCTGATAACCCAAACAACCCCCAGTCTCCTCAACCAACACCAATTACATTATAGCACAGAACCAGCCACAGACACAGGCACAACCATAAACATAACTAACCCCAACACACCAACAGGTCTTCCACACAACCCTCCTAACCTTCGCCCTGGTAAACCTGAAACCAATCCTCCCAGGCCACGTACTAGTCTCCCCACGGCGCGTCGTCTCGCGCGTCACAGACCTCACCGCCGCCGAAACAAGCGACCTCTTCCTAACAGTGCGGCGGGTGGGTCGCATGGTCGAGCGCGTATACGGTGCCACGAGCTTGAATATTGCCATTCAGGACGGTGCGCACGCTGGCCAGAGCGTGCCGCATGTCCATGCGCATATCATCCCACGCAAGGCGGCGGATCTGGATCATGCCGGTGGCACGGATGCGGTTTATGACTTGCTTGATGGGGATGATGGGGATTTGGGGAGGGCGTTTAAGAATGCTGCTTCTACGGAAGGGGTTGATCAGTCAACTGAGGCTGGGAATGAAATTGCTGCGGATTCGGGGAGGAGGTCTAGGTTCCCGGCTGTGGATAATGATGCGCGCAAGCCTCGGGGTGAAGAAGATATGAAGGCCGAGGCTGAGATGTTGGCGCGGGAGATGGATAATGGGCCTCTTGACTAATTGGTCTATGTCTTGGATATGAAGGTCCAGGGCAATTGTATACATATGAGTCTACGTAATAGAGAACAGATATGAGACATGACAGTTCACCAGTAAGTGAGATGCTCAAAGAAGTCCTGGATGGCCCCGCTGCTCAGGTCATTGGTGACCTGTTGATAGGAAGGCGGTATTTTCCCACGCCACGATCTTTATCTGAAGGTCATGCATATGTATGAAGGCGCTTCCAAAATCCATCCACGACTTTCATGGCCATGCTTGAACACCAGTTGATCGTTACTCGAATCCTCGGGGAAGAGGAGGTCGGCGAGCATCGATATTGTCACCTCGTCGAGGACCAAACAGACTGAGTTGCGAGCGGGAGGCCACATGCCGAATCCTTCACCCTCGTCATCGTCTCGTTGTAGAGCTCGAATCTGAGCCGTAACTTTGACTCTGGATTTTGCGCAGACACGATCGTCAGATGCCTCGGCTAGGGGGTTTCTCCCCTCGATGAGACTGAGGAGTGAGCTCGGTTCATTAGGGTTAGCTTTGCATCTCCTGTCAGACTGGCTTCTGTATAAGCCTTTCGAAATAGCCGTGCTGTTGTTTTCATGTCGGCCGCTGCGCTGTGGCCAAATGATCGATCAGAGAAGCTGCGGTCTGTGGCACTGGACGAACTTGGAGATTTGGATCGACTGTGGTATAACGACAAATACTCAATGGTGTTCCTCGCCCACTCGTTTTGAATTGAAGAATTGGAAAAGCTGAGAATGTGAAGTTACCGAGGCAGAGCGACACGTACTTACCAGATATCAAATACAGTGAAAATGAACTACGTCTAAAGCTTTCTAGAAATCACGTGTTCTCGTAACTCGTCCTCTATGGTATCTGAAGTACCCAAAAAAATGGAACGCAATGATAAAAGTGAAGAAACAAACGCCGAAAACGCAATGGGTCTCTTAGATGATAAGCCCAGTGCATGCCAGACTCCCCCATCACCCATTTCCTGCAATTACGCGTAAACCGCATGCATATTTATGCTTTCTTAGGTCTCTCCTGGATTACTTCCGCAGCCCAGGCCTGAATCTCGGGCAACCGAATGCGCGAGGCAACGTGGGTGAATTCGGTGAGATCAACCTCATTCGAGCGCTCATACTCAACCATCTGCAACAGCAGCTCCATCTTGTCGATATCATGCACAAAGTGGGCCTCAAGAGTTTCGTCCCTCTCGTATTCCTCAAAGATTTCCTTGATTTTCCCGCCCGAAAAGGTGCCTCCGGGGACATTGCCGAGCAGGGTAGTGGCGATGTAGTCCATAACGGAGGCTTCACGACGAGCCTTCTCGGCCTTAGTGATATGGTAGTCGACTGGAGTGATATCGCCGACAAGCGCCTCAGCCATATCGTGGACCAAGGCCATCTTTGTGCAGTGCGGGATGTTGATCTTGGTTGCTAGGGACGGCGGGGCCATCATCGTCATGATCGACATGCGATACATATGGTCCGAGATGGACTCGCCATTGATGCCAAAACGGCGCCAGCCCTCGCGCTTGGTGGTCTTAAGGTGCTCGATCAAGTGGAAGAAGGGGACAGGTGACGTAGAGTTCTCCTCTGGGCGGTAGGGGAGGGTAGAGAGCACTACAGATATCAGCTTTGCGTAGTCTGAAAAGAGGAATTGGAGGCTTACCAGTCTCGGGGGTCCATGTAGAAATGTCGGAGGCCATGGCTGGTGACATTGCAGAGAGAGAATAGCTGAGAGGAAGAAAGCAACACAACCAAAGAGGTCAATTGAGGAGGGGGAAAAAACAAACTAATTGTGACTAAGCACTCACCTACACCCTTTCCCGGTGTAGGTGAGCCCACACCTATTAACAAACCCATACCTGTTAACAAAAAAATCAACATTTCAATTTTAAACCTATTTTTTACCATCAAAACCATGCCGAATTCCTCCGAAAAAGAAGAGATTCTTCTCTCAAATGCCCTCGAATCCTATAAATCAGGCCAATTTACTAGTATTCAGGCCGCAGCCTCTCATTTTGGCGTCTCAAAGTGGAAGCTTCGAAACCGAAAGGACGGTAGAACAAATGGAAAAGGCCGTGCAGCTACCAAAAAGGCCCTAAATTCCTCACAAGAGGCCTCTCTTATTCGCTGGATTGAGCACCTTAATTCAGTATATACACCGCCAACTGCTATCGATATTGAGGGTGCTGCGAATCGTCTTTTACAACATTGTGGTTCCGACCGGCAGGTTGGCAAAATGTACGGCTATCAATTCATTCAACGCCTACCACCCCATATTACTCTACGCACACAAAAACCAATGGAAAAAGCAAGGATTGAAGCTGAATTACACAGTGATTTAGTTCATTGGTACCAGGTTTTTGGCCAGTTTCTTAAAAAGAATAAAATCCAGGCCCATGAACTATACAACTGGGATGAGACTGGCTTTCAGCTTGGTATTGGAACCAAGGAAAATGTTGCTTCCACCCGTAAATATGAGACTATTGCGACCGGTGGAATAGGCCAGAATATTACCGGCATTGAATGCATCTCTGCCGATGGCTGGGTTATGCATCCATGGTTTTTAATGCGTGGTTCCGAACAAATGGAAGATTGGTTCGATGGCGATGATGATCCTACCAACTATAGGGTTATTAAACCAACTGCTAAAGGCTGGACGGATGATAAAACTGCTATTCAATGGCTATTAGATTTCCATTATGCCACTAAAAAGCGAGTCGCTAAAGGCAGACCTAGGATTTTGGTTATGGATAATCATGGGTCTCATGGAACCCCGGAATTCGAACATATTTGCCAAAGCTTCAACATTATACCTTGGTGGTTTATACCAAAGTTAACACATCGATGCCAGCCTCTTGATGGCAAGCCATTCTCAGTTCTTAAACAAAAATTCCGAAAAAAGAACAATGAGATTGTACGATGGGGTGGAGATGTTGATGATAAACGACATTTTCTTCGAATGATCAAAACAGTTCGCAAAGACACCTTTAAGGCACAGACTATTAAATCATCATTTCGAGATACAGGTCTTTGGCCTTATGATTTACATATTGTTTGTGATCAAATTGATCCTGGCTGGGAAGATGAACCAGTCCTTGAGATATATGGTCATACGCCGTCACCAGACCGTGAATTTCCCAGTTCGGCAACGAATTCGCCGCCTAATTCAGATCAAAGATTCTCAAAGGTTGAGAATAAGGTTCAATTGATACTCGAGAACGATGAACCAGACCTTCCAAAGCTTCAAAAGCATATAGACCGTGCAATTCGTGGTGGTAAGCAGGCTATCCAAGACCTAGCACTTGCAAAACAAACGATAAAAAGGATGCAAAGCCACAAAATTCCTATCAAAAAATCTAAGCGCATGGTAAAAGGTGCTGCTAAGAGTCCATTATCATCAATTGCAGGCAATTCGAAGGTGTATCGGCGATGTACGAAGGAATCTAAATTGGATATTCGGCATGAGGCTGGGAACGCAAGGATTCGAGACTACTGGCATCGCGCGAATCAGGCTCTCAAAGAAAAAGAAGAGGCATCAGGGGATAGAGATTATCTTGATGTTAATAGTGAGCTATTTAGATATGTAGATCCAGATGGTATGGTGGCTGAAAAATAGGTTTAAAATTGAAATGTTGATTTTTTTGTTAACAGGTATGGGTTTGTTAATAGGTGTGGGCTCACCTACACCGGGAAAGGGTGTAGGTGAGTGCTTAGTCACAATTACAACGGACGCGGGACTGATAGGCGCTGCAAACAGTGCAAACCTTCGTTATCTATGTTTACTCTCCGTCGCCTGTTTACTAAAGTCCCCTTCGACACAGGATGGCTACGACAAGGCCTGTTCGGCCGAAACCAATGGACTGGCCGGGTCCCTCGCATTTGGATGTGTTTCTTCGCAACCTAAAGCTGTTGCATCTGGATCAACGCGAGGATTGGCCCGGTATATCTCTCCGCACCTTGACCCCAACATCACAGAACCAACGACAGCGAACCCGACTGATAGAATGGGCCTTGTATCACCTCTACACTATTTGGGATCCAGAAAGCGCCCAAAATGTACAGTTACTCAATCACCAGCTTCCAAATTTGTGAACTTTGCTAACATCCCCTGCAGAAACTCCGGCCCTTCTTCCCCCCGTTAGAACCTCTACAGTCTGTCAACCTCCGCGCGGCCTTGTTTCGGTGCCTGGGCGAATTAAAGAAGAATGGCGATCTGGGAAGGGAGATTATCCTCCGCAAAACCATGCTGGATGATTGCAAGGGCGATAAATTCGAGGAGCTGCTCGCTGGCTTTTCCACCGCCGTTCTCCGTAAAGTTGTGGCGGTCTCCGCAGACGAGATGCTTTGGAATCCTGCCATGAAACTTTCGACTGCAACAGCCATGACCCCAACCGACTATCAGATTCTCCTGCCGCTTATTCTTGCCCACCAAGTATCTCTTGGTTCTGCGGGAGAACGCCATGCCCGAGTTCGAGAGGCGTATAATCGGTTCTCACAGCTGCTAGGCGATAAAAAGATCGAGCTGGCTGAACGTGCGAATCAAGGATCAGATGGTTGCATGAATGATATGCAGATCGACCCCGAGAGCTTGGTGCGTGAGTTACAAACAAATTGGCTGGGCAGCGAGGAATGGGCCACTGCACTGCTCGAAGGCGGATCACAAAGCAGCACTGATGCTTTTCTGGAACTCCCTTTCTCGGTGGCATGGATGCGGGCAAAGGACTCGAATGTGGACAGTTTCAGCGGTGGGTTGAAGCAGGACCTGGTCCTTGATTTGGAGGGTCGTGTCCTACTCCAACGAAGTCGACTACGAAAGTGGCATGAATATAACAAGTCCCTCTCAAAGGAAAGAAGCACCGACGAAATGAGCGTAGCCTCGCTTAAAGAACCACGTGTGTTATTCCGGGATCACCAGTCTCTCACAGTTGCTAGTATATCCAAAGCCGTTCGCCAACCTGGGGATCGCGGGCGGACGTTGAAAGGGCCAGAGAAATATCTCCTGTCCTCTGTAAATGAGGCCTTATCCCGTATCAACGGCAAATCCCGCGTCAAGCCTGCAGTTTTCACACCGGAGGTTAAAACGAGCAGCAAACTACAATTCAGAAGCTCATCGGAGATTGTCAGCTCGCCATCAACAGTGGCAGAAGACCAACACACCACAGGCCATCCACCAGACATGGAAACCCCAGAGCTCCACCCAGAGCCCGAGCTCAAATCCGAGCCCAAGCCACATCCAGAACCAGAGTACACTCAACCCTCCCCCCCAATCGTCCAGCTCTCTCCGGACCTCCCCTCATCGGACGACGAACCAGCCCCAGAACCAATCAAACGCACCCACACCTTAGCCGAGCGCACGCGCAGATCAATGTCCCTTTTTCCGCCCGTGGCCCACGAAGCGCCACGGCCACGCCGCAGACCCCGCCCATCCTTCCCGGTCAACCAGTTCGTGACGCCGCGGAAGACCTCCGCGCACTCAGCTCGTTCGAGGGACGAGATCTCACGTGCTTCCACACCGCAGGATCAGCTCTTTGAGGAAGATGCTGAGTACGCGAGTGTCTTCAAGTCACGGCCACGTGTGGCGCTGAGTCCTATTTCGTCGCCGGCTGTGCATGTCAGCCCCTCTTTTGAGGAGGACAGTTTTGAATTGGATTATGAAGATGGGGATGAGAGTGAAGGCTGTGAGTGGGGAGATGTTGATTCGCCTTCAGCTGCTCCCCGATTGAGGAGCTAGGTTTTCAAATTATATATATGTACCAATAAGTACCTGAATCTTTTCTGCAGGGAGAGACTTTCCTATTATAGTGGACAGATAGTATATTACGCGCGGGTCATAAAGATGTACTTATTAATACCCATGGACGATTCATACGTAAAATAGTAGCATAGTGATGTTGTTGACAGTATGTTGATTGGTAGCAGCAAGTGACGCCTAAGATCCAGTGTGGTGTAGACATATACTGTGGACAGGACCTTGGTCCCACTTAGGGCAATCCCACTCATGCGGCCCATGCTTGCTGACTATCAGATTGTTTTCTCGGCTGACATGGATGGTTATACAGACCCCGACGGCTGTCCCCGGAAGATTCCACTTATCCTCTTGCATTGGTCATCGGCTGCAACCCACCTGGGCAGATTCGAGTAGTGTGCAGTTTCTTCCTATCATAGATTCTTGCAGCATGCCCCGATACTACTCCGGTAATGTATCACATCATTTTAAACTTAGAGCCTCGATGCCCTCTGTATGTAGGGTCGACTTGGACAATTTCTCAACCCTTTCTGTAGAACATGTCCCCTGAATTTAACCACTACATATCCCTTACTTCATGGCAAGGTTACTATATGACGAAGTTGGACAAGTGTAGCTGTTTGAGTTTCTATGCATGTCAACAATGCATAACGCCACTTCGACGAAACCAACTGATTCGGCTGTAACACTCATTAGATTCAAACTAGGTTACACATGATTCATCTGGTATTTGCACTATTTTGCTTTTGTTCCTTGTTTGTGTGTGTAACCCATGTTACATCCAGTGATTGTTGCTGCCGAATTAGTTGTTTCTATCGCGGTGGGCATGGACTCTTCAATTGATTCAGAATTTCAAGTTTCTCCCGAAACAACCGATAAGGAAGGGGTCATGTCATTATTGATAGATATAAATACCGCTCATTATGGCTGGAATTTCCCAGACCTGGGGTAATCAAGCTCCATTACTTTTCGCACATTGCAGTTATTGCTCGACCCACAGTGCCATATTAGGAGATGGATAATACACTTTCCGGAAAGATTGCATCCCGCTTCATCGAGAGCTGGATCATGCCCAACTGGACACTAGTGATTGTTGTTGCTGCTGTGAGTACAACCGTCAATATTTGGTGACGTTTATTTCTTGGCGTCATGATTGACCTTTCGACGGCTTAGATCATCTTCTATTGTATATATCAAATTTACCTTCATCCTCTTTCTCGATTTCCAGGGCCAATTATCTCCAAGCTCTGCAATGCCCAGTCTTTATACTACGCTTTGAAAGGCGATGCTCACCTGGATGTACTACGGTGCCACCAGAAATATGGTACGTATGTCCTATTCAGCAAGGCCCATATACAAAGCCATAATTGAACTGTATACAATCAGGTCCCGTGATAAGATACACCCCGAGCACTCTCATCTGGAATAGCACAACTGGGCTGAGAGGTAAGGTTTTTCCAGCTTCTACGGTTGAGCGCGCTCCTAATTGAATAAGATATCTACGGCATCCGACGGAGGGTTCACAAGACACCTAACTATAGATTCCTCGACCAGGGAATTCCAAATATTCTCACAACCTCCGACAAATTCATACATGCAAGTCGGCGTCGAATGCTGAATACCTGTTTCACGGACACGGCTATCAAAAGATTTGAACCCAGATTATTGCATCACGTACAGAAGTTCTGCAACTTACTATACCCCTCAGAAATCCAAGAGGATGCCGGTGGCCAGCTTTCCTGGGGACCAGTCATGAACATGTCCGAGTGGTGCGCGTATCTCACATTCGATCTGATGACTGAATTTGTCTTCAGCAAAGGATCCAACTTGCTGGGAAAGCCGAAGAACCGGGCCTTGCTTCCGGTGGCGGAAAGATCGTTGGACTGGGTGGCAGTACTATACAATCTGCAGCTTCCTTGCGCCGAACATTTAACAAGTTTCCTATTCAGGGTTGTGAATCGTCGCCATGGTATCTTCACCAGATATATCAAGTCTAATTTGAAAGATCGACATGGCCTCAGGCCTGAAGATCTCGGTGGAGACGTTTTCTCCCATTTGCTGTGCAATCGTGACGGTCATTCTGGAGAGAAATTGAATACTGAGGAAATCCAATCGGAGTGTCAACTCCTGTCTGTTGCAGGTGAGTTCGGAACAAACTACAAAGTGGACAGGTAACTCATTCCACACGAAGGATTTGACACCCTTTCAAGTGCTTTATGCGCTACAATTTTCTACCTCAGTCACTACCCGCATGCCTACACTCTTCTGGCAGCTGAAATCCGAACTACCTTTCAATCTAGCGCAGATATCCAACCAGGCGAGAGGTTAAAGGGGTGCAAATACCTCAATGCATGTATCGACGAGTCACTGCGAATATCACCCCCAATTTGCACGTTTGCCCCCAGGGAGGTTGAGGAGGGAGGTGAGATGATCGACGGAAACTTGATCCCAGAGGGATGTGTTGTGGGCACCTCCATTTATGCGATTCAGCACAGCCCAGAATATTTCCCTCAACCCCATGTATACCTTCCAGAGCGGTGGTTGACGACCAACGAGAGCCCAATAAATGCTGCCTTCACACCATTTTCCATGGGACCCAGAGCCTGTATTGGACAATCAATGGCCATTTCAGAGCTTCAGACCACAATTGCACTCTTCATATGGACGTTCGACTTCAAGCTCGCTGACGGACATGAAGGTACAATTGGGATGGGAAGTCCCCAACAACGAGCTGGGCGTAGAGATCCCAGCGAATTCCAGTTATATGATAGAATGACAACCAGGGTGGAAGGGCCAAAGATTCAGTTGCGTCCAAGTAGCAACGCGAGGAGCGACGAGAATTGTCGTTGAGGACGTGATCCCAGCCAATATACTGAAGGTGCACAATTCTAATTTCATTATGGGTTTATATTATTCCTGTCGAGGCAATGGTGCATCCACCATTGTTTGCATCCTTATTGTTTGTACCAATACGCTAGGTATATAAGCTTCGAAGTTAACTCACACGGATAGTAACATTTGACGTGGGAGATCAATACGAACACCAAATAGAAGTCGCACAGTCAAGAAACACACAAAAAGGATTTTCAAAAATCATTTAATCACCAGTCTTACGGGATTTATAAAATGACATGAGCATCAACAAATCCGTGGAGGATGAATGATGACTCGCACGTGCCGCACGGGAAGATCGAGTGGGGGTCAAGTATGATGCCATGGATGTTTTAGTCTCGAAACATGAAACGCAGATGTCAGAGATAAATTGGGGAACTCGGTTATGTCAAAATATCAAATCTTTAAAAGTATCCCCCATGTGCACTATTATCACATGTAGATAAACCGAGATTTGAAATAAAAAAGTACATAGTTATTAAACTTTTGCATCTTAGATCCTAGAAAAAGGAATCTTGCAACGGCCATATCAAGATCAAGATCCGAGAAACTTTGCCACGTTTTGCCAGTGCGACAGAGACCAAAGTCTCCAAGAGGCCCTTGCTCGGAATCTGGCAATCTTACTCGTTGTAGTGTGCAGGGCATTGGTCTTGAGATAATCGCCCGTGCGCTACTTGGGCTCCAATATTTTCACGTCTGGGTGTTCATATTTTGCGGATGTTGTCCTAGAAAATTAAAACCAAAATCCTTCCTTCCGAAGAGGTTCTTCGGCGTCAACTTCTCCCTCATGGCGCCTCCCTCAGCCACACTCGTTCACTCCCTTGGTCATAATACCTTGGGAAAGGTAGACATCGCTGTTCAGTCGGTCCTTTTGGCTATTGTTTTTGTTTCTGTCGGTCTACGGTTATGGTCGCGACGATTGCAGTGGATTTCGCTGAAATTGAATGATTTGTTGATTATAGTTGCGACGGTAGGGTTATCTATTTCATTGCTTCTTCTCAATCTGTGGCGCTGTCGGTTCCCCGCAATATCTCGACAAGGCTGACTATAAATGTATAGTTCTTTATGATCGGTCGCTATGTGGTAGAAATCATTATGGTTGTGCTGTGTGGAATGGGGCTGCATTCCACCGAAGTAGCCCAGGTCGGAGGGTCCGAAGTTTTTATCCAATTCAATGAGGTAGGTTACAATGAGTTGCATCCATTTGATTCATGTCGATTAGTGTTTATTAAACTAACCCGACCATCAGCTTACATATGCGGGTGATCTTCTCTGGGTCACCGTGATCGCCTTGATCCAGTTGTCAATTCTTAACTATTATGTGCACAACTTCGGTCAACGCGCTATTACCTTGCTAGCATATGTGATCATGGGTCTATGCTCGGCTCTCTGGGTTACAGGTTTCTTTGCAACTGCATTTTTTTGTACCCCGCCAAAGAGAATATGGCTTCCCGACACTCTGGGTCATTGCGGAGATCGCAAAATGTTGCATACCGGTGTCAATGCCGGTGAGGCAATTCTCAGCTTCTTTGTTGTCATTCTTCCTATCCCTTTGATATGGGGCATGCCCTTATCGAAGACTAGAAAGACTGCACTGGTGTGTATCCAAGTGCTAGGGCTGGCGTGAGTAACCAACCCATGATCATACGCAAGAAATATATGGTACAGACCTAATGGCTAACCAATGCTCCAGAATCACTGCAATTATTGCTGTCCGCATGAAAATCGAGTTCGACCTCGACCCAGAAGATCCAACCCACAGCTCTGCCAGGAAGTCAATACTTTCATGTATCGTGCCTCTTCTGGGAATAATTGTTGCCTGCCTCCCAACCCTAGAACCAGCCATTCAAAGGATCTTCAGAATATCAGCGCCTCCACCTTCAGCTCATACATCTATATATGATCCAACTTTTGCGAGGTATTGGAAGACGACGGTTCTTTCGGGTAGGGGGTTGGAGGAACCAGAGATGCCTCTGGTCACTCTTACTCAGCCATTCATGGCAAAGATGGGCTATCTTGCTCCTGGGAATATCCAGGTCACTTCACATTGGGAGATTCATTCATCGCGAGGTTCAGCAAGACTCGATAGATCACCCGTGCGGCAGGCCTGAGGGGTTTTATATCGAGAAATCTGTGGCTTATATATTGAAATGCATACATATAGACTTCGGGTCTGGTACTCGAGATCGATTAAGTTCATTTTATTATCTATTCCCCCAAAGTACGGTAATAAATGCCCTCGCCTGGGGAATATCGACCGCCCAATGTATATAGCTTGCGCTTCCAACTATTCCAGTATATCTATCTGTGAGCTCTGTAGTGAGTCTGGAGTATCAATGTATTGAATACAAAAAAATTAAAAATTAAAAATTAAAAAAACGTTGGAGCCAAAATCATATGCCAGGAGATGTATGTCTCAAGCACGAAGATATTTCTGTGCATATGGACAGATTCCTGTTGCCTCCTTTCTTTCTTTCTTTCTTTCTTTGCATTCCTTATTGTGGTATACAACGAGGCTAGGTGAGAGAAATGTTTATGTTTCTCTTTGCTAATTTACTCGATAAACATAAGAAGGCGTAAACAAAGCAAAACCATGGACACAATCAGGTACATACTCAATTTGGCAAATTAGCCTACACTTTATATACAGCAGCCGGTGATATTTTTCATCCCAACTCATTGTGGTTGGCCAATTGGCCTAGTGGTAAGGCATCCGTTTCCGGTGCGGGAGATCGTAGGTTCGAATCCTGCATTGGTCGTTAACTTTTTGCTTTTCTATCCCCTAAACAAAATATGCATTTGTTACTGGAGATGGATTGATTTTTTGAGGCGGTATGCTGGTGATTAGCTGATTGGTGATGAGATAGGTGGGTGAACGGAGGGAATAATCACATGTGGTTAGTTAGTTAGGGCTTGCTTGTAGCCATCATCCATTTAGATAGAGGTAGCGAAACAGACAAACAGACGGATTTACATACATATATGCGTGGAAATAAAAACACCCAAGACTGGACGGTGTTAAACAAAGTAGAAGATCATACATAATACCATGCATGTGGTGAAAATAACCTGATATTTGAGCTACCTGCATGTAACTAACGATTATTGTGGTAGAACAAGCTGCGGATAGATATATCTTACCCGGATACCCGGATGGATTTGAAACCAACTGAAATAAACATACAACATATAACATGCCCAATAATAGTTATTATTTATTATATATATGATATCGATCATGTTCTCAATTATGAAAATGGATGCTTCTAAATAAACATTCATTCACTTCTTGGATGAATGAATAATTTATTCATTCGGATGATGATGGACAAGAAAAAAAATGGTATGTATGTAGCAAATAGCTTCTTCCAAGGTTGAGGGGTGTGGATTGCCTGCCTAAAGATACAAAACCTCGCCATATTTAAGGATAAGCAACAAAAAGGATAAAGAAGCCCCGGTCGATAGGGAGGGAATACGTACATCATAGCAGTTAGATAGATATAGCTAGAATAGAAAAGAAAAGCAAAAAAAGCAAAAAGATAACGACCAATGCAGGATTCGAACCTACGATCTCCCGCACCGGAAACGGATGCCTTACCACTAGGCCAATTGGCCGCCTTGTGTATGAGTTGATCAAAAAATGGCATTATCAGGGAAAATTAATGAGCACTACATATTTCCATATTTGCTGTAACCCTACATACGCGTAGTCAACAACACACTATACGTACGTACATTGCTGTCTGCAGATACGAACCGATGCTTGAGGTAAGAGTTGCATATGTACAGGTGTTTCGAGCGACCACTACGAGTGGCGTAAACAAATCTACGAGCTCCCAAGCAGGAGACGAGAACCCCAAGGTGGGAGGACGTCTCTCAGGAACAAACAAACAACCCCTTAAGGAGGGCGTATTGCCCAACACCAATCAGTTCCTCGAAAAGAAGCTCCCGGGATTAAAGACCCAGGGAAGAAACATCAGCAGCGCAGGTCCCGGACCCTACATCGTCTCCCACGATCAGCCAGGATCATCCCTTGCATAGCAGGGAGGTTGAAACCATGATCAACGGAGAAATTTGTCGAGATCAAGCATTGGTGCATTCCCGTCGAAGGAGAAAAGAATTCAGCCACCCTGTCAGAGCAGCGAAAAAATCCACTAGGATTCTCCGCGAGGGGTTGATATCGCCGCACAGGCAGCTGAGGAGCAAGACGCAACGACGCCCCTTCATATCCCAGTTATGATAGAATGTCACGAAGATGATCCGTCCTGAAAATATTAAAGAAAGTGTGGAATCCCTCGAGGTGACTCGCATTCCCGCAGACGTTCGTTAACACCCCTTCTTGTTTTTTTAATTTTCCACATCCAGCTTTGTCGCTCGTCGACACTTCCTTTCTTTCAGCTCGATACTTACGATAAAGGTCTACACAGCCGACACAATGGTCAAGACTACTTACGCCCTTACGCTTTTTGCGGCCGTCAGCTTGGCGGCACCTGTTGCGCAGCTTACTGGCCGTGCTGAGAAGCAGGGTTCAGTTGAGCACAAGAACCTCATTCAGGATATTCCCATCCTTGGACCTATGCTTGGAGGGGTATGTACTTTTAGTTTAAAGAAAGCCGAGGTCCTAGAAAGGAAAGGGACTAACAGCAATCGACCAACAGAAGCAGGAGCAGGATGCCAAGCGCGATGAGTCTCAGCCTCAGCACCACAACATCATCGACGGGCTTCCGATCATTGGAAAGTTAATTGGTAACGTAAGTTTGTCTTTTGTTTTCGAATACAAATACAGAAATACTAACAAAATGCCCTAAATAGCAGAACCAGCGCCGAAATATCGGTACAGAGGGTATTAGTGGCTTGCCAATCATCGGAGGGCTGTTCGGGAAGGTATGTATTTCACCCATCAGTCATTTTAAGGGGTGGGATGTTAACAGAATCCTAGCACACACACACTGGCGGTGAAAATGGCATGAACAAGCGCCGAAGCTTCGGTCAGAACTATGGCCAGAACGCAGGTCAAAACCATGGTCAGAATGCTGGTCAGAACCAGGGTCAAAATGAAGGCCAGAACAAGGGCCAGAACTATGGTCAGAACCAGGGTCAAAACGAAGGCCAGAATCAGGGTCAAAACGAAGGCCAGAACCAGGGCCAGAACTATGGCCAGAATGCTGGTCAGAATGCCGGCCAGAACTATGGTCAGAATCAGGGTCAAAACGAAGGCCAGAACAAGGGCCAGAACTATGGCCAGAACTATGGTCAGAATGAGGGTCAAAACGAAGGCCAGAACCAGGGCCAGAACGGAGGCGAAGACTGGAAGCGTGACCTTGAAAGCAGCCTCAGCAGCATTCCCATCGTCGGAGGTCTTCTCGGAAAGGTATGACACGTATTCCCAGCCATTCAAACGGCCACCAGAATTAGAAAACAAAAAACTGACATGACACAGAATCAGGATAAACCTTCTCACCAGCAGATCGAGACCCCTGCCAAGCATCTCGATACCCGCCAGGCGGGCCATTCCAAGGGTGTCTTCGGTATCCTGCAGTCTTTGACTAGCAGTGGTGTAAGTTCTTAGGCTACACTAGTATGTGTACAAGTGCTAATAATCCAAATAGCCCATTTCCAGCAGCCACAAGCGCGACGAGTTCGAGCAACTGGATCTAGTGGACGATGTCGTTGAAGGAGCCGTTGGGTCTGGAATTGACGCTGCCTCTGGCATGCGGGTATGTCGTACTACCAGCATTGAGGAAGCCTCGGGATAAGAACGCCCACCAGCTGATTGTACTAATATCTCGACAGATGCGCCGTAATGAGCTCGCTGCCCCCAAGGCTAGCAACGGCCAGCAGGGAAACCAGAAGGGAGCCGAGAACCAGAAAGGCAAGGAGAGCTCGAGCTCCGGCGGCCTCCTCGGCGAATTAATGGGCAAGAATGGCCTCGGTGCCATCAAGGGCCACTCCCAACACGGCGTTGGCCTCTTCCCCGTACGTGAAACCCACCAACAGGGAAACAAACCACCAAGCTAACATTTGTCCAGATGCGCCGTGACGAAAAAGAGCTCGAGGCCCGGGGGCAAGCCCCCATCCAGGGTTCCACCCTCACCGCTGTTCTACTCGAGGGTGGTGCTCTGGGAAAAGTCACTAATATGCTTTCTGGAGGTGCTATGCCCAAGCCCGGTTCCAACTCCCCCTCTAAGATCGGTGATGGTTCTACTATGGGTCCTCCCAACCCTGCATCTGGTGCTGGTCCTCACTCTGGTCCCGGCCTTGTTGGTGAGCAGAAGAAGGGCTCTGGTGCTGTGTAGGCTGTACGCGGGATAATTGCCTTGTGTTTTATTTATTTCTATCAGTCGAACAGATTATGATGAGGATTTTGTGAAATTAGTTGGACTAGCCGACCAAGATTGGGGGTGCGCAATCGGTTACGCTGTGTTGTTGAGTTGTTATTTATTCTTCCAAACAATGTCAAATGTTTTCCTTGATTCAATGTCAATGATAAACTGAAGCTTCAGTGTATTAAACACAGGCAATTTTGAAGTTTGGACACAAAAACCTGCAGGAAGAACCTGCTATGTAATGAGACAGGCAGACGAAGCTGCAAGGAGCGCACGCAAAGAAACCAAAACACAGAAATCGTAAGTCGTAGTCAAATCAAAACCGGGGTTTCCGGTCCGGACCACCCAGTTAAAGAGCGCCCTTGGGGGGTATCAGGTCGTTACACGCGATGAAATCAAATACAGCCACACCACTCGAGATGGAACAAGCTCCGAAAGGCAAAGACCAGCCTAATCGGAGTCATCATACATGTCCACGTCGTCCACTATAACCGTCGTTCCCAACGCCTCCTTCCCTTCCCGGATCATCGCCTGCAACTGCTTATTCAATCGCTGGATACTGGCATCTTCTTCTCGTTCCTTGCGGCGCATCTTAGCAGCCTGTCGCTGTATATCAGCAGACGCAGGAGTATCCCTCAACCGAGGGGATGGCAGCCCCCCTGTCCCTTAGTAGGCGAGTGGGGTCCGACAGAAGAATAAGCGACTCGCTTAGCCAGCCGGGGCATCACAGCAGATTTGCGGCGAGGACTCGACGCCTGGAAAGCACGTCGTGTGCGGAGTGATGGGCTGGCAAGCTCGCTGCTGCCCACGAATGGGTCCGAACTCTCGGGTACCACAACCCAGGTTCGATCGATCTCGTCGTCTGGATATTGGCCGGGTACGGGTGTCGAGTAATATGTATTCGGGCTGTACATGTCTTTCTCAGTGGATGGGCTTGTTGAGGGCTGCCAGCTGGATTCGAGGGTTGTTGCTGGGCTGGATGACATGTCGTAGCCCTGTCCTCCTCCTGCGTAGAATCCTCGGAATGCGCCGGTCCAGCATAGATCGAGGACTTTGCTCACGGCTTTGATCACGGTCCGGCCCCAGCCTGTCGGTGTTGTGGTGTTGGGGCCATCGGGGGTTGCGGATATGACACAAGAGTCGCGGCGGCTGCGCTTGCGACTGCCGTTGTAGTCTGCTAGGTTTGCTGACTCGTCGCTGGAATCGAAGGAAGGTGGGAGGAAGGATTCGCGGTATCGGTTCGGACGGTAATCTAGCTCGGCCGAAGCGTGGAAATCATTGCCTCCGCTTACCGAGCGGTAGTTGGGGTGGATCATTGGGGACCCGGTGAAGTTGGACTCAAAATGCGACGAAAGTTTCTCTGTGTTACGACGAGGTCGCTTGCGACTGACCGAGAGAGAGTAGAGGGATGTGGAAGCCGTGGAGGCTGGGACTTGGAATAGCTGAGAGGGCGCATTTGAGAGGTCGAGTTTAGGTGGTGAAGCAGAGTTGAAGACAGCGTGCATGTCGGGCATTTTTGAAAGAAAGAAGAGAGTAAGACAAAAAAGATCAAAAGATCAAAATCAGAGAAAAAAGAGAAGAACCTCTGAAGAAAAAAAAAAAAAGCGAGAGGTTGGATATTGGCCGTGACAAGATTAGTGTTTCTTACAAGTCACACCTCTTTGTCTCACTATTTAAACCCCCTACATGACATTCTCATATATCCCAGATGGATTCCCATATTGAAATTACAATCGCTGGCTGGTCCATTGTACTCCAGCTGCCTCCAATCCCTCATCACCATCAACTAACACACACCATCCCTCGCCGCCTTGTCCTCCATCTCCCGCAATCACCGCCTCAAAGTGACTGTGAGCGTATTCCAGCACTTGATCGTTAAAGGTACCAGGCTGTAACCAAACTGCAGGGATCCCCACCGAGTGCGCTTCCTGCAGCACCTGGAGGGTCACAGCCGGGGGAGTCACCACTGAGAGGGAAGTTTGCGCCGGCGATGGCAAACTGGCCGGCGAGGGGACTGTATCGTAAGCACGCGAGGGGAGAGTGATCTGCGCTGCTCGGGGATTGAGCGGTGTCACCGGTAGGGAGTGTTGATGATACCAGGCGAGGACTGTAATGATTTAGTTCTCTATACAGTGTACAGCAAAGTGAGTGTTCCCCTACTCTTGTATCCGAACTTGTGAGTGTCATTGCTAGCCCCCGCCACCGCAAAGCGGGGGGAAGAAAAGAATCGCTTGACTGCTGCTGCCATGATAATTTGAATGGTAATTTGAATGGAATAAATTGATTTATCTTTTTTTTTCAAAGAGTCAAATAGCTTGTAAGGTTATAAGTGGTAGCCACGTAATAGCAAGTTGCAAAGGAAATAAAAGTAAAGCGCAACCTCGGCCGATGACGACTTATCTCCCTTCCATCTCCCATCTCCGACATTCGGCGACCCAACTTATTACTTACATCTTCACATTATTCGCATGCCACCCTTCCTCCCCCGCAAGCGCGTATCCTCTGAGGACCCGCCCCCGGCCAAGCGCCAGGCGGGGCCCGATAGTTCTCAAGCTCCCCAAGCTCCCCAAGCTCCCCAAGCTCCCCAAGCTCCCCAAGCTCCCCAAGCTCCCCAAGCTCCCCAAGCTCCGTTCCACCTCTCCGACTCCGACTCCGATTCCAACTCCTTGAGCGACGCACCTGAAGGTCTTCTCAATAAGGACAATGCCCCTCACGCGTCCGAAGAATCCGAAGATGAAGAAGAGGATATTGACTGGGAGGATGCGATCGACACAACCAGCGCCACTACACCTACCATCGCAGCCCCGGAGCTACAGGACCTAGAATTGACCCTGGATCAAAATGAGACACACGTGTCTGATCTTCTGGATGGTAAAAAAGGGCCTAGTAAGATCGAACGCCAAATTCGGATCCAGACACACTGTATGCATGTCCAATGCTTACTTTTCCACAACGCTATCCGTAATGCCTGGAGCAATGATTCCAAAGTCCATGAGATCCTGCGCAAAAAGCTACCGGAAGGGATTCACAAAGAAGTCAAGAAATGGCGCATAGCATCGGGCCTAGAACTCCCAGAGCCAAAACCAGAACCCCCCAAGGGTAAGAAGAAGGGCAAAAAGGCCCAGAAGAATAAAGACTGGAGCGATGAGTCGGAGCGACTGGAACCAGGCCAGCCGGATATGAGCCGTGGCGATCCAATCATTACATTGATTAAGGTGCTGGTCGCATACTGGAGGAGGCAATTTCGCATTACGGCCCCAGGACTGCGAAAGTATGGCTACCGACCGGTATCTGCTCTTGAAACTGCAATCACCGAATTTCGCGAGGAAGAACATGACCCAGAGCGCCATGGTGAGCGTATTGCCAACCTCGACGAGTTCCGCGCGACCGCCGAGAGTATGCAGGGCTCGCGGGACGTCGGCGCACAGCTTTTCACGGCTCTCGTTCGTGGTCTAGGTATTGAGGCCAGACTCGTGGGTAGTCTACAGCCGCTGGGCTTTGGCTGGACCAAGGGAGAGACCTATACACCTCCCACACCTCCCAACGCGGATGGGGACCCCGAGAATGAAGGGGAGTCGGAAGGATCCGAGCCTGAGACTGATGCAGCTGAAAATAAAGTATCGGCGAAGAACAAGCGCAAACAGTTTGACAAGGATCTGCCATTTCCTATCTACTGGACCGAAGTTGCCTCACCCGTCACGAATGAGATTATATCTGTCGACCCGCTTGTACTTTCCAACCCCGTGGCGCCATTTGCGGATACAGATCTACAAGCAAACTTCGAGCCACGCGGTGCAAAGGCAGACCGGGCCAAGCAAGTCATATGCTACGTTGTCGCCCATTCGTCAGATGGTACTGCTAAAGAGGTCACCACAAGATACCTCCGGCGGCGGACCTGGCCCGGCAAAACCAAGGGTTTCCGAATACCCCTGGAAAAAGTACCTGTGGGTGCAAAGGGGCACTACATCGCCTTCGACTGGTTTGGGATGGTAATGCGCGGGTATCAGCGAGCGCGCAAGAGCAAAACAGCAGTCGACAAACTCGAAGAAACCCGAGATCTACAACCCAACCAACCCGAAAAGAAGAAAACAACCCAAACAGTTGACACCCTCCAAAGCCTCCGAACCTCCACCGAGTTCGTCTTAGAGCGCTTCCTCCGCCGTGAAGAAGCCCTCCGCCCCGGCGCCGAACCCGTCCGAACCTTCATCGCTGGAAAAGGCGCGCGTGCCAAAGAAGAGTCAGTCTTCCGACGAGCAGACGTTTTAAAATGCCTATCCGCCGAAAGCTGGCACAAAGAAGGCCGCCAGACAAAACCGGGCGCCGTAGCCCTCAAGCGCGTACCCATCCGTGCCGTGACGCTCATACGCAAACGCGAAGTTGACGAACTGCACCGCCAGACCGGCGAGAAACCACTGCAGGGTCTGTACGCGCGCGACCAGACAGAGTACATCATCCCGCCGCCTATTCAGGACGGCCGCATCCCCAAGAACGAATATGGTAATATCGACTGTTTTGTTCCAAGTATGGTCCCCGCGGGCGCGGCACATGTCCCTTTACCTGGTACCGTGCGGGTGTGTAAGAAGCTTGGAATTGACTATGCGGAGGCAGTGACGGGGTTCGAGTTTGGGTCGAAGATGGCTGTGCCGGTTATTCAGGGTGTTGTTGTTGCGGCTGAGAATGAGGGTTTACTTAGGGATGCTTGGAAGATTGAGGCTGCAGAGAAGAGGAAGAGGGAGGAGCTTAAGGCCGAGAAGAAGATTCTGCAGACGTGGAGGAAGTTTTTGTTTGGGTTACGGATTATGGAGCGGGTGAGAGATGAGTATGGGGGTGGGGATCCGGATGCTGATCGGGAGCGCGATTCACATAATCCTTTTGCTGTGCAGAAGAAGAAACCAAAGGAGGAATCAGATGATGATGATAATGATGATGAAGAGGAAGAAATGCCTGATCGGGAGTCGTCATACAACGCGATTGATCATGGTGGTGGCTTTCTTCTTCCTGGTCATGAACATGATGCAGACGATGGGTTGATTGTCGAGCACCATGACCAGCAGCGGAGCCATGAAGGCCCGTCTGACACTGATGCCGATGACAACGACAACGACAACGAGCCATTCGAATCTGGATCTCCTGCTGCAGACTCTCCGCCTGTGTCTATCTCCTCGGGTTCAGATAACGAGGCGGATAATGGCCAGGGCGAAGGCTCAGAACTTGAATACGCACCTCGCCCGACACGACGAACGCGAGGTCGTTAAGGAATGAATGTATGTACCATGGCTGGGGCTGGAAGAAGGCTGTGTATTTTACTATGTAGTACTAACTATCAAAGATTAACACTGTGCTGACCTTGTCTCTTGCACTGAGCAAAATGGTTCGCAAATTTATGACAAAAACCACATCTATAGAAAAAATTCTTCGATAATGATAATGATGTACAGCATTAAGAAATTTCTCAAGTATTAGAATACAACATAACTAGTACGTACATTCATGGATACTTTTCAGCTTAGATGAGCCTTAAGCTGTCAGTGACGACTATTCTGTGCTTGTCTTGCTTGGTTGAGTTTTTTCCCCTAGTATTTACTTAGGTTTCCATCCTACCGTTATGAAAATGCAAAGACTTTTCATTACCATGATTCTATATATCCACTGTCTATGCCGGCGCCGGGAAGGATATTGATACATACATATGTATTGGTTGCAAGTTGCAGCCTGGTCTTATATGACCGAGATACGGTAGAACTGTAGTTCAGTCGAAGCCAATCCCAGACAGCTTCTGCAAGTTCCGCTAAACGGTCGTTCAACAGAATAAAGTCAGATCTCCGTATTTTATTAATAGTCTCTTTGCTTTCTCTCATTTTAATAAATTCTGTTGGACACTGCATGTTTCACAGCAGTGGTTTCACGCGGTTGTCCGCAGTCAGAGGCGCAATACTCCATATTTCGTTCCTCTTCTCTCTCGTTGCTCCATTACGGATTTCACCTCGGACGGCCCAGTCTACGAATTTAGCCTAGAGTTTCTAGCAGCTACCTCTACCACCTTGAAGGTTCCTCCGCTTGGTGTCAGTTTGTAAATGAAGTGCCATCTAATAGTAAATGCGTCTCCCGCTCACGCCTGCCAGCTCGAGGGCGGCGCCGCCATCCAAGCCACCATGTTGGCTGGCCAAAGCTAAAGCTGCGAAAGCTAAGTCTTCGAGGTGTTTGCCAACGTGCACCATTAACCTCTTCCAATTATCAAAGATGTTTCCACAAATGGACATGAGTGTTCATTGGTCAAGCCAATTTCGAGAATCACTTTACAACATATATAAAAGGTGCATAACTAGTACATGCATTGAATACGTGGACTCCGAAGGTCGCACATATAAAACTCAAATTATGTTGTGGCGGAGCTGAAAATAGTTCAAGATTGTGGAGATAGACACAATAAGTCGGCGTAGTGTCGTACAAATAAAGATTCAACCTGTAAACATCTATTATATCCATAGGCGGCCAAGTAAAGACGAGAATTCATGACATTATATCATGTTGCTAAATTGAATTAATCATTACAGTAAATTATTAACGACAGCACTTGGTGAAAACTTTTCAGCTCCTGAATCTAAAAGAGATGGTCGATCTTGCGTAATAATTGACACATCGTGAGAGAGCCGATCTGTGTAACTAGAGGTGGAGCAGTATATGCTCACCTGAAATGCAGATCATCGGCTGTGGGATTCGAGAGGTGCGGTGTAATCCAGGACAAAAAAAAAGAAACTTTTACCAATCCAGTCAAATATCCATTACCAATGTTGTAGAGAATGAGTATTTATTCCGATAAAGGGCTCCAGATCACCGCAAGAACTGTCAGCGGTGTACTCCGTATTGTCAAGACAACCTCGCCGAAGATTAACAGAGCTTCGGCATGGAAAAACTAACACTAAGGACTGATAGTGGCTAGCTGGCTGCGAACAGCAACATTCCCCTTTGTCTCTGGGAAGCCGGTGATATTGACTCCCCTCTTAAAGATCAAACAGTGGGTTGATCCCCCGTAATGAAACATCCCTATCTCATCTCCCTTCCTTACATGCTGTCCTTCTTTGACTGTGATCTCACATGACGATATTTCTACCATTCCAATGGCAATAAATGCCATCAAGCCAATGGCGGGATTGTCCGCATTGATGAATACCACCGATCGCGTTGACATAGCCGAACTGTACGCCGGATAATCGTACAATCGTCCCGTGCCATCATTGATGGCTCTTGGTGTAGAATAATAAGTCCCCTGGATTGTGTAGGTCTTGAAGACCGTGCCCGATACTGGAGCGTGCCACCGATGATAGTTGAATGCGCTCAGAAGGCCCTGGTAAATCGTGCCGCCAACAAATTCACCCGCATAGTCATTCCCCAGCATCTGAGCCAGTGAATACGTTCGACCCTTCATCTAGAAGCTGTCCCGTGCCTTTATATCTTTCGCCACTTGAGTTGGCTCGGCTTCGCACGCACTGATCACAATGTCATGGTCGTTCTCCGCTGCAATGGGTCGCATGCCGTCTCTGAATTTGCGAGTGAAGAAATTGTCCCATGATCGAAACCCATGATACGGGGCGCTCGGGTTGCAATCGAATATCTCATGAAATTTATATGTCGTCCCATTTGTATTTCCCGAAGCAGCCAAAGCCGTCAGACTTGAGTTGCTGAACCAGCCCTTCAATGGATCATCCAATGTAGCAGCAGGTTCTGGTGTCCGTAAAAAGTCACCCCACGTATCAAGCACTCTCCGGAAAATTGCGTTGACCTCTGGGTCGAGGAATGCAGCAAACCCACTCGGTGTGCCCAGGTATTCTCGAAGCAGAGCAGCCATTGGTAAACCAATCTGCTGACCTTTATCATAAAACGGTGGTGCTTGGCTGATGATTCGATTGAAAATCTAGAGCATGTGGTGATAATCCTTGATCTTCGCTCGATCCCGGGTTCTATGGGATTTTGTCGCGTTGCTTTGCTGAAACATGGATTGGAAGAGTAAACCAACACGATCGTTGGTTTCAATCAGATGGCCCAATTCCTTTAATATGGGATGTAGCTCTTGAGGATTGTCCGATGCCTCGGCGATAATTTCCTATACCCAAGCGACGGGGTCCTCATCGTCAACGGAACGTCCTGTTTTGAGCCTGCACCGTAGTTTGAGTTAGTATGTAGCACTGTTTGCTTGTTTGGTACTGAAATGGACTTACCTTCCAAATAGTCTTAGGTGGCTAATGTCATCATTATCACGCCGACCCTGGAAGACAGTCAGTTTTCAAAAGTCATTCTACGTTGAGAAATAGATTTCTAACCTGTGACCAGAGAGTGTAGGCCAACCAAGCAATTGATAGTGCTCCAAGCACCATGATCGTGCCACTAGAAGCCCTACTTGAGTTCATCTTAAACCGCGTTGATAGAGAAAGATGGCCCAGGTTTAGCAGGTGAATGAGATATAAATTGCTTAGGAATTGGCCATTTTGACCTCAAGAGCAAGTTCAGGCAATTCATAATTCCATGAAAAGAGAATTGTGCAAGTCCCCACACTGTGGATTAGAGAATGCAAAAAGAAAGAAAAAAATGCCCGCATGCGATCCATCGATTCGGAGGCCCCCAGTATTTTTGATTTTCTGCCGATAAAGTCATATGATTATACAGTTATGATAAACTATTCGCCTCCGTAGCCCCCTTGCCTCGTTGATCCTTGTCTCATGGATCTCCAATAGGTGTGGGCCCGAGTCCGTGGGGCCTTAGGCACGGACTTGGTTATCCCCACTTCTCCAGTAATCAGACCAGGGGGGTACCCATATTTTAGCATACCAAGGCACTGTTTGCATACTCTTGGGTCAGACTTGGGCCCTCGGCTTTTTCATTCCTACAAGTCATCCTAGCCCGAACATACCTAGAAAATTACTTAGAAAAAGGTCTAGAGCACTTGATCTCGAACTAATCGCGATATACTAGGTCCTCGATTAAAAAAGGTCTGGTGCATTTCGACACTGACACAGTTCAGTCTAAATAATCAAGGAGGAGTCCCTATTGTGATTCGCAGAAAACACCTTTAATATTGTGATAGCGGAGATAAAAAGCTAGTTGAGGACATCGAATTGTACACCCATATGATCTACCCATTTACTACAGTTGAAAGACAAGCATACACCGTCTCATTTAGAGGGCCGTGGCCGAGGCACTTGGAGCAGCACCGCGTGAGGAAGCGCCAGGGGGAGCACCATCACCACCACCCATACCAGCACCGGAATTCTCATTCTCAACACCACCCTCCTCGGTGTAGTAAGCCGCAGGGGTAACAGAGGTATCCTGGGTAGGGTCCATACCAACCGTGATCCAAGCGAAGATTCCATCGGAGATATCATCGCCCAGATAGACGTATTCCATGAATGGGTCAATTGTATCGAGCTCTTCACTGAGAATGCTGTCGTCCGAGTTGAGGGTCACTTCCTGCGTGTTGGTTGAGTATGGGGCGACCTCATCAGCGGCGGAAATGAGATCCTGGTCGAAGAAGATCTGTCCAACGTGCGACGAGGAAGAGGTGTAAAGACCGGAGATGGTTCCGTTTGCAAGAACCTTGGTGTCGTTGGCTGGGTGGGTGAGGACTATTGAGGAATTTAGTCAGCATTGGAATCGATTTCAACAAGGAGCTTGTGGCAAAGGGTATTCGTGCAAACGAGAAGAAACAGTAGAGAAAAGAAGACAATAACAATGAAGGAAGAATCTTGTATCTGGGTATCATACCGTGGATGTGAGTTGCACGGCCAGTGTAGTGGCCTGGGAAGTTTGATTGGAACTGGACGACACCATCCTTGTTGCTCTTCTGGACACCTCGGTTGAAGGTCGTGTTGAGGTTAGTCTGATCGTTAGAGTTGCCGTTTCCACTGGCGACGACTCCAGAATAGACACCCTATGATTATCGATGTGAGTGGGACGGTTCGTATACAGTGAGAATTTGGGGTGGAGAATTGACTTACAGTTGAGTTGCAGTGCCAAAAGTCCGTGTAGATGTCCGGAATGGGTTCGCAGGTGTTGGTGTTGATCAGCTGGATATCCATGTAGAGAGGAATACCCTCCTGGGACTCCGCGATGTTTTCACGGACAAGTTCACCAGTGACATCTAAACCGCGTCAGTAAAATTCAACCATAAAACAGAAATGGGGAAGCTAACAGTAAGGTCCCTGGGTGACCTCAGGTCCGAGAATGCAGGTTGCATCGGTGCCAAACAGCACATCGGGGTCGGTAGAAGAATCCACTCCCGTGAGATTGGAGTGGTGCGAAGTATCCAGAGCGCTATCGGAGCGTGCCTTGTGCAAGTGACTGGCTATCGGGTTGTTAGAATGTGATAGTGTTTGGAATTGGACTTCAAAAACATACTAGGCTCAAGACCAAGGCGGCGACGGATGTTCTTCACGGCCATGTGGCGACGGGCCACGTTTCGGCTTTGGTGGCCTCGACGCTGAAGGCGAGAGGAACATTGCGCAAGGCTGCGCGAGTGAACAGGGGCACTTTTCAAGAATGCAGCTCGCTCGGCGGCTTCGGCTCTAACATCATGTCCCGGGTGAGCGGACACAATGCCAGTCAGAGCAGTTAGGCCGATGGCAACAACAGATGCGAGATGAACCATGATCGAGGTATTGAGGCAGTTAAAGGTGAATGTGAATGAGGAAGTTGTTGATATCACAGCTGGGTATCTCGGGGTGTTTTATACCTTCCTGTTGCCTCTCTGGATAATACCAAGGCGGAGCATGGCTAGATTCAGGATAGACCCGCTTCAGATAAAACATCATTTTGATGAAGCTGACGAGGGATATGGAGTAGTTCCGGGCCTGGATTGACAAATGAAACGCGGAGCGTTTCTCAGCGAGAAAGGCTTCCTAGTAACTGCAGGCCTCCACAGCGGAGCTGGAACCATCTATTAATAAGATTACGATATCCTAAGGCGCAGGACTGCAATTGCTTGCCGTTGATAGGACACCGGTAGATTGTGAAAGAGCCAGAGGTCCAGTTCGGCAGCAACTCTAACCAACTCTGATGAATCCACCGTCGATCATCCTAGCACTATTGTCCTGCCAAGAAAAAAACTAGCCATTGGCGTTTTCGCAATTTTCAATGCGGGGAATTAAGGACGCGGCCCAAGTATGATCTTCATAGAACAAGTCTTTCTCTGTGTGCCACTAGAAGTCGTCGTCGTAACGTGCGTGGTATGTATACGTAGTCGGGGTCTTGGCGGGTCCCGTCCCGAGGTGCCTTGCGAGATCAGTCAGCGGAGAATGGGGCCCCGATAGCTTTGGCTGGATATCGTGAACAATCAACAATGGATATTTCGCACCCCAAGAATTGCTGCCAGGAAGCCTCGGGCCCCAATCAATGTAAGACAACTCACATGTGAAAGACTTTGCCTTATCAAGAGTGCATTTTCCCGTTCAGTGTCGAACAAAATGATGTTCGGACCTTCGAAGGTTGGATTTTGCCAAGGCGCTGACATAAACATAGGAAAGGCTTGGCAATTGCTTGCTGTCCGAAGATCTTCCGATGTTCGAGTGTGATTGGTGGATGTTGGTGAACATGGGTATCAACCTTATGTGGTGAGAGAATACGGAGTAATGTCTCATCATTTACACCTCTGGGCCTGTTTTGCAGGGCAGACACGCGGCCAGACGACTTCATCTTCATTTAACTACATTACCCATGGATGAATCCCCAATGGATGAATTCGTATGCAAGTTCGTGTGCAAGACTTTGTTATACCGACCTTGGTTCTTTATGGTATACCAAACCACATAGTAATGCCCATTTCATTTGTGTTGGACTTCACGTTCTGTTCCTCAACTGTGGTACTCTTTCATTCTTTTACAACAATTATCAATATGATCGAGACTACTATGGCCCCGGTGCCCATGGAAGTTTTTTGGCATCAAGCACTTGATGGTTAAATGATTGCCTACAAGAATTAAGAGGAAACTGTATCAAAAGCCATCAGAATTAAATTGATTATGGTACATGCATATTCGTGGATATCGGAGGCAATGTCGCATGAAACCGTTAACGCATGATAGAGGCAAAAACTGAAGCAAGACCTCCTGAAAGGTGGTCATAACTACGTAAAAGACAGAGAACAAGAGAACCACCATGACAGAAACAGTCCGATGGATTAGACCTCCTGCTGGGTCACGCTGGGTCCATGAGCCGCCTTCTCGTCCAATCCAATCTCGGCAGCAAAGGTGCTGTGAGGCTGCCACTTAGAGGAAGTGCGAGGAGTAGTCTCTTCCATCATCTTGTCAACCTGCTCAAGGGTCAGACCCTTGGTCTCGGGAATGAGGAAGTATGTGTAGACAAAGGCGCAGCTGCACAGAGAGCCCCAGATGAAGAACACCTTAGGGCCAAGGTTACCCTTATCGACATCCGTCATGTAAGGGGTGATGACTGCAATGATGCAGTTCCAGAGCCAGTTGGAAGCGGTGGAGAGGGCAACACCGCGGGACCGGATGGGCAGAGGGAAGATTTCACCAATGACGACCCAAGCGCCGGGGCCCCAGGTGCTGGCAAAGAAGAAGATGTAGACGCAAATGAAAGAGATCATTGCACTGACGGCCTTGGGGTTTTGGCCATCGGTGACACCAACAATGGCGACAATGAACTGGCATATAACCATGCCCAGGGCACCCCAGAGGAGCAAAGGACGACGTCCGTATCTCTCAATGGCGTAGAAGGAGAACGGGGTGGAGAAGACATTGACAATCGTGGTGATCATGCTGATCAGGAAGGGATCTTTGATTGTGTGAAGGTCCTTGAAGAAAGTGGTTCCGAAGTAGAAGATGAAGTTGACACCAGTCCACCTATAGTTCATTAGTTCCTATTCAATCGCAAGGAGGGGAGAGTGAGACATACTGTTGCATCATCTGCAGCGAGGTACCCAGGATAGTACGACGAAGGTTGCTGTTAGGGTGCCAAAGGCTTCCACTGAAGCAGCTCAACCAGGTGGTGAAGTATCCACCCTGGGGCATTACCATAAGTTCGTACTGGTTGTTGGCGTCGATCTCATTCAGCTCCAACTCAACAAACTCTGAATCCTCGGGCTGGCCACGGATACGGGCCAGGACAGCGCGAGCCTTATCTTTCTGGCCCTTGCGAATGAAGAATCGAGGGGACTCGGGAAGCATGAACAATCCAAATGCCAAAATGAGAGCCCAGAGCATCTGGAGGGCAATGGGGATCCGGTACGACCCACTGTCTGTACGGTTCTGGGTGCCATAGTTCACGCACGACGCCAACATCATACCAATAGTGATGCAAAACTGGTAACCCGAGACGAGGGCACCACGGACCTTGCGGGGTGCAATCTCAGACATGTAGAGAATGATGATAGCAGAGACAAATCCGATACCGAAACCAGCAATGAGACGACCAGCAACGAGAAGTCCAATGCTGGCAGAAGCGGTCTGCAAAACAACACCGACAATGAAAATGGCGCATCCAGCAATAATAGTAATCCGACGACCGAACCAGTCAGCCAGATCACCGGCGATGAGGGCACCAAAGAAGGTTCCGGCGGAGAGAATGGAGACGATGAGCGACTGGTGGGAGGAGGGGAGCTTGGGGCTGACGGTGGAGGGATCCTAGATGCGGTTAGTGTGATCCTAGAAACTGTGGGGAGACACTGATACTCACAAGATTCTCGAACTCCCGGATGAAATAATCCATGCCGAGAACACCGTTGATGTAACCAGAGTCATAGCCGAAGAAGATACCACCAAAGGCAGCAAAGGCACACATCAAGTAGGCCTTGAAGGTGACAGGGGCCTCGACGCGCGTGGCGTCGACAGGCCCAGAGATGACTGCTCCACCAGGCATGGTAGCAAGTCGAGGAGAGCAGATGGTTTAAAGAAATCCAGAGAGAGACAAAGTGAGATGCCTCAAAGCAAGATAATGTGAAGTGAGAGATGGGGAGGGAAGAAGAGGAAAGGAAGGGACTGGGGAAGAAGAGATAATTTATATCCTGGGGGAGACAGCCACACTTGAGCTTCATCCCCAGACCTCCCCCATGTCCGGAAAAAAAGAAAGGAGAAAACTACCGGAAAAAACCATAATCTAATCTAATCCATATTCGGCTTGGTTACTGTCGGCATAAAATACAAGAAATCTAGAAATCGGCTGGAACCACTGTGTAGCCAAGTCGGCTCTGGAAAGTTGACCACGCGATAGAAACGGCAAGTATAGAAAACCGGGGAAGTGCTGCACGGCCTAAGCCGTAAAACAGTAAGGTTAGAGGATCTGATTGGCTGGAAACCCCAGATATGATCCACCGATCCCTGTCTCATCGGCTATAAGAGGGTCAAAGTGAAATCAAACCCACAAAAACCACCTTTCGCAACGTCTAGAACCAAACAGAGCCTCGGATTGAGAAACCGGACATGTCCACTTTAGGATAGAGGGTCCGCGGGGAAGACAGCTCTAATTGGTTGGTTGCCTTGGGACTGTGCGCCACGTGTCCCGCAAATACTTTCCAAGGTTTTTTTCTGGTTTTACTGTGACTCTCACAGTCCAAGGGTATTTTCTCCAGGTTATTTTTACTCATTCACTAGTACTTCCAGGGCTACTCTCTAGCTTATTCGGTAATGAAAAAAAAGGTGGCTCAGTTATGAGTCTGGTGACATGAAGGGACTGCAGTTCACAGTTCAACACTTCCAGGCTAAACAAAACCTACTAGTTAGTTATATTCACATCAATGTCACATTGAAGGCAAGCCGTCCAAAGCACAGACCTTGGGGACGCCACACAATCCCACTGTCCCCTTTACTTTTAAGGGAAAAAAAAACCAGCCTTGGCATAAGGAAAGCTGACTACTAGTATGGATAGGGTACACAGTAAGAATAATCACGGTAAATTAGTTTCAGGACTTGGGTTTAGTGCTTTACTATGCCAACAAAAAACAAAAACAAAACCACAATGATCAACACTGTCAAGGTGGCTCGCAGCTCGGGCATTACCGAGCCAGCCGGTGGGTCTATCAGAACACAAGATTTCCGAGGGCAGAAATGGGCTTTCGAGGCTTTCTCCCACGGGGAAACCAGCCAGTTACACACGAGGGACCCTAACCTTTTCAGCTTTTCATCTCCGCATTCTGTCTTGGCTATCACGTGAAGTCGAGTTGTCGCAGCCTATCCCGTGCCGAATATCGCCACAAAATGAATCAGCGGACTATTGTCGGGAAGATTTCGTGCTTGTCCCTTAGCTGCCTTACCCTGTCTCAACCGCGCGCTTGGCGTGGCATGCTATTCGATGTCGCAAATTGTGACTCTACTAAACTTCCGAACCTATCCAACTCTAGAGCGGCCAAATACAGCAAATGCTACCCCAGTGCCCCATCCACGGGTCCGCGCTCGGCTTACGGAGTACAGACTGATAGAAAACTTGCCATATGGTCTCGGTTGGAATAGTGGCATGAGGGACCCACATTAGCCATACAATGGGGACCGAAGTTGGGAAAGTTGAAGAACTGGGGTTCTCCGACCGAAAAAAACGAGCAAACGGAGCGAGCCGAGGAATTCATTTCCGATGCCGGTGAACACTTTCCGTTAGAACGGTGATTTGTTGTCCTTTTTGAAGGGAAAATATCTATCGATGTACGGGGTCGGACTCGGTTGTTGCCGAGTCAGATGTATTAATGCACTACTCCATACTCATTAGGTCTTGAAAACATGGAGAAGTCTCCGGATCTCCCGGATTTAGGTTTGTTTTCCTGGGGGGAAATACTACCCCAGGACTTACTTGTCTTGAACACTGGATCTGGTCACCGGTGTAGACTTGTTATGTTTACCTACCTGTCATGATCAATATCCCCTTTTGGATTTTAAAACATGGCCTTGACTATGATTCGTGGCATTCCTTGATTTCCATGGTTAAACCTGACACACTCATTTTGACACATCTTTTGGCTACCCAGGATTGGATTTTAATTGTCCTACGTTGTACTCCGTACAGGGGTCTCGAGTCCATGACCCGAGTGTTCGGTTGCACCTGCATCAAGACTTGCCTCCCTACAGCAACAGGTACCAGGTAGAGTTTTCATTTCCATTAAACGAACAAACCAAAAAAAAGGGGTTAAACCAAAACTGTATCAAAACTCTGTGTGTGAACATGATTCTAAACTACGCGCCATGTAGAGACTGAATATCAAGTCCGACCAACCCACCCGTCTGTCGCCAGTCCTCAATCTCTTTCACATAACTCTTAATCCCCTCTCCCCAGATACTGAAGTGTGCCGCCCACAAGGCTTCAAGGTCGTCAAATTGGAGTCCTTCCCGATTGAAGTACCCCGGAGTGCAATTCAAAACACCCCCCAGTGCTCGTGCTCTCATCAAAACCTTGGCAGTCCATTCTCCTTCCGAGCGAGAGCTAGGCTCAATAGTAAACCCGGCAACGGTGACATTTGAGTTTCGTCCCGAGTTCAACTTGCAGGCTTCCGAATTCAACTTGTCGGCTTCCGAAGTTAAATTTCCAGCCTCCGAAGTTAACTTGCCAGATTCCGAAAGGATGTGGGCGACATGAACGGCAAGCTGGTCGAGAACATAGACCTGGTTTGCGGACGCTCCTGTTTGATACGGACCCGGGAAAAACAGGTTAGGAAACCCATTGGTCATCACTCCATGGAGTGAAGTCAGTCCCTTCTGCCATTTGTCCTGCAGGATCTGGTTGTTCCGTCCGGTGATAGTCAGATCCCCACAACCTCCAAGACTGTAGCCTGTTCCAAAAATGATGGCATCCACTTCATACTCTTGGTCCCCTGCCAAGATCCCTCGATCTGTCACAGTCCGAACCCCTTTTCCATTAGTGTCCACCAGGAAAACATTGTGCTGGTTGAATGCCGTGAGAAAGTCGTCACTGAAGCACGGCCGTTTGCACCACCCAGGATACCAAGGCTTCAGAACACGAGCAGTCGCTTGATCGGTCACTGTGGTTTCCACGCGACGGCGGATCGCCTCTTGACGATGCAAATCCAATTGATGCATCCGCGTCAGATGGTCCGGGTCAAGGCCGGAGGGACTTCCGATCAGTACACTGAACGACGGCATGTTCGTCCAACCATCATCGACAAGGTCTACATCTGGGAGCGGATTCTCGTTCGAGGGGAAGGCGTTGAAATTCTCCATGCGATCTCGTTGCCACCCAGAGCCTCCTTCTTGGACCATTTTCGCCCACCAGGTGGGATCTGTGGAGTGGTTGTGACGCCAATCTACAGAAGATGGTGTGCGCTGAAACACAATCACTTTCTTTGCCCACTGGGCAAGGTGTGGGATCGCTTGGATGGCAGATGCACCGGTTCCGACAAATCCAATTGTCTTGTCTTGTAGTCTATGCATGGTTGGGCTGCTTGGACTTCCTCCAGTGTAATCATAGTCCCAGCGCGAGGTGTGGAAAACCTTCCCCTTGTAGGTCTCAAGCCCGTCCAATTTTGGTATTTTCGGGGAATTCAGCAACCTGGTAGCCAAAATGACAAAATCAGATTGTATTGCAGTGGGTGACTGGCCATATGGTGTGATATGAATTGTCCATTGACAATCCTGGTCATTCCAAGCCAACTTGTTGACTACAGTCTGAAACAAAGCCCGTTCACTGAGATTCCATTGACTGGCAATGCGATTCGCGTGTTCTCTCAATTCATGCCCGGTGACATACTTTTGCGACGGCATGTACTTTGTTTCCTCTAGCAAGGGCATGTAAGTGTAACCTTCGACATCACAGGCTAAGCCGGGATATTTGTTCCACCACCACGTTCCTCCAAAGCCACCTGCTGTATCCACGAAGAGGATCTCAATCGCACGAAGAAATCCCGACTGGAGCAGTCGCACTGCGAACAGCAGTCCTCCAAACCCAGCACCGATAATGAGGACCCGGACATTCTTCTGCTGGAGCAGATTGTTGTCGATCGCGATATTTCCGTTCGAATGAACACTTTTCGTGGATTCATCGGTCAAGCCCACATATTGGGTTGGTCCGTCAGGGCGCAGGCGTTTCTTGCGTTCCACGTCATACTGATCTTGTATCTTCTGCAGATCGTGTTCGCTCATCTTGGCTATATTGGATATATTGGTGGTAGGTTGATCGAGAGCGGGACCCTCTGGGCTAGCAAGGGATTTCTCTGGCATCATGGCAAAGTGGCGGAGAAAGAATCCCTACATACAAATGAGAAAGACTAATGGGGGTTAATAAATGCCATCGTGAGTTGTGTGTCAGCTGTTCAATGAGATGCAGGGTGTTTAGCAATCGTTTGTGTTCTATGTTGTATTTCCTAGCAATTTAGCACAAACTGAGAACAAACCGAGAGTAAACGGGAAAATAGAGCAAACGGAGAAAAAGAAATGCTTCCAGAGAGGATGAAGTATATGTGAGCTGGAGATTCTGGAAGCAAGGGACCGAAACCCGATCCTAAGAAGCTACCTAGTACCGTTCCTCGATACCTTAAAAGGACCTATCCTATAGTAAGGCCTATTAGGCAATAGTACAGTTAGGAGAACAGATCGTTAACGTTAGAAGACTGAGAAGCTTAAGGCAAGTATAACCTAGAATCCCTCTAACCTAACTATGACCAGTTGGCAGTGCGTAACACCGGGCCCACTCGGCATGATAAGGGAAAAATCTCTTTCCCGCAAAATCTGTTGAAGACAACTGAACATAATTGAGCGGGAAGTAGCTCTGATGATTAATGTTGTATTTATTCATGCTGTATGCTATTTAACAGAGGATCGTTCAACCTTCGCCATCTTCTGTTGTAGCGAGTGATGTTCAAAACAAATTCCCGAGGCTAGCTGGTATCCCCGGAAGCGGATATATCCTTCCGTGTTCCGTCCGGCTTACCGAATGTCGAAAAACTTTCACAACTATTTTTGCTACCTAGGCAAATTTTTGAACCCAGTCAGCAAGATGAATAATTGTTTTCTTCATCTGCTAGGGTCATGCAAGTTTTTCGGGGTGAGATTGATAATTGTAGCTAAAATCAGGCGTAACTGTCGAATACCAAGGTTGAATACTGCGATGAAATACAGGGTATTAAAAACCCGGAAAAATAAACGGACCGCTCTCTCCGCAAGCCCCCATACAAATTGCATAGCTATATTGTTTAGTAAGCTATGTCCGCACAGGTTGGAAGTAGAGCGGACTCGTGTCATTTTAGCTAGTTACAGTCATATATATATTTCATGCATACCATACGTTGCTGTACACCCATATTTCTATCACTACACACAAATTCGCAGATGGAACTGTAATTAGGACTCAAAAAAGGCCACCACCTACACCTACTTCAGCCAAAACAGCATTCAAGGTCTTTGGAGATCAACCGATCAAAGAGTTGCCGATTCCGATAGTCATTGATATGTACAACCATAACATGAATGCAGTTGATCAAGGTGACCAATTAAGAGCCTCATATTCAGGAGAACGACGTGTTCGAAGGGGAGGTTGGCATGCCTTATTCGAATTAATATTCCATACAGTTCTCGTCAATTGTTGGCTGTTATCAAAGCACAGTGAGGGTGTATTCAAAAGTCCCAAGGAATTCAGGAGATCATTGTTTCAGGCTTTGCTTGAATTGAACAACAAGGCACAGGGCAAGAGGAAAAGGTCTGAAACACAGAAAAATCAAGCTCAAATTGAGGGTCCTTCAACTCCTTCAGGCCATCAGTTGCAGTATACAAGTAAAGCAGTAGACTGTCAGAGCTGTTCCGTACGATCCAAAAAGCGGAGAGCTTTGGAGCTAACCAATCAAAATATTCGAATGAAATGTTCTCACTATGGTTGCAAGGCATGTGGAGTTCATCTATGTAAGGAAGGGCCTTGTTTTAGTCAATATCACAGCGTAGTTGATAGTTAGTTGTTGAACAACCTTCAGCAGGAGATGGAGTTTCAAAAATTGAAGATCTGATTGGTCAATATCCCTGCCATACAAATTGATGCCTGACGGACTTAGGTGAGCTGAGTGATGAAGGGATACGTGGACCTGTTCTGCCTATCTTTACTTGGATATGCCGCCTGCTGAATGTGGCGATGCTTGACATCAGATACACAAGTGGGTAGCACAGTATGCTGAATTTGATTCAATCTACATCTTTTAAGCATCCTGTGGTCTACCAACAGGCCCTCTATTTGGGCAATCTGCCCCTTTTTGCTCCCTCTGCTCCAATATCAATCCTCAGACTCACTGCAATACTACTGAGACTGGGAGCAACCTCTAGCCTATACTGCTTAAAAAGATTTGTATTGGTATATTTTGATGATGGCAATCCTCCCCTCCCCCGTTGCTTAAACATTGATTCCAGCAACTATATACTACATGTATCCTCGCGGTGGACAAAAAAAGCAGTATTAATTATGATTCTGCCACGCCGTGTGGGGCATTGTACTTCTGCAATAATTGGTTCCGCTTGTTTTGTCCCCACGAGGTATCTTAATCAACTTCTTAGTACAGCAGTAATACTCTATGAATAACCCACAATTCCAATGGTTCAAGTAGACTAACTTCCAGGTGCACCAACACAATAGTATTCGTTGGCCCAGAAATTAGAATTACAGTTCGCACCTCCTGCGCCGAGGACTGGGTTCCAGGAGTAGAGCTCGGTGGCCGTGATACCGTTCTTCGTGGCGAAGCCGGGGCAAGAATCTCCCGAGGCAGCTTCAGCAAATTTCGTACATTGCGGGTCTATACCTGACTGGATTGGCGAAGGGGTGGCTACAGCCGTGCTTGTAGGAGCAGTTGTTGTAGTAGCTGAACCATCAGGCGCGCCGACGCAATAGTACTCGTTGGCCCAGAAACCTGAGCCGCAATTCGAGCCTCCGCTACCAAGGACTGGGTTCCAGCTATAAAGCTGGGCGGGAGTGATATTATTCGCTGAGGCGAAAGCGATGCAGCTATCTCCGGAGACGGCCTCGGAATATTTCGTACATTGCGGGTCGATTCCGGATTGGACTGGTGACGGAGTAGGTACACCCGTGGAGCTGGTTGTGGAAGTGGTGGCTGTACTTGTTGCAGAGCCTACAAGTCCAACGCAGTACCAGTACCCAGCGAAGAACTGCGTGAGACAGTTCTCGCCATTTGACCCAAGAACAGGATTCCACGTCTCCAACTGCTGTGATGTGATGCCGAAGTCCAGGCTGAAAGAGTCGCAGCCATCGCCCGACTGAGCCTGGGCATACCGATCACATGTTGATGGTATGCCAGACTGGGTTGGGCTGGGTGGAGTGCCACCGGGCGCTACGAGAGTGGAGTTTCTGGAGGAGCCACCAACCCCACTACTTCCAGTGGATGTCCCACTTCCGTTACCTCCACCACGCGAGTCCCCGCTACTAGTCGTTATATTCGTTGGGGGTGAGATGTAAGTACCGCCTGGTGCGCTCGTGCAAACATATTGCTCGGTCGTATTATCACAGATACCAATGAGATTCGGATTCCACGAGAGGAACTGTGTGGTGGTGATGGTGTTGTTACCTATAGCCGGAAGAGTTGCGACGAATTGATCACTGCGTTCGGTGTTGGTGTGAGTGAGGGTCATGATTCGCCACTGCAAATTGATGCGGCTTCTATGGGTTTGAGCAGACTTACCAGGTCGTGTTTGCGTTCAGCTGGGTAACAGAGCAAGAGAATGGAAGGCACACAACCGGAATCTCGGTATAATCAAAATCAGGCATGCAGTCTGGATTTTGATACATCTGCCATATATCACCCGTTGATGTATTCAAGAACGAGGCCATGACATCACAAGTTGTTTGGGTGGTATAATCGATACCCGGAGGATTCAGATCAGCCAAATTGATGCTCCGGGCTTGACAAGTCACATTGGTCGTTCCATTGCCTCCGAGAGGCTGAAGGTCGCTGAAACCGTACGTTGTGTTGTCGACCCAGTTGTCCGATTCTCCTGGAGCATATTGATAATAAGGAAGGTTTCGAACGAGGAGATCGGGTACTTTTGAAGTGGCGTTGCAGACGTCAAGAATGTCAAACCATTGATCAACCAGGTAATCTGAATGATCCACATCCGGCAGGAAAGGAGATGCAATCCGCAGGTAGAACATGCTCAAAAAGCACTGCGAGCACAGCAAGTCGTCTGGGTAGAGGTTTGCAAGCCGTTCGTTCTCGGGCGGGACGTCCGTAGGATCAACACATTGAGAGGCGTTGGAGTTGGCAGGGTCAGTGCAGTCTGGGCGGATAATATCCGATCCAACCCAGTCGTAGGACTGGACAAGACAATACTGAGATACGCTGGATGTTTGGCGAGAGACCAGGTTTTCACTGGTGGCAGATGCAGTTGTACTGTTGTCAAGGAATGTTGAATTCGTGATGGTGCCGTTGATCCCAACGTCCAGAGTTAGATCGGTATTTGCAGTGACGCAAACGATGTTCAAGCCGTCCACAAAGCGCCCGGGTATGGTCTGGGCAGGATATATCTATAATTCGTGTAAGTAATCGAAGATCTACAAGAGTTTTTCACATACTCTTCCATACGCGTTCAACTGGTCGTTGGCACATGCATCTGCGCAACTATTCCACCACAAAGCTGCTGAGTTCTGGCAAGCACCAGTGCAAAGTGCTGTAGCATTGTCATCGCTCCAGAAGAACCCATCAGCGTTTCCAGCCATGGAAAAGAGGTCTTGATCGCAACTAAGGGTGGCATTGAGAGCCGTCAAGCAGCCAGAGCTAATGTTGAATGCCGTACTCAAGAGATCTGAGGGGACACCTGGGTAGAGGTTGAATTGCGCCATGGTGCATGCTGAAAAAGACAGCACGGCAAAGAATTGGTTAAAAGTCAGCATTTCTCTGCTCCAAACAAATAAATGCTGCAAGTTTCTTCAAGACGTGAAGGGTCAAAGAAGACCTTTTCGACGGGAGAGCAGGCCGAACCAAAAACCAAGAACCAAGAAGATGTCTCACCGGACGGAGATTATCCCTTCAACGCTCAGAAACCTTTTTTAGCGTCGCGGCCATATGAATACGGTATCAACAGTGCAAAACAGGAATTCTGAGTGGTCAATATCCCGGTATAAAATTTGTGCCTAAAATACCCAACCGAGTGAGCGTTAAAGGGATAGATACCACGAAAAGAAATTAATGCACCTTTGGAAGGATGTCATGGTCACCTTTCCGTAGCCTCATGCAAAGAGACCGATACATCACACCGGTATTAGATGAATTGGTGCAGTGAGGCGGAACGGAAGGAAGTCGAAGGACTGAACAAGAGAAAGGAGCCGAACGTAGTTCCCGGCTGAGTGGATCACCTCAAAACACATATGTAATAAATGCGATAAATTACAACTTTGTATCTCAATAACTACATCTATTTAGGATAAGATATTAAGCATACATAATCTAGATAGTATTTCCGGCCTACTAATGTAGTATAGGAGAATAATTGTAAGTATCAACAGAGATATATATATTTCACTCTATTTTATGGTAAGCTATTGAAATAGTCTTGGGGGAAAAAAAGCAAGATTGAAGTATATCTATTTCTTAAGCCTAGAAGAATTTATATCCTGAGATTAGAAGAAAAATGGTATATTATGGTTGAATCATAGTGTAATAAAAACATCGCATCTACTATGTTATGTGTTTTGGGGTGATCCGCTCGAGCCGGAATTACGTTACATCCTGGCGCTTATATCAAATACCTGCAAGCACGGAGAGAGTAACCTCTGTTGGCTTAGGTTGTGTTATATTAATGAAGTTGGCTTGCATTGTTTAAATTAAGGAACGGAGGTTATATGGAAAATCACTGTAGATCCTCAACTGAGCAATATTACTGCGCAGCCTTTTGAGGTATTTCAGACAACAGAAGGGATCGATATCGGAATCGGCATGTATTGATAGCGTGAGCAATTTTGCCTCCCTCTCGACTACTGTTGGAGGACGGGCTACTACTATGGAGGGGAGAAAGCAGAGGAAGAATCATAATCTATTCATAATTAGCAAACCAGGGTTTATATATCCTGGTAAAACCATCCGAAAAGAGGCTCAGTCTGCAAGCAAACAAGCATCTATGGGATGCTCCATGGAGGATCTCAACAACTACTGCTTCGTCTGTCTTGTTACCTCTATTATGGCCAGGATGTTCAGCCCGTCACAGATAAGCACTTTTAGAAGAGTCGCTGATTGGTGGACAGGCAAGCAATTTCTGGCCACCGCGGCCATTTTCCACCCTAGTCCCCTTGCAAATGCAACATGCACGACGTGACTCGTAACCGACCACCAGAATGTGACGATAGACAGACTATCTCCTCAACACGGGCCAGCTAACCCTCTCGGGTGATCACCCACAGACTAGCGCCTGAATGGAGTCGGTCAGTGCCAATCCGCAACGAGAGCGATGAGTTTAAGGGGAGTTAACAGTGTGCAGGTCTCGTACATTTCGTATCTCCCCATTCGAAACTGATCCGAAAGCGGCCCGCGACCCGCAGATCGGAAATTAGCACCAGCGTGCCAACCGTCTATCTTTAGGGATGTAAAGCTTGTCAATCTTACTATGCATAGCGTGAAGGATGATAGAACTGGATCTAGGCATTCCGTCTTACCGATGTGCTAGCATCATGAAAAGTGTTTTCTTTTAACTCTGCCCTTCCTATCTCTTATTTTATTCATCGAAACAGCTTCCACTCTTTTCCGTCTTTCGGTCGTCTGTAACCATGTCGTCCTTCAAAAGCCTTTTCCTTCTCTTCATCCTCACTCCTATATTTGCTGCATCAACTGCCCCGCCACACGCATTCGGCCTTCAGACACGAGACCTACCGACAGGGACTTGTAATGTGAATACTCCTTGTGTGAATGGCGCATGTTGCGGAAGTGACAATCTTTGCGGATACTCGCCCAAGTCATGTGCAACCGGCTGTCAATCAAATTGTAAGTGAAATGACTTATTTTCATTGAACCACTGTATGCGGCGTCGTACCGGAACGTGGCTGTCGAACTTCCTGATTCGTTAAGTATTTGCCTTGTCGGGAGATATTAGTGAAAAACTCCAGCGCAAACCGCATGGTTTGATTAGCTTTACACATACAATTTAATTTGTACTTTTTCTTGAAAATTGGGTTGCGAGTCTCCTGGCAACTCATCTTCAAGTTTACTGCATAGACTTTTACTGGGATATGGACTGACTGACTAATTCAACAGGCAACGCAAAGGCTGAGTGTGGACCGTATGCGGTAGCAGGTAGTCAGGGATGCCCGCTGAACGTCTGTTGTTCGGAATTTGGCTTCTGTGGGTCTACACCTGAGTTTTGCGTTTGGAACAACACTGCCGATCCAAACTACAGCGAATGTAGTACCAAGTATGGCGGATGCGGCTCTGTTCCACGTCCATCATGCGGAGGGGCATCTGGGGTTTCCAAACGGAACGTTGGCTACTATGAGTCCTGGGCAAATACCCGTTCTTGCCAAAGCGTTTCCCCTGAAGACCTTAATCTTGATGGCTTCACATCCATCAATTTTGCATTTGCGTCCTTTGATGCCAGCAGCTTCTCAATAACGCCCATGGATTCAAATGCAGGTTCTCTGTATAGTCGATTTACCGCCTTGAAGAGTAAGAAGCCTGGGCTGCAGGCCTTTATCTCCATTGGCGGATGGTCCTTTACAGATCCTGGACCAACGCAAAAAGCCTACACGAACATGGTGAGTAGCGAAGGAAACCGAGCGATGTTTATCAACAATGTTATCAACTTCATGGAGACTTATGGTTTCGATGGTGCGGATCTGGACTGGGAGTATCCAGGAGCCGATGACCGTGGGGGTGTTCCCGCAGATACTGCGAACTATGTCGCCCTGTGCAAAGAGATGAGCGCCGCGTTTGGATCCAAATTTCAGCTCACCGTCACAATTCCCACGTCATATTGGTATCTCCAGCACTTTGACCTCGCCAATATGCAGGACTCCATAAGCTGGTTCAATCTCATGGCATACGATTTGCACGGAATCTGGTAAGTGGAAGTTACCTATCTATAGATATAGAGGGCTAACCAATACGTGCTATAGGGATGCGCAGAGCCAATATGTAGGCCCCTACATTGCTCCTCATACCAATATTACCGAGATTGACTTGGCCTTGGATTTGCTTTGGCGCGCTGGTGTCGATTCAAATAAGGTCGTCATGGGCCAAGGCTGGTATGGCCGAAGTTTCACACTAGTGGACCCTAGCTGCAATACCCCTAATGGCATCTGCAAGTTCCCAAGTACTAACGGAGGCGGCAACCCTGGACCATGCTCGAAGGCGAGTGGAATCCTCGATTACCAAGAAATCGCCGATATCATTAAGAAGAACAGCCTGATCCCCGTTCATGATAAGACTGCCGGTGTCAAGTGGATCACTTGGGACACCAATCAATGGGTGTCCTATGATGATGCAGATACTTTTGCGCAGAAGCGCGATTTCGCGAGTAGCCGGTGCCTGGGTGGCATGATGGTTTGGGCTATGGATCAAGTCGATCAGACGGCGAGCAATGGCTTCGGTGGCGCTTCAGGCGCGGCTGGTGTCACCGTGACCCCTGACCAGCAAGCAAACGCGAACCAGGCCACTGCTGATCAAGCGGCTACCGGGACCTGTTACACCGAGGATTGCGGTGTTCCCTGCAAGGCCGGCACGAATGAAGTTGTTCAGTACAATGGCCAGCCTGGCCAACTGAGTACCAACGACCGCTGTCAAAAGAAGCAATATCGAAGTCTCTGTTGTGACGACAAAACACAGGTGGGGACATGCACTTGGCGCGGGTACAGAGGCACAGGTCTAAGCTGCACCAGTGGGTGTGCTTCTGGAGAGACAGAGCTCACAACGAACACCAACCAGCATACCAAAAAAGGCGATAGAAACTGTCACGGAGGCGTCCAGAGTTTTTGCTGCGCGAACTTCAAGCCCACTACTAGTTCGCTGAAACAGGACCTCGAAGATGCTGCAAAAGCCGCTGCGGAGGCTGCCGCTCAGCAGGCTGCGCTTGATATCGCAGCCAAAGCTTTCTGCCGCGTTGCTGTTCCTGCTCTTTTGGCGCCTTTGGAAGCTCTTGAGGACCTTATCCCAATTTTTGGTGAGATTGCTGATCTCATTGAAATTGCCGCAACACCAGCGATCATACAAGGTTGCGTCAAGGGTATCGAGAAGGAGGGTTCTGCTGAGTTCAAAGTGTTTGGCAAAAAGCACACAGTGTCGTGAGTGATGAATAACCATTTAGATGATTATCTCAGGTTACCTCTGTCTTGGTATAGTCGCTGATTGAGATGAGCCGGTAGATTGAATGAGCCCGCTGGAAAACCAACAGATGTTCCCGACAGACCTAGCGCTTCAGATCATCCACCAGCGAAGACAGGTATTTTGCCTAGCTGTTCAGATGAGAAAGCGAATACTAATCAAGTACTCAGGCGACAAGGGCGAGCCTACGTGCAAACCCAAAGCAAAACGAGGTAGCGAAATCCGGGCTGCACCTAAGCCCGTACCGACGGAGAGCATTTATGACGCCGACAGCAGAGAGTTCAAGATCCTGATGAAAGCCAGCAAGATACCTAGTAGTGCGTGGACAGTGAGCAGGAACGGGGAGGGACACGCCATGCGACTAAGCGTAGGTTCCTAACTCGATAATCCCATGTAATACTCGCATGGAAAAGGCTAACACAATCTGTCTAGGTGCGGCCCAAGTTCTTCTCAGTTCCTCATGCCATTTACATTGCGGGCTATGTCGTAATTGAATACCATGATCAAGAAATAAAGGATCAATGTGGTAAGTCTAATCTTGTTTCTCTGAACATTCTGTATAGAGAACGCATCGGCACTGGCCATGGGAGGGCGCGGTTTGTTACAAAACACCTACTTGCAGGATCCCATCATCACTTGACATTTCCAACCCTTCTCCAAATAAAGACTAACATGCGTCCCTTGCCAGGAGAGGTCGTACGCGTCCAGCGCCAGTGGAACCGCGAGTACAACGCCGGAGAATACGATTTGGTCTTCGACCCACGCCCAGACCAGAACCCGACAAGGGCATGCACCCTTGGTGATCACGCCGGGGCACTCAATTGGGCGACCGCCCTCCAAAATGCATCCCCGCACTACAAGTATCTCGGTCGCATCAAACCGGGCCTGGCCAACAGCGATATTATAACAGAGTCAAACATGGTGCTCGCGAATATGGGGAAATACAGTCAGATTAGAAATAATTGCTTTACTTTTGTCAAGAAGATATACGCGGATGAGGCCGCGTAGATAAGAGGATGTTGTTGCCTGTTGATGAGGCGATGGAGGGCTGGCAAGAATTTACTGCTTCTGGAATACTGTATATAAAGTCGAAATCAAACTTTGGACAGTTTATACCACTGTTAGTTTGCTTTAATGTATATAGCATGTTAGGCCGTAAGCTGTGCTAGATGAAATAGCAACGTATTTATTAAATATAACATATATTTTTCAAGGTATCTAGTAAGTTTATATTTTAATATCAATAGATCGGAGTAAATTTAAAGCGAAAGATTAAGGAAAGCGCTAAGGCTACATATACTAAGATATTTTAATAAAATTTATAGATATAGTAGATTAAAACTAGGCTTTTATATAAAGTTAGTAAAATAGCTATAAATAATAACTGTTTACCTTTGGATCACGAGTTGCTTTCTTTTCGTGTTCCACTCCCTGCACTTTATGCCTAAGGCAACTACGCTAAAAGTGGATAAATTTGTCCACTAAGCGTTAAAGGGATATGTCGAACTGGGATATGGCACCCCCTAGGCCTTAAACAGGAACCTTGGTTTTTGTATGGTCTAGTGGAAAAAATGGCTGTATTTTTTCCCACAGGATACCATAAGTTGCATGAAATTCACGTGATACGCCTACCGAACCTCATCCTGACACGGGGCAGTGATCCTGGGATGCTTTTGAACACCATCAACAACAAACATCGACAACGAAAACAACAGGCAACCTGAGACATTCCCGGTATCTGACGCTATAAGCAAAGAAAATAGGTCTCAACAGCAGAAAATGGCCTGGCGCGACCGCCTTGTCATATTGCTGTTCGGCCACACCAAGGCATCCGCTGAGCGAGCGACGCGACGATATCTCGAAGACATCAATTCTGCTTCTTGCCTAAACCATCTGGATAAAGCACTTGATCAACTGCTGGATGGTATCAAAGATGTCGAGAAGATCTTCTCAAACTATGCAACGACCAATCCCAGCGGCAAACGCGTGTGGAACAGAGACAGCTTTGCTAGATACATTAACGCCAGGCTACCTGAAAACCCAGCAGTGACTACTTGCGTACCACTACTCTGGTGCATTTTCTCTACCGGGGCCTACTTTCCTTTCTCGGCACCGTCAAACGAACCAGAAATCGATGTCAAAGCGTTCAGGAGAGCATTTGCATTCATTGTCTCACGCGGTTATGAGCTTTTAGGAGCCAATTCAAATGGCCAGCCTTTTTCCACAATCACAGAAAAGTTCTACATAGACAAGGTGCCGCGACTCACACGTATCGTCTTCAGGAGCTTGAGCACTCCTTGGCCGAAATCAGGGACCCAGTCTCAGGATCCGGAGGAATCGCTCCAGCTTCAAGATATCAAAGATACTATTGCTTTTACGCAACCCATTATAAATGAGAATATGCACCATGGACGAGCTACAGTAGCCGATGGGGAGTTTGAAGCCGCTGCATATCGCCTTCTACTTGCTGACCACAAGCGGTCGACAGTCAGAGGGTCATCTATTGCAGTAAGCAAAGCCGATTTGCAGATTTTAATTCAGCTCTTCTTATTGCAACGTGCAGAAGATAGACGCTGGGGAGCTGGGCTGTCCTATCACGACATGTACCAACGCTCCGGAGACATTATGTTCTCTCGTCTCATTCCCGGCCCGGACGAAGTATCACGAGCTTCCGAATTTGCATCTGCCTTTTTAGCTTTTCAGTTTCCGGGTAGCGATGATTATGTGACATGGGAGCAGTTCAAAGCCTGTTGCTCGGAATGTGTAAGCATCTCCCGAGTGTTTTTATATCAATACAGACTGACTCATCTCTGGTTAGCCTTCATTCATCTTCTCTTTCTTCCAGCTCTGGGCTACCGTATTTATACTTACCACCGCACCGCAAGCTCCTCGTGCTGAGGGCAAGTCCACTCTTTTAATCAGCACCACAAACATTCTATCCTTCCTGAATGTTGCCCACTTCCTTAGTGGAAAACTGCCAAATTACCGCTTTCATCAAAATGAGTCCCTATTCCAGCTCGATCTGCAAGCCTCCACTTTGGTGGCCAATCTCGCCACGACGCCTGAGCTTAGTGTCGAGGAACTGCACAAGATCATAGCGGCGCAGGACTGGTTCCACGTGATGCTTATCCGAGGAGAGGATCTGAAGGCCGAGGGAAAGAGCTCTAGTAGGCTCATCGTAGCTTTCACGAGTCCGCCGGAGAAGGAGATGTGGCGACCAGAGGGGAAGCGCTCGATGCAATACGTTTGGCGGACTTCTGTGGTTCAATTGGAGCCAGATCTTGCTGTGGCGGATAGCGGAGGCATGAGTGCGAGTGTGGTGGACAAAGTACTAGAATTACGATCCCACGGAGGGGCAGGGAAGGAAGACACAAGTATGAAAGTCGATTTGGCGGGGAAAATAGTTAATGTTAAGGGGCTCGGTACTGGGCTTGCGGAAAATGCGGAAAATAAGAATGCGGTGGGATCGTCTGAGGCTACGTCGACGTTCGTAATGCGGCTGGCCAACTTGAAATGTTATCGTATGCCTGGTATGTCGTCGAAAATTACCAGGTCGGGATGAAGAGCGGCTGCGGCTAGACTGAAAATCAGTTGAGGCTATTTTTTTTTTGACATATAGACAGGGAGGATTTCTCCACAGCATCGAAAACTCTCAGAGCTAATCAACAAAAAAAAAACAAATACAAAGGGTGGCGAAGTACACTAGGGCAAGCTCAAAGCCGGATTTTCTTAGCAAACTCGGTTGGGCTTTGGCTTAGCACTAGCACGTGTTTAGCAAAAGACTTAAGACTTACCCTTCCTTATCTCTTCTCCCCTCAACCACCAAGTCAAATTTCACATCGAATAAAAACGATCAGTTCAATATGAACGACCTCCGAAATAGCCTTTGCACTTACCCAGACTGGGGATATGTCATCTATCGCACTACCTACTCTGCTGAATCAGATACTCTATTCCCAGACGCTATCAGATATATTGAGGCCTGTATTAAGCAAGCATTCTTCCAAGAAAACAAAGAAGATCCTACAAATGAGCCTAGCGAAATTTGGGCCAAACACCGGTCGACTATCGTGCAAGATCCCGCGCAATTTAACGGGGCGTCTCTCGAGGCAATTCGCGCTCATTTTGAGGCCTGGGTGAACGCTCAAGGCATGCGTGACGATTGGACCAAATGGCGAATGTGTATGATTATCGATGAAGAATCTCTACAATCGCTGAAAGGTCTATCAGTCGAGGCCCTTGAAAATGAAAGGCCAGAGAATTCCGATGATGAGCTACGATATGTAAAGGTTCTTGAAGCATTCCCGTATACGGATCAGTATGACAAATTTCCGGGCTGGATGAAATGTTGGATATATGCGCTCTGGGATCTCTGGGCGATGATGGGAGATGGTGATGAGATGAGGCAGTTGTTTGACTGTATTGATGATTTTCCATTTGAGGGGGTGTACTGCGGATGATTTAGTGATGTTTTGGTTGATGACAATGTGGAGTGCATTAGAGATGTGTGGTTCTAAGGTTGTGCAAAATATCGTTCGACGGGTTGCAATTAGAACAAAATTTAACTTGAGGAACAAAATATATATGCAAATAATCCTTCATCTCTGTTCTCCACTTCCTCAACAGTCACCAGTGATAGTAATGGTAGAACTCGTAGACGAGCACCAGTCAGTTCCGCAACCAGAATATCACGGCTGTGACGATTTTCCTCCTAAAAAAAGAGGCGCCGTTTGGTCGATCAGAGTTATGAGCGATAGACTTCCGTCTAGACCGGGTCGATGACCTCCTGGGGACGACAAAGCTAGTTATCATTTGACTAGCTTCATGCTCTGCTGCCATAAAAAGCTTCTGTGAGCTCCTCAATTGGATAAGGTGGGTTAAGGGATCACGATCGCCATCTTTAACCAGCGAGATACAAGGGAACACGGTGAGAACGTTCACATCTCGAGCACCCTGATCCTGCCTATCTGGGAGCGCACTGTCTCCGGGGAAGTGGAAAGGCTCACAGTCCTCAATCTCGAAATCAACTAGCTCAAAATCTGTCTCATATCTCTGCGGAGCACGTTGGATTGGAAGCCAAAATCCAGCCGCTTTTTGGACAATCTTCTCTATACTTATGCGAATCGAATCATGTTGGGTCTCTGAGAGCAATGGCCACAAGTATGACGACACATTGCGGATCACCGTCTGAATCCTTGCCTGGCGATTTCTTTCTTCGGCATTGCGATCAACCGAGAGAAGGACGCGTCGGCAGAAACTTTCCTTCTCGGTATTATTCTCGGCGAGGTGACTGAGGACTCCCTGGATTTCAGAATCATCCGGTAAAAGGTAATTAGGTTGGAAAATGTATTTGCAAAGTTCCCTCGACAGGATGGCCATAGTCATAGCTAGACGCATTCCTTTAGCTTCGAGAGAGTTTGAGGGTACCAGAGGGATATTATTTTGGGCAATTTGAGCATTTTCTTTTCGAAGCTTTTCCCAGATCGATTTGTCCTTTTGATCGAACGATGAGTGGATATGGTCATAAAGCGGGTTCAGATAGATGCATACCTTCAAGACTTCCTCATCAAGGTCCTCTCTCAAAATGGCGAATACCTCGCTCGAAGCAAAGACCCATATATCTGAAAAGTTAACCATTCTGGGTGAGATCAATTAGCGTACGAACTTTGCCAAATGCCCACACGCAGCTCACATTGAATTTTCGACAAGCTCTAATTCCTGAACAGTGAAGCTTTCTAGGTTTTGGAGTCGGCCTTGGCTCGCTTGTAGTGCTTGATCCAATGAGGCTTTTTCAGCTTCCAGCTCTTCTATCTTCTTCTGCGCTGATGAAAACATTGATTTGAGACTTGATCCAGCAGTCTTCATCTTGTCAATCGTCTTGTCTTTCTCTTTTAAATTCTGTTGGAGTGTGCTGATGTCCTTCGCTGACTGAGAAACTTTGCTGAGCTCCAATGAGTATGATGACTTGATGCTGTCGATCTGCTGGCGGAGGCCTTGTACTTCTTTGGAGTAGTCGGTAAGATGTTTGTCTTTCTGGTTAACTGATGCACAAAGTGACTCGACCCGGTCAAGGGCGTCTTTTTGCTTTGCCTTTTCGCTCTCGTTAGCTGCAAACATTTCCTCGATAGCGACTCGCTTTCTCTCCTTCAGCTCGAGCACTTGATCTTGGGCTTTCTTCAGCTCTTCGTCTCTAGCGTGGACTTGTTCACGCTGATGGCCTATTTCTTCAAGCATGGTGGACACGGTTTGGGATTCGGGACTTGAAGCCAGCATATTAACTAGTTTAAGAAATTTCTTAAGGCCATCGCTGTCAACGGATGAAGGTGCAACACATTGGCTTGCATTTGAAGGGCTTTGAGGGCTGGGAGACATGATAAGAAGCCTGTGTTGAGTTCTAATAGCGAGAGGACTGCCAATTTGAGGAAGCAAAGTTTTGCTGGTCTGATAATGGGAATAACAAGAGATTCTGACGCATTTATATTTCTCTGTTCCAGAAGACGTGCCAGGAAAAGTACCAGGGCCGATTGTTACACCTCTGCACAGATTCCGAACGTAGAGTACATGCGAACAGATGTCCAACAAAAGTACGAGGAAGGTTTATGAGCCTCATAATTCAAGGCGCAAGAGAAGTGATGCTGTTTTATGCGTGCAAGAGTAGGAAGACTTGCAACGTGTTCTCTATTCTGTGGGTTTAATGTACGCGAGTCATTGCATGCATATTGTGTACATCCATGTCTAGCTACGTGTATTTAGGAATATGGTCGCCTCGTTGGGGCGAGTGCATCTCTTGGCGATCAGAAAATCAAGCGGTTCATTACAGATACCTCGGTCAAGGGCTTCCAGCTTATGCGTTGAAGCTGAAGAGGCAAGATCTGGGCATTTACTGCATTCTTGCGTCTCGGAATAAGAAAACGAATGTTCGTCCCTTGAGAAGAATTCACAGAGATTCACAGAGACTCACAGATCTTTTTCAAGATACAGTAGTTTAATTCAGGCTGCTTCTGCATCAAAGAGCCCTTTACAACAGTAATTGTACGATCTTGGAACATAAAAATTTCCATATGCTTGGTCTGCGAAGGTTTTATTCTGTTGCATAAATACTTTGTGTTGGGCTACTAACTATGGGGAGAGAGAGAGAGAAGAGGAATCATGATCTATTCAATCTATCTAGAGCAGGGGATTTATACCCTGCCAAACAAAGAAAGGGCTCAGTCTGCAAACAAATGGAGGCATCAATGAGATGACTAGACAAAGGCATCAATGGGATGACCGACATAGTCCAACACTTTGAAATCAACATTTGAACAGTCAGGATATCCTATCCTTCTACCCAAGTGGCTCCCCTCGCCAGCAAATTCCGACATGTCATGGTTACAGATATATGAGTTGACAAACGATTCATTCCGGTAATAGCAAGGCATTTAGTGTGCCTGAGCTTGACCTATGCTTCGAGTTAGGCAAAAGCCCTAGCTATTCGTCCACCGCCACGCTGAGTCTCTTGTTGATTGCATATCACCGACAGGGATTGAAACAAGATGGGAAGCGCTGTTGTGTTGGCAGTAAGGCTGACTGAACATACCAGGGTTAGAAACCAGTCATTTCGCATGCACTGAGGGACTTAACAACCTCATTTGACAACGAGCCATGCGGTCGCATGAGGGTACAGCTTCCCCCACGGCAATCAACCGATATCTGTATTTATGTCGTCACGAGAGCAAAAGCCACTCTGCTCTTCTCTGAATTAACTCGGAGCTCGGTTCATTTACTGGGGCCTATGACAACCAGTCAAGGGTCTTATTAACGGCCCGAGGCCTTCCAAAATGGTGTTGAGAATCCAGGTTAATTCTCAGTAATTAACATGGAGCTTTCAACGCTAAGCCTAATTCGGCATGCTTTATGCATTACGAATCACTAACTTATGCAACCCCCATGCCAAGAACCTCGAGGTCCTACGGAATCGAGATTAGCGCGTCGATGCAGCTTGCCGTCTACACCACTAATTCCTGTATACAACCGCCAGTTTGTTGTATCACAGGGAGTCATTTCAATTCGGGCTGCATTCAGTGTTATCACCGCTCATTCAGCTTCTTTCTGATTCCACCTCTCTGTTCCCATACAAATTGATAGATTCCAGGGGAGAAGAAGAAGCCTATAAATATGGGCTTCTTTCTATGTATGAAGAGATCAGACAGTTTTACAATTTCATTTCTGGCACTATATTCATAGTTCCATTTATCTTTGCACGAGATACTCCATCTATTTTACATGCTGTATAGTCCCTCAGTGTACTATTTCAACAAATGGGTAATGGCAGGTAAAGGACAGGTGAGACAAAAGAATCATAAATCCACTCCCTCCCCCCCCCCCCCCCCTCTCCTTTCGAATATAGGCTTCTTATCATCCAACGCAGGAGGATACTGAAGTTCCATCCCGCCACGAAATTTCGATTATCTAACATTTTCAATCCAATCCAAAAATTCAAAACAAGAAATAAACGACGAGATGCATATTTTTATTTACGTTATTGTCGCCGTCATTGGTCTTTCCTTGTCCTTTGCGCATTGCTATCAATTTAACGCATTCAACTTCAGCAGGTGCTGGCGCATAATCGGAAGAAAACCTCTATTCAAAAAACGCTACAACCGACTGACTCCACTGCAGTCAAGAGCTATTCCAAACCAAAGACTTCGTGTTGCCTTTGGAATTGATAACGCATTCACTAGCCACGAAGAGTTTCGTGTGAAGCAATTTATCGTCCAAGCAAAAAGTCTTATCAACCTTAGCCCAACCGCTTGGAACCTTCTTTCGGACATCGCCCACAGGGCAGTGCGGCGCAGCATCAAAGATACAACGGCTAACGGTCACGGGGAGATAAAAATCCGTGTTATGGATCTGGTCCAAGCATTGACACTACGAATGGTTCTTCAGGTGCTGTTTTCGATGGAAGACGAAGCCCTCAACCTTCCTGACAGTTGTTTAATCGAGCTTGCCAACGCAATAAACATCACCTGGATAAATTCAAAGATTAAAACAACATCAACTCCATTCGAAAACAACTCCCACCTTCAAGAGGCCATCCTGGGTATATTCCCTGCAACACAAGACCTGAACCCGCAGAACAACCCGCTGAACATGATCCTGCCTGGCTTTGAAACCATGTGGCGAATTGCTATATGTATGTTTATTGAGACAGGATATACTACCGGCTTTCAACATCCAGAATGGCGAACGCAACTAGCCGCATTTGCTCGCACTCCCAGCAAAGCCGTGTTCGTGCAGAAGGTCGGTATAGATAACGTCTCGGTGGAACAACTTGTGAATGAGGCACTGCGTCTGTATCCACCTACAAAAAGAGTGTATCGAGCCTTTCAGTGTTACGAGTCAAGTGTCTCCGAGGTCGAGGCCGCAGATATCGAGGGGTCTCACACAGCAGCGCACATCTGGGGATCAGGGGCCATGTTCTTCGACCCAAAGCGATGGGATGCTTTGACAAGCACGCAAAAACACGCATTTATCCCGTTCGGCAAAAAGCCGTTTGTTTGCCCTGCGCAGAGTGTATTCGGACCTAGGGTAATTGGGCTGATTGTGGGCGTCTTATTAATGGAACTAGGGGAGGATTGGACATTGAAATTTATTGGAAGTGATGGCAAAGACCTACGTCCGGAGACGAGGCTAAGCAACGAGCGGAATTCGTATGATTGCCTGTACCTAACCCATGGGGGTAATTCTTTTGCGCCTCAAGGGAACTAGTGTTCGTCACGCGATGTTAAATATAACTAGTAACTAACTAGGGAAAGAAGTGGGCCTAATACCTGAGGAAATTAATTTTCGAAGGCCCGAAGCATTTAAATCCCCAATAGTCAGAGATCTGAATTTTAGTACAGTACATGTCGACTTCGGTTTGTTGAAACCGCTCGGACGGTCTCATGTTTTGAAGAGTAGGAGACAGGCATTTTGTATAAGAAAGACATTTCGAAAAAGGGGGCGGGCTGTACTTGAAATTTGCTAGCATGAGCTAACTATCTAGCTATCTATCACTATCTGGATCTGTCCCATGTGGGGCAGCTGTCTAAGGCAGAATAAGGCACCCACCAAACACACATGCTGTGCGGTGGTTGTGAGTAAGAATACTTACAGCGCCAATTCAATCCTCAGAATTTCATACTAGACTCTCAAGAACTGCACAGATAGCCGAAATATCATCAAAAACGGCTAATGGTTTTGAAATTGAACCTCGAGTGGCTCCAGTCCCTCCTTTGGATTCTTCCATAACCACCCGGCCAAGTAACAATTTGATACACGCCCCCGATCAATCCCCGATGGGGTTGACCGGTGGCCAGATTGTATGTGAGATGCTTCGAAGACAGAATGTTGATTCTATCTGTAAGTTGACCCTGAAGGGAGAGTTAGATTTGCTTCGTGATTTCCGTGCGCAAGCCGATGATATAGGAACTGACGAAATAAACAATGAGCAGTTGGATATTCCGGCGGGGCGATTCTGCCAGTCTTTGATGCTCTATACGGATGCCCTCATTTCCGATTTGTTCTTCTGCGACATGAGCAAGGGGCCGGTCATATGGAGCAGGGATATTCCCGCGCGTCCAGGAAACCAGGAGTTGTTCTGACGACCTCGGGACCGGGTGCAACCAACCTCATCACAACTTTACAGGATGCGCTGAAAGATGGTACTCCACTAGTTGTTCTCACCGGAGAAGTTGCAACCAATGCCATGGGTACGGATGCCTTTCAAGAGGCAGATGTGATTGGCATTACAGGTCCTTGTACCAAATGGAATCCTGTAGTATGAGACATCCGAGATCTTCCTGAATAATTCATTTCGCATTGTCCAGAGTGGACGAAAGGGCCCTGTTCTAGTGGCACTACCCAAGGATGTGACTAACGCCGTCCTCGAAGCTCCAGCTGAATCTAGTTCATTTCACTGGGGCCTTCCTAAATTGGATAACCCCATTTTCGAGCTGATGCCCTCGCAACCGACCGATCAACGAGCATTAAACGATGCGCGGATATTATTAACAAAGCTCAGAAAACCGTTATATACGCAGGTAACGGAGTGCTTTCGTGCTGAGGGCCTGGAAGTACTGGCACAACTGGCCGAAACTGCCTGCCTTCCAGTTGCCACTAGTATCCTCGGGATTGGATGTTTTGATGAGCACGATTTCAAGTCACTTCGCATGCTAGGAATGCATGGTACTGCATATGCAAATAAAGCGATTTAAGAGGCTGACCTGGTGATTGCTTTAGGCACACGCTTTGACGATCGTGCCGTAGGCGACCCTAATCGCTTTGCTCCTGTCGCAAGAGCGGCTGGCAAAGATCAACGCGGCGGCTATCATCCACTTTGAAATCCACCGCCAACATATCAATAAAGTCATTCAGTGTGATGAATTCGCCCAAGGTTATGTTATCGCCGGTCTTACTGAATTACTTCCGCATGTCCGGAAGGTGGAGAGCAGGCCGGAGTGGATGGGCCGGATTTTTCCAATTGGAAGAAGATATTCCCAATCAACCTGACGCCTCCGAAGCAAGCAACGCGAATATCTCCCGAGTCCGTTATTTTAGTGCTGAGTGACCTTACTGAAAAACTATGCAAACAGACCATTGTTACCACTCGTTGGGTCACATCAGATGTGGGCAGCCCAGTTCTTCCGATAGACAGAGAATCGCTCGTTGATCACTTCCGAGGGAGCAGGGACCATGGGTTTCGGGCTTCCTGCAGCCATTGGCGCCCAAGTGGCAAAACCTAATGCAGTGGTCATTTATATTGATGGTGACGTATCCCTTTGTATGTCACTGCATGAGATGTGTTTTGCCGCGGAGATAAAGTTTAAGATCAAAATCCTGGTACTCAACAACGCCGATCAAGGCATGGTTACACAATGGCAGGCTCTCAATTACGATAAACGATACTCTCACACTCACCAACGAAATCCAGACTTTGTGAAGGTGGTTGATGGAATGGGTATCGAGGCTCAGCGATTGGATGTTGCGTCTGATATCACAGACCAACTCGAGTGGTTCATTCGCTCAGAGGCCCTATCCTTGCTAGAGGTGAAGGTGGACGAAAAGATGCCCGAGCTTCCCTGGGTTACTCCCGGTAAGGCACTAGATGAGATTATTATGAGTCCCAGCCAGATTGGGACTTCTAAGAAATAGGAGGGAAGATTCTTTAACAAGAGGGTTTGCTGAGCGAATTGCAGAATCTATTTGGAAAACCAAGGATGGAAGAACGTTTCCGCCGACTCTCAAGGATCTTAATTGATGCTTTAATCTTGCTTTTGGCTACTTAGACTGGATTAGTTTGAATTTATTTGAAATATTTAGCTAACCCTTGCTTATTCGCTGGGGCATAATGGAGATGGTCGTCGGCAAATCAATTTTGCTGCATAGATTGTCCGAGCGGTCGACCTAATGCACAATGCAGTGCGAGGCAACTGAAAGGAGTAAGATTGAAATAAAATATATAAGTAAGTAAAGCCTGTGCTTCGGGCCGGAATCGGTAGTAGCTTTAGTTCGAATTAAGCCACGCATGTGTACATTCTCCTGTGCAGAACTGAAATATGTCATTTGATCCTAGTACGTGAAAACCTGCATATGAAAATGTCATAGTATGGTGTGGATGACCTGTATTGTAATGGTTTTCGTGATTTCATTACCTCGCCCAATTAAATAATTAGCCTAAAGCCAACTTGCTGTGCATACGTTCGTCCGAGCCGAAAGGCACGCCACGGCAATCTAGGGATGGTGCAACCACACTTATGCCTATCGTTACTCAGCAATGCTGATTCTTTCCACTCTGAATTCTCATGTACCGAGCGATCAATTGCAACTTTGCGTCTACATTGTGTCACAGATAGTATCCCTCTATGGCGTCCAATTTATTTATATAGGAGACAAAGCCGGCTGGCATTCAATTTATTCACGATATATTTAAAACCGAGCACCGCTATTCATTCCTAACATCGCCTTTATTATAATTACTATCATCAACTCTGCCGGAAATATGTGCACCCGTGTACTGGAAGTGATTCTAGGATTCTTCAATACAATCCTCGATATCATTCTCTTTGTGTTGAGCTTCAAGGTATTTCCCTTGGCCTGGCATGTAAGCGAATCTACACGTTAACCGACAAACCTCTTTGAGCTTCTACTAAGTCAAGCCTAGGCAAGAAACTACTACTCAGCTCTTTTTCGCAATACACTAAATAATCGGCCCGTTCCTCTCACTACACTCAATATGCCGACCATCTTCCTACCGACTATATGGACATCTAACACGCCATTAGGCGAGATAGACATAATGGGCCACAAAACCAATTCCACATACGCCACGGACTTCGATGTCGCTCGAAACTATCACATGTGCTCGCTCTTTCGGGTTGGAATGAAGAGCTGGGGCGATTTGTCCTTCGTCAACCCCCAACCCAATGATACTTATGGCACTGGGGCATTGTTTCCGGCACTAGCTGGATTGAATATTACATTCCACAGAGCCATTCGCCCTCGGCAGAAGTATGAGATATCCACTCGTGTTCTCTCGTGGGATGATAAATGGATACATCTCATTTCACACTTCGTGGAAAGGGGAAGCTGCAAGCCTGTTCATTTTACTGATCAACGGAATCCCCAGCGTGATCCTGAAATGAACATCGGCGATTTGGCACATGTTACCTGCGACTATCGGGGTCCACCCTCACGATCTGTCGTGTTCGCCACTGCGATGGCGAAAATTGTCTTTAAAAAGGGTCGCAAGACAGTTCCTCCTGCTCAATTTCTAGTTGATTGTGGTCTTCTTCCTCGTCAAGAAATTGTTGTTCCACACGGGTCCACCCAGAAGCCTTGTGAGGAAGAAAAGTTCGATGACAACAATATGATCAAGATCGGAGAGAACATCGAAGAAATAAGGGCTACAGGCTACCAAATGGCAGAGCGGCTCAATGCTCTAGCTGAAGGATGTTCGTTTTATAACATGAGTGAGAAGGTCTTCTTTTCCAAGTGCTGAAGGGCAGTGGCTTTGTGTTGAATTTGCCTCGCCAGAATATACATACTTTGACGACCACAGTCATGAGTTTGTGTATCATGCCAATCAACCATACTAAAGTATGGTCTCTATAATTCAATTTAAACACAATGTATATGATCTGGGATCTAAATTATGATTTTAACGTAGAGTATCCGGGTAAGAGTCCCTTCGCAATTCATATAATTTCGAAATCTGACACATATGTCAGGTCTACTCTTGCGAGTACCAAAATACAGTCATGGACCTCCTTAATATCTGAGTCAACCCTAACCGGGATGGGTTACCGTATTGGCCGACACCTAATGATGCCCCTGATTCCTGCTCCTGCAACCTCGGCCAAATCGACCGAAAAAAATATCTGATCACCAATCAATTGACCGAGTGCTCGAATAACAACACAAATGTCGAGCAATTATCTGATACTGATGCGATGATTGAATACGGACAAGCGTGTCTATGTTGTGGATACAGTGCTATTATCTCTACGTATGATTCCGTTCCGGAGCTTAAAGAAGTTCCTTTTTTACTCTTCTGTTGCTAAGGATGTTATTTAGTATCTGGGACACGTGTCCTGGCACCAAACCCTCCCTACTGGGTGCAGATGATTGCTTTGCTGGCGCTCTCACTTCTGGCCACTGGGAAGACTGCGGGCCATACCTCGAGAAGTATGATTGCGCCGGTGATCTGGGCTATGGTCGGGCCGACGCCGGTGGGATCAGCAAATTCTACCACCCTAGCAGCATGCTGAGCAATGGCACGAAAACCACGTTTAATGTGGGCGGCGTCGTCTCCACCCCGGTCAGTGGTGATACTTTTACATGGACCTTTGGGTCATCGGTGATACACGCTGTCACTGTCTCTTCGGAAGATGCTACTGCAACGAGTACTGTGACTGGTACGGCAGAGAGTGACGTAAAGCCTGGGAAGGGGTCTTCTTTGATTGTTCCCTCCTGGGCCATCATTGGCATTGCTGGTATTTTGATACTATCCACTTTGTGAGGATTCAAGATATTGTTTACGTATGAAGATATCCAGAGTCCCTCCATTGGGACCAATGGATCACACCTGGTTGCTTTGTAATAAGCCAATAACCATAGATTTCTGCAATTCAGTATATACATGTACAGTAGCCCTGAAGATGTTCTGCTTCGCATGACATGCGTTAAACAACCTAATCCTTCTTAGCTCTTGCAGTCCTTGTCCTTGCCCCCCTCAAGTTTCATTCCTCTCTGCTATAGATACCTATATTGGTACAGGTACTCCGCAATCCTCTTACTGGATAGCAATATCGGAACAGGAGAGATAGATCTGACCAGTTTGGAAAGAGTTCCACTTCCAAGAGAGCAAAATGTGGTTCGAGACGTAGTCCGGAATCTTGATCTTCTTCGAGACAGTGTAACCGCCGGCGATTGTTGTCTCGCAGGAACCAAGCTCAGAATTGTCGACACCCTGGCACTTAGTATCATCAAAGCCGTTACAGGTGAACCAGTCATTGCGGTGGCAAGCTTCGCCCTCACCACAGTCAGCACTGTAGTCGCAGGTCTGTCCATCGACACCTGTGCATTCAAGAAGACCTTCATCGAAGCAGGCCTCAGCTGTCTGTTTCTCCTCGTCGGTTGGCAGGTAATCCGCATCCAGGAATTTGTCCACAATATCTTGATCTTGACAGACACGGTAGCTGAACATGCCACCGTGATCACCGTTGTGGTCAACACACCACACGACGTCAATGACACCGCATCCGACGCCTGGCCGCTATACACCTGCGTAGCCGAGTATGTAGTTATATTTAAATTCATGGGGGTTTTTGACCAGCAGTATATTATATAATCATGGGGGTGTGGGGCCAGGGGTGTAAAAACTTATGTCCAGTCACTGTACTCCGTACCCCACTCCACAACTCCATAACTCCACAACATAGTTACCTCCATACATGTTCTTTCCGCGACTTTTGAACCACATCCCTTGTCCCTACAGTCTATAGCTCTTTCCGCTACAGTTCTTTCCGTGACTTCCAAACGTCCTTTGCCCAAGCCCATCATGTCGCGCCCTTCCGAACCTGAGCTCCGCGCGAACCTTAGCCCACCACCTTCTCCAGAGATGAGCAGCAGTTGTGCGAAAAAGTTCGTTGACCAGTCGGACTTTGAATCTCATATCTTGAATGCAATTCGCAGCGCATCTGAGCCTCAAGTATTGGTTTTCACTGATGTGAGCTCGTCGTGGGGAGAGAGGATAGTGGACTTGATAAATGAAACCTCTGACGGACATTCCACTCGGTAAGTTACTACAACCCATATATGCTCTCCCGTCGAATTTTATTAACACTTATTCTCTTAGCAAAAGTTATAATTCGTCAATCAAAGTCTTACGAATCAGAATTATGCCGACTGAAGTACACGACTGCTGTCAAGATTGGTGGCGTGTGTCAGAGATTACCTTACGCGATGTCGGTGACTTAACTGGTTATGAACAAGCGCAAATTGATGTACGCGTTGGCACGAGTAAGCTACCATACGCTTCTCTCACTTGACTTCTTATATACTAAATTGCTACAGTGCTGCAGTTCCCATGGGGGCCTTATACCTCTTCACGCAAGGAGCCAGACCTCTTTGTCCGATCAAGTTGCGACCGTCTTCCGTCTTTCGTTATTGAGTCCGGTTGGAGTGAATCCTGGAATGCCTTGATGAATGATATGAACCTTTTATTGGTCGGCGGAAATGGAGATGTTCGCGCTGTTGCTATCCTGAAGTGGAACCTGAACCGTCCAACGAGACTTGTGAGTGGGTTTGTCGAACTCTATGTCAGGGACAGAAATGGTATACCAGTGAAGCGCCAACGAGAGGTATGTTCAAGACCTTGACTTTCATTAGTCGATTTACTAACGGTGTTTAGGAAATTTTCCCAGTCCCTACTGAAACTGGAACTCAACGACTTGAATTGACTCGGCAAGAAGTATTTGGCCCTCACCTCACACCTGACCCAGCACGCACACAATCTCCTAACACAATATTATATCTTGAGATAGAGGATTTGCGGGCAGTAGCCCTTCGGGCACTGCACCGTATGGACCTCTCCCCGGCTTGACAACGCTTCTTATTCCTCCGGTGCAGAACTTGCTCCACTTGGGTCTTATGATTGACGATGGCTCCCTTTTTTTCTTCCTTTCTGTATGTATTTTATTGTTCTTGCTATCCATAGGTGGTGTATGGCTATACAGAGCACATCTATTTTCGAATTCCTTGCTTAATTTGCGCCAGCAATCACATACATCTACCAATGATGCCCATATTTCTACTACGAACCTCGTACACCATTAAACTTAGTTTGGGCTCAAAATTCCACCAACGCGCTGCTCGTAAGTCATTCTCCTAGAGATTTCTCTAAGCGGATTGATCCTTCTATAAGGCTGGAACTAATAGGTTTATTTTAGGACATTTTCTTGTTTGAAGTGGTTCATGGTTAGACTATGGTTATCACAGACTAATTACAGTCAATCTGCGCCCAGAGACAAGTTTCCCATAGTCAAACCGTAGTCAAACCGTAGTACGATCGTGAGCTCAAAGACTTCGGAGGGCATGCGGATATGATTGATCCATGGACAAATCATAGTCAGACCATGGTTGTACTGAGGCCTCTTAAGTGAACGAAGATGAGTAGTGTCAGACCGGAATCTGACCCGCCTCTCCTTGGCCGCGACTCCTCCTGTAGACTCTAATGGATGGCTCCCAGAAGCTGGAGCAACCTGGCAACTACTACAGAAGATTCAAATTGATGCTAAGGAGATGAAATTTGCACTCTATGCAATGGAAAATTCAACAAAGAGGGTGAATTGGAAGAAAGTTATCAATACAAGTTGGGAGGAAGAACCCCTCCGACGGAGGCGGTATGAAAACAGAATGAATGCATAGAAAAAAAAATGAATCCTCTCAAGTAGTAGTCCTCTTTACTCAAACAGGTGCATCGGGGCGCGTATCGAGATCGCTGAGGAGCGCCAGAACAGCATTGATCGCCACAATCTGAGCTTGAACCAGGCGAATCTGGGTTTAATTCAGCGCGCCGAGGGGTTGTGAAAGGGCGCTCTGGTGACGGTGGGAAAACAGAATGAATGCATAGAAAAAAAAACCGAATCCTCCTCTTAAGTAGTAGTCCTCTTTGCTCAGACAGGTGCATTGGGGCGCGTAACGAGATCGCTCAGGAGCGCCAGAAGAGCATTGATCGCCTCAATCTGAGCTTGGTCCAGGCGAGTTTGGGTTTCATTCAGCGCGCCAAGGGGTTGTGAAAGGGCACTCTGGTGACGGCGGGCTGCGGTCAGATTCTGCATTGTTAAGTTGATGTATCCGGATAGAGTGGTCAGTACTGCAGCGGATCGGGTCCTATCTGTCCCCTGGGCCTGGGCGATGTAGGCCTGTAGAAGGCTCATGGTGTCGATTGCTGTTTGTAGATAGGTCTCGACCGACTCATGCGATTGTTGAACACGCTGACGGGCTCGCTCCACCTCCTGTCTCAGCCTTGTGGCCTGAGTAATGTTTTGCTGTATGGGTATCAAATCTTGTTAAGTTAAGACTTGTGGCGGGGCTGGGGCACCGGCCTGGCGCGTGGATCGGGTACCGGCCTGCGCTTGTCGGTTGGCGTCAGGGCTCAAGGGCGCACGTCGATTCGAAGAAGCGGGCTGGGAAATGGGCGGTGGGGTCGGACTTGGCCACCGACAACGAGAATCTTGGGATCGAAAGTGGCAATTGGCGCAGCAAGTCACTTCCTCCGCTCCTACGACGGTCACACAATGTGTGAACGGCCCGCACCCTTCTTGACATGGCACACACTGAACCTCCATGACAGTCCCAACTACCTGCATGAGAGCGGCCTCGATGTTTTTAGTGCGATCTGATATCATCCCGTCCTCGGTAGCATTGGTCTAATGACGGTGTGAACGCCAGGATGGCTCCCGATGTGGTGGGAGCTGGATAAGGTATCGGAGGGTGGGGGTCCTGAGGCGAGATCCCCGGCGAGAACGTCGGTATGGAAGCTCAAGAATTCTCTAAGCCCAGAGCCCTGGAGGCTCTATTCGGCTTCCAATATGGATGGGGGGAATAAGGACTGGAATTCCCTGGTCTGCCGAAGCAGGCTCGGGGAGACGACTAATGAGGTTAGCACAATTCAGCCACTATAGAAGCCATAGAGACTTACTTGGCCATTGGTTCGAATGGTTTAATGAGAATAGGAATTGATTGTAGGCTAGAACGCGAGAAAACGATGGGTGCTGTTGCTGGATTGTGACAGAGTGTGAAGATGGTTAAAGAGAAGGAAGAACGTGAACGAAAAAATGAGTTATTTCCATTTATGCGTATTTAGCTATAATTCATATCATATCTCTGCTGTTCGTATCCGAATTCCTTTCCTCCCCCCTAAGCGTCTCTGCTATTCGCATCCGACTTCTTTTCCTCCTTCCTAAGCGCCTCCAGGGTTTGCAAAATGCCTTTCCGCTTGATCTCTTTGTTCTTGATCATTCCCTGGAGCGTCACAATATCTGTGTCTATATCCAGAAGACAAAGCTCCAGGGTTTCAATGGCCTCCGACCTAACGTTTTAAGGTAGGGGCTCCGCTGGACTGTGGTCCGTGGTTGAGGATGGGTGTGTGCCATCCGGTGTATTGGTTTCCTCCTGGTTGAGAATTGGGACAGGTTGGTTTGGAGTGCAAGGTTGGTTTGGAGTGTAGCACTTTTGCACGCTGGTCGCACAGTCTGATTCTGGTTTCAGGCTGCATCGTGTAGCTATGCCGCCGAAGTGGCAGTTGGCGCATTCAGTAGCCTCCCCAGACTCACTCGGGATCTGGACGCAGGCTAGGAAAGGACCAACCCCCCTAGCGCAATGGCTGCAGCTCATATCTCCCGGCATATCCCTACCGACCACTTGGGCGTGAATAGCCTCGATGTTGACTTTCTTGCCGCTGATCATCTCGTCTAGCCTTGGCCCATCCCAAGACTTGATCTGTCGAAGTACAGGCTCTCGAACCGGGGATTGAGATTTCAGGAAATGCAGAAGCTCCCCTTGCTTAGCATAATATCGGATGGCCCTTACCCAGGGGCGCTGAAGGACTCGCCGAGCCCAGTATCCGGGCTTCTGGTTTGGATCTCCACCAAGCATTGGGGCTTTCCAATGGCCGAGTGCTTCACCATCTGAATCATTTCTGGCTGAATGGTCACCACTAGCTTTTAGCGGTGGTTCAATTGGAATCGCTATATCTAGGACTTGTTAGTCCATGGTCTTGATTCACTAGCCTCTTGTTCTTTGTCCGTGTCTTAGGGCAACATACCTGGCATGTCGGTGGCTTTTTCAAATATATCGCGGCTGAAAGCCAGCAGGATGAAGATGAATGGGTCGGTAGGGCTGAGAGATACTTGTTCTTCACTTGCCAGATGAAATAAACTCACGAACGATGGATCAGCGAGCCGCAGCACTTGATATAGACTTGGAAAGAGAAGCTTGTTCTTCACTTGTGAGAAGAAGTAAAGTCACGATGTCCTATGCTCTACCGGACCCACCTTGATTGTTCACTCAGATTTAGTCACAGCTCACTGGTATGAATGTTATGATGCTTTGCATCACCTACGTGTTTGGTATGACCGGTCTCACTTGAAACTCGAACCTTGTCGCATCCAGCAGCCATGGCCTGGTATAAAACAAAATTCTACCACATCGTCGATTTGACCGTTTGGTAACTTTACCTATGCCCAGAAATGCTGTCAAAGGTACACACACAATGTAAACCAACAATGCTACAGTTATAGCACTAGTATCCGAGTATTATCGACTGGGCCCCATTCCTAGCGCTAAGGGATCGATTAATTCGACTGCACGCTGTTATAGGTAATAAAAATGTCGACCTATCTACCGTACTTCTAGCTGTAGATATAGTATCTCTATCTCTGTCCCTAAGTGTGCTTAAGCGATATTCAAACTTTTAAATATAGACTACGGGGTTTCTTAATATAAGCTCGATCTATCGTTCTTTAGGACTTATCCTATACTATTCGACCCTAAGAATAATATTGTAGTAAAGGGTGTGTCTATAAGGCCAAATAGTCAAACACGCTTGCCCTATCTAAGTCGTTTAGATGACTTGACCTTCTAGACGTCCCGGAGCTTTATAGAATTTCATACTCTCGCACCTTCTTGACTGGGCCTTAGGGCAATTGAATAAATTCGGCCTGTATGCTAGGTAGCGATAGTACGGAATCTAATCGACTAGGGCTTTATAATATATAGTGAGACGAAAGGGAATAGGAACTTATATGCAAGGAAACGTTCTATCAGATTGTTCGTGGCCAATCGTTATAGTTCTCATTCGGGTCATAGTAAGGTCCATAGTTAGTTGACTAACCGTCTTCCCACGGTCATTAGGGAATTCTATATACCAGACGGGTCACTAGATCCTGTTGGTAAACTAAAAGAAGCTAGTTGAATCGCTAGAATGAGAATGGTAGTGGGCAGCGACATTGCCAACAAAAGAATATCCTTGATGTTCACTCAGTTCATGTAAGAGTCTAACCTCAAATCCGAGCTTGGTTCGACTGTCCGGGGTGACAAGGTAGCCATGTCCAGCAACAATGGTGGACAATGAGCCCACTAGCACAACCGCGGCAGACTTCATGATTTCGAGGGAAGGTCGTAGTTTGTTTGAGGTAAAGTGAATGATTGAAATCGGATACAGACCAAACCAAGTGTTTGGGATAGGCCCTTTTATATTCTCATGCCTCGCTATTTCGTACTTCATCCATTCCCGAGTTGGGCTATTGCTGCTGCACAAGACCTGATCCTACCTTTTCTACAGGGTGCGGACAAGAAGGCCAATCATGAAGAGTAGTTCTATTGGTAGAACATTCTGTGAAGATTCTGGCTCAGCTAGTCCTTTACAAAGATGATCAGCATCGACGCTTCCAAGTGTAGAACGGAACGGGGAACCGGAGTTGCCAAATATATGATCGAGTGATTGGATTACCCATCACGGTTAAATTCGATATTGCTATGCAGGGGACCTCGTAACGCGTCCGAGGAAATTCCGAGCTTGGCAGTCGCTTAGCTGAAGGATACAACGCCCGATATATTTCCACCAAAGAACAACTTCAAGGCCCAGAAGATTAGATCGATATGCAGGACAAACGCAACACGCATGATTTTAGAGATGTTTCTACGAATATCAATTCATCTCTGTCATACGGGATAGTTGGTTTTCCTTTTAATTTTGCTTCACCGCAGCTTGGCTTCAAATAAAATGTTTGGAATAGACAGTTTGTCTCTATACCGTATTCTTCATCTAACTGAAACCCTTGGCTTTTCCGTGACAATGGTGGCTGCGGGGTATTTCAGCCTTTTCAGCCTTTTCAGCCTTTTCAGCCTTTTCAGCCTTTTTTACGCCATGGCGCTCGGAACAGAAAGCTCGCCGGAGCATCTCGGCTTTACGGGGGTTTCCCGACTATTGTCCGACAACTCATTGTGTCTGTTTTTGGTAATTTTGACGTTGTGCCCCTGATCGCATGTGCCCCTGATCGCATGTGCCCCTGATCGCATGTGCCCCTGATCGCATGTGCCCCTGATCGCATGTGCCCCCAGAAATTACATCCCTAGAATCTCGCCTAGAAAGTTTTGTCAGTCACGGCCGTCATCTACATCAGCACGAATCAGGCATCTATCACCCTACGGACTCGGATATCACTACCTTTTTTTGTCTGACGACACCAGATTATCTAATGACAAGGGTGTACATCGATGTGTGGCTGGGTTAGGGATTTTAGCTACACGAGTGGGGCTGTACCACGGCATTTTTCATTCTATACCTAGGTAGGGCGTAACACCTGCTTCCTGAATACCCGGCCCGGCACTGGATCATTAGCAGAAGTGGGAAGTGGGCGTGACTGTGGGCCTCGAGCGACTCAGTTTCCAAACCATGGGAATGAGGATGCAAGATAAAGAAGACAGGTTGAGACACAAGTCTGGACAACAGTGACACTGCTCAACTACTAGCAGATTCATTCTAGGATTTCCTCTGCCACTTCTCGGCTTTCCCCTTCCGTTTTAGCGCGTAGGCATTGCTGCCTTTTGTCATGTACGTACGCAGATATATGACATCTGGATGTAAAGGGGTAGGAACCAGATATGGTAAAGTGCAAGATCTATGATCTCGAAATATGGAATCAGAGGGAATTTTATATGACATGAATGATGCGAGACACTGCCATGCAAAGAGAAAGTGATGTTCCACCCCTCTGCAATTCTCGAACGATAGATACTATATCAACCCACAGTGTGGACATCTACTGCAATGGCTAACCTCCTATCCCACAGGCGAATAATTGCTAGACGCAATGCATGATCCTCATTATACCACTACCGGGCCAGCTAACCCCGCCCAGTAAGTTCCTTTTCATGCATACTGGGCTTGATCTCCTCTCTCGTAGGCACGGTGTCCAGTGCATCGATAGTGATGTCAACACGAGGACCGGTGAAATTCTTGCTTCCATCCACAAACCACTGGAACACGGAGATGATGATAATAACAGCAAATGCTGCAATGCAGTAATCTATACAGGTAGGTTAGTGAACAAACTGTCATAGATAACTCCACAGGTAAACTCACTCATACTACTTCCCGTGACCGTGCTTGATGGAGGGAAGACAAACAGGACGGTAGTCAAAGCGATATATGATAAAGCAACCTAGTAATGATCAGAGATGTTCCACTGTATTCAAATCATAACTGCAACATACCAAATCGACGAACCATCCAAGTGCATTGGGCAATTTCCATTTTCTTTCTGGGAGCGATTTTCGCCCCTGAAGACAGTTGATGGCAATGGGTATTCCATAAGACAGATCAAGAGCAACGACTGAGGCTGAGATAATTGCGTTGAAAGCACTAAATTCTGTTAGTTACCATTTGCACGATCACCCACGGATTGTAAATTTCACCTTGTAGAGCCTAGGAAGATGCATCCGAATGCGATCACCACAACAACACTAAGAATGAGTGCGTTGAGGGGCAATTTAAGCGTTGGGTGAACTTTTGCAAAGAACCGGGAGGCAGGGAGACCCCCATCTCTGTGAAGAATGAGTATATGCGTTGTATGCAGGAAAGAAGATCAAATACCTTGCAAAAGCAAAGATCATTCGGCTGCTAGTCGTCATGACGCTAATTATAGCAAAGACCAAACAGACTAGAGGCAACCTATACCATCGCGTCAGAGTGGAAACACAATAAGGGAACGTTTCACCACATACATCAAAAGGCAGATACCCCCGGCATTGCTTTTGGTCGCATCGATCAGGATCTGCAGAAGCGGACCGGCTGCGGAGGTTGCGACCTTTTCCATGTTTCCTGCAACGAATAGAAGGACTATCAAAAATATAGAACCGGTGAACACCCCGATACCCACACAAGTAACCATGATTTTCGGTCCCTCTATGTCAGCGTTTGGCACCTCTAAAAACGTGATGTGTCAGTCCCTCTCTCTATCTTCTGAGACCCAGGGTAATCCTTTACCTTCGATCATGTGCGCCACCGCATCCTAGATATTGTTAGTTGGATTGGGTTTGGTATCGCAATGAGCATGATGACCTACAAAAGCAGTCACGCCAAGCCCTCCCTGAAGCAACTGGAATATCTGTTAATATCATTGCAGTCTTATGGTGAGCATAGTAAACATACACCTAGAAGCCATGCCACTCCATCAGGCCCTAGGCTGAATTAGCAAAACTATCATAATGGAATTATCGGGGAGTCATACAGCCTGTTGTATTGACAAAGTCGCAGAACACGAAGCTGTGGGTGTCAGCAGTCCCCCATAAACTTGATATCACTAGTGGAGCTCATACTAAGCTGAGTTGTAGTTGGGAGCAGCGCATGCGAGACACGTAATTGACACAATCACAAAACCTCCAATTGACCACATGACTGGATATTGTTAGCAATGGAACGAGCCAGACTAGAAGAGGGTAACCTACAAGCACCGCGGTAAATGACTGGCAAGATGGAGTTCATGAAAGCATTGATGATGAAGGAGCCAACGGTCAATCCAATGTAGATAAGAAATTGATGCCAGCGTTGCGGGACATAGCTCTGCAACTCACGTTAGTATTGCGGTAAGAGTATGTGCGAGTTTTCTCACCTCGTGAAGAACGGAAATGACGCCAACAATAAGCTGACTAGAAAGAAGGGAGTTCGTCGCAACTAGGGCAATCTGGCATTTGTAAGTTTGGGAACCACATTGGATCGTTGCCTTGCCTACCCAGCCTGCCACATTGATCCAGCCTGTAACCCATGATAGAATTGGTACTGTGCTCGGCCACGCAACTTTCGATTGGTTAGTATGAACTGTGACGAGGTATCAGAGAGAAACATACTAGCTGGCATCAAAGTTAGCGTTGGTTCAAGTCATTGTGTTTGTAGGTACATAGTGACATACCTGCAACCCAATGATACTGTCCACCGGCTCTGCAAAACAAGGAGAAAAAAAGTCAGTCTGGTGTAGCTATCAAAAGGGCCGGGAGACATGTCGGAGCTTACGTCGGATATGCCGAGAGAAATTCAGCCAGCGAACATGCGATACAAAGATTGCAGAATCCTGCAGTAACCAGTCCTAGAATTTGCGTGTCAGCGAGATCTCAGAAACCATGCATTTTCCTAAATGAACATACCCCAAATCACACTTGTACTGCCACCAGATGTAAGACTAATCGACAAGCTGGCCGAAAGCGCAGTCCACGACTAGTCTGGTTAGCTAAATACCCCGGTCGCAATCCATGCCTGACATACATTAAGAACGGCAAAGGCCAACCCAAGCATTGACCTAGAAATTCCCGTCAGCATCATGCCTTGCATATGCTAGCGCATTTCCCTTACCATGTTGAATGACTACGTTGGAGTTCAGGCCGATGGCCCATGGCTGCCAACCGGGCATCATCGCCTTGGAGTGGAACGTCTTTCATAGTGGATCACGATTCAAAGACGAGAATATTTACAAATCCAAGAACCGGGGACAGGATCAATCTAAGTATCTCCCCCATTCAAACGCATCAGGAAGGCATTGCCAGACGAGTTCTCTTTGTGGTTAAGCTCCGATAGGGGGTCGTCTATTTTGTATGCGGGGAAGCTGTGCAGCTGCGAAGTATCTTATCTTAGAGGCTTGAGACGCTTATCACGAGTGTTTATACGCTAAGGTGCTAGTCGATGGTCGCGTGGACTTGCCCAACATCGTATAGTCTTGCTAACACCAATTAAAAATAACGGGAAAAGGGGACTTTTAATTAAATATTCCACTCGATAGAGGGAGCTTGGTGAAATACAGTGTATCATGGTGTAGAATGCAATTTCTAGATGTCAACGTTAAGGTGCTAACTTGCATTTCATCTCTCCACAGTGGGTTTTCCACGCTAAATGGCCCGAACAGATATGTAGTACCCCATATATGTCTAAGATAGCGAAGTATTAGGTTATATATACGGAGTGGCCCCGGGAATATATATCCATCACCTAGAAGTCAGTCTTTTCCATAACCAGAGAGCGAAATGTTCAACCAACAGTCGCTAAAGCCCTATATCGATACAAGGCGACAGTCGCGCTTGGAAAGATGCAATATACAACATACATTCTGAAACAATATTGGCGATTGTAAAGCTGCTTCAAATTGAAACCCATAAATGTACACAATCAAGCTAATACAGCATTAACTCCCCAAGATATGCCTATTCTCAGGGCATGTGGTGCCTTGGAATCCACCAAATCCCAAATAATCCCAAATCCCAAATCCTCGAAACTCCATCCAAACACGAATCGCAAATCGAGCAGAAGAATCCATCCTCCACATCAAGACTACCAGCATCTTGAAGTACGGATCCGATATTCATTGAACCTTGTAGGTGTCAAGTGCGTGCTGGACATCGTGCAGACTATTCTTGTCGCCGTATGCGTCCATCAACTGTTGGTTTCGCGCCAGGCGTTCCTGCTCCTCCAACATAGAGAGTTCCCGCCGTGACATGGCTTCGACGTAGTAATTGTATGCCCCAAAACCTGCACGTGCGCGAGTCAGTATGGTCCCTACAACATAAAAAGAATACGCAGAGACTAAACACACCGAGACCAATTGTAGCCATTAGAGGAATAAGCCTAAAGTGAAAAAAGTCAGCGAATCGTGGTACTGAAAGACCAAAAAAGGGGGCGGCACAACTTACAGCCGCCCATTCCGAGGCTTGAGGCTGGGAGTTGGGGCGTTTCCATATGGTTTGTTGGCACCGGGGAGAGCGAAATGAGACATGATATATATTTTGGATGTTGTAGTATGTTCTTGGAGAGTGTAGTTTGGGATATTTAAGAGTATTGAAGTGAAGAGGTAAAGCAAATAAATGAAGTAAATCCAAGGCCTAACGGAAGAAGCGGAATGCGGGGAATCATGACGTGAAAAGTCCGAGGATCGCTTCCGAGGATCGCTCCCGAGGTCTTTATAACCTGAGGTGATCAGCCCACATTCACCTAACCTGCAATAATTGCGTGGTGTTCTAATTTTTACATGTAGGTAGCATGTTACATTGAAATCATAAGTGAATCATCGTGTCGTGTGTCGTCCGCATTCGGAAAAGATTAAACCCGCCTCAGTCTACATATTCTCTATAATTTATATTGTTAATTCCAAAATTGCTTTGGTTTCCCAGAAGTATTATATGAGACCTGAGACCCGAGACCTGAGACCTGGTCATGCAAGTGCCTTAATTTCCATTGTTCTGAGGCGCAGGGGTTGCCGGACCCTCCGGGGTCACATAAGCCTGGGATAATTCATTAGCGCAATCTGGGGAAATTACCCTACACGTCACACTTACCTTGGTCATTCCACCATCGACCACAAAGTCCGTTCCATTCACGAAGCTGCTCTCATCGCTGGCCAGGAAAACCACAGCGTGAGCCTGCTCAATGGGTTCACCAAAGCGACCGGTGGGGAAGTGCACCTCCCGACGGAACCGCTTGGCCTGGTCATCACCCAGCCAGTCTTGCAGAAGAGGGGTGCTATACTATCGTTAGCTAATGTTCAGAAAAATCCAGTGGGAAAAAACTTACTTCAGGGGGGCGGGGCACAGAGCGTTGAAGCGGAATCCCTCACGGGCATGAACGATAGCCAACTCCCGAGTCATTGCCAGGACCGCACCCTTGCTCGCCGTGTACGCGAGTTGGGGAGTAGCAGCGCCAACCAAGGCGACGACACTAGCTGTGTTGATGATACTGCCACGGGCCTTCTTGTGACGACGCAGACTGAGGACAGCGTGCTTGCTGCCGAACCAGACACCCTTCACATTGATGTTGTGTGTGAGGTCCCAGATCTTCTCGGGGGTATCGATGGCATCTGCGTCGTTGGCGTGCATGATTCCAGCGTTGTTGAAGATCACGTCGGTGCCTCCCCAGCTATCCTGTGACTCAACCATTGCCTGCACATCCGACTCCTTGGACACATCACATCGGATCGACTCGACTCGACGGGCGGTGGGAACTACTTCCTTCACTTTGGCCAATGCCTTTGCGAGGGCGGGCTCGGAGACATCGGCCATCAGGACATTGGCACCCTCGCGGGCGAAGAGAATACTGGTTTCGAGACCGATGCCACTATCCAAGTCCAGAATCGGTTAGGATTTTTATCACGGTATTATATTTTTCGGGGATAAAACAATAGACATACCCGCCTGCACCTGTGATGATGGCATTCTTGCCTTGGAGACGTCCTTGGGGAGTAGTGGCAGCCATTATGACCTTATCTTGGAGCTCTATTTGTATAAATGGGATATAGGTTAGCAATGACTCAACCGCCAAAATCCCGGCAGTATGATATATGCATGGAAAACGCTATAGATGAGGTCACTCACATGAACTGAGAAGAATTGAATCAATATGAGAGTTGTCAATATCACCGAGTGTGTTGCACCGAAGGTATACGCGGGGCAGCGTGGATACCGTTAGGTAAGCGGTGACGATGTCCACGGGTTGGCCCGAAGCGGTAAGGCGTCACCGATATCTCGCTGATAAGCTTCCAAGCTGCCCAGGTGCGCTGGCCACTTGCCCGGAATCCCTGAACTTGATTTGCCCGATTTGTCTGTTGAAACGTGACTTTTATCGCTCTGTTCCCTCCTCTCCCTTCCCCTTACCATTGTTCCCTCCAATACTTTGGATCCCTATACCCCTCCTCTCACCCTTTGGCCCCGATCCATCATGTCGAGCCCCGCGGACCCTGAGGTCACAGCCGAGAATGTCGCCGAGGTTCTCCAGAATGATACAAAAGTGAAGGTGGCAGGAGTGGACGTGGATGGCATTTTGCGCGGCAAACTCATGAAGAAAGACAAGTTCTTATCCATCATTACCGAGGGCTTCGGCTTCTGCTCTGTCATCTTCGGCTGGGATCAACATGATGCGACGTATTATAAGGAGCTGGCCATCAGCAACAAGGAGAACGGATATCGCGACCTTGTCGCAGTCCCGGATTTACGCAGTTTCCGTCGCATTCCTTGGGAGAACAATGTACCATTTTTCCTTATCAGCTTCTTGGATCCAGACACACGCGAGCCAGTGTGCGCCTGCCCACGAGGATTGATAAAGACTGCGGCCGCTAAAGCTGAGGCGGCGGGGTATCGGGCGATGGCAGGAGGTATGTCCGACCGCAGACCAGGGTTTATGTGATTCAATGGCTGATCAGACTGATATTACCCAGCGGAATACGAATTCTACCAATTTCGCACGCCAGGCAACCATGCCACCCCCGAACAAGGAGCATCTGCAACAGCCGCCTTCCTCAAGTCGAATCCAGTCGATGCATTGCCACCGGTGACAGAAGGCATGTTTGGTTATTCAATCACTCGGCCCCTCCACAACCAAGATTACTACTATGGCATCTTCGACGCCTGCGAGCAGTTCCGATGCGATATTGAAGGATGGCATACTGAAAGTGGACCAGGAGTCTATGAAGCTGTTAGTTAGATGAGAGACTGAACGGGTCGCATTGGGGCTAAACATCGTGATAGGCATTACAATTTGGCGAAGCAAAGGACATGGCTGATAAGGCGGGGTTGTTCAAGTATGATTGTTCCTTTGCCAGCAGTTCAGGTTGCTCTTTCATCACGGGCCATTGCTAACGAGGGTGTTCGTATAGATACGTCGTCAAAGCATTCGGAATCAAGCATGGCATTACCCCATGCTTCATGGCCAAACCCCGACAAGGACTGCCAGGGAACAGCGGACACATGCACATCTCGCTCGTCACGGCCGACGGAAAGAATGCCTTCATTCGGGATACCCCCGATCCATCCCCCCTCTACCCCGATATCGTTCATCTGTCCGACTTGGGCCGACACTTCCTAGCTGGCCTTCTCGTCGGCCTGCCGGATATCATGCCGATCTTGGCCCCGACGATCAATTCCTACAAACGCCTGGTGGAGAACTTCTGGGCGCCGGTCACGGTCTCTTGGGGACTGGAGCACCGGGCCGCGTCAATCCGTCTGATCACCCCACCGACAGCCAGTCCGAAAGCGACCCGGTTCGAGGTGCGCGTGCCAGGTGCGGACACCAACGCGCATCTCGTCCTGGCGGCGATCTTGGCATTGGGATGGCGTGGAGTTGAGAAGAAGCTCGAGATCCCCGTGCCTCCTCTTGCCCGCGGTGAGGATATGGGCGGTGCTAGTGATCAGGGTGTGCGTCTGGCAAAGTCCTTGAAAGAGGCGATCGTTACATTTACGCGGCCGGAGAGTGTCGCACGGGAAGTCTTTGGTGATTCATTCGTTGAGCACTTTGCCGGAACTCGCGAACACGAGGTGCGCTTGTGGGAAGAGGCGGTGACTGATTGGTAAGTGATATCATCTACTGCGATATCCCTTTGGATGCTGACTTGACATTTTCATAGGGAGATGAAGCGGTACATTGAGACCGTGTAAATGTCGCATTTCTTTTTCATGTTTAATTCTCCGATTTACAGAAAGACGCAGGATTCGGTAGGCATCGGGGGAAGAATTGTACATATTCACATTGGCCTGAGAGATGGGTGCATATGGGCGCGTAGGGGCACGACAGTAGCAGGGATACTGCCTCAGATATATACCAAATGACTTTCAACGTTGGATCGGAGGTTGTCGAGTTACCAGTTCGGGATGTATGTACATGTATGTTGTAGAGGCGATTTCGCTCCCGAAAAACATCACATGCGGTCACATGCCGAGGAAGACAGGGTGACGCAGAATACCGCCGGGACAACTCGGCTTCGGATATGACTCTTTTGAACCCTGCGAGATATGGATGATCAGAGACTGCCGCGGTTGATTGGTTTCCGGTGCAGGAGGATAGTATTCTACAGCCACCTTCGGGTGAAGCAGGGGGGTAAGCCAGGAATGAGTGTTGTTCAAAGTGGTACATATTAGATTCAAGAATTGGTCATTATCATCATGAATAAAAATCAAGCTATATATCTCTCAGGTCTTCCCAAAGATGTTGACCGAATTGAATAGCTCGATAAGACTCGGTGTGCGGCGCATGCCGTTATTGGGAGTGATGCGTATAGGAACATATAAGCTTAAAAGAACGGGGAACGGGGAATATCGGCCGAGAGGAAGCGTTTCCCGTGGGAAAGTCACGGTTTAACAGCTTGCATCTGCGGGCAGATTGAGAGACACGGTCAAATGGGGTTTCGGCTTATCATTGGGCGGGTCCAGGACCAACCGCGGCAACTTTGGTGGCTCTGACGTATTTGATACCCTCGGGCAGATGGCTATATAGGAAGAATATTAGTATTCCTTTTCCTCTATTTCTAGCTTCTCCTCTTGAAAATTGAATTCGATACTGATTCTGTATATGGAATACCCATAGTCCATCATTCATCCCATATCTCTACATATTCCATACACATACACATCATGTCTCACGTCGAAACACAGCTCAAGGATGTCGCTATCCTGGGCTCCATCAATAACGATGCTCGCAAGATCCTGACCAAGGAGGCATGTGCCTTTTTGGCTCTGTTGCACCGCACCTTCAACCCCACCCGCAAAGCTCTTCTCCAGCGCCGCATCGATCGTCAAGCCGAGATTGATAAGGGCAACCTTCTCGACTTCCTCCCCCAGACTAAGCACATCCGTGAGAATGACGCCTGGAAGGGTGCTCCTCCCGCTCCAGGTCTCGTGGACCGCCGTGTTGAGATTACTGGCCCCACCGACCGCAAGATGGTGGTGAACGCGCTGAACTCCGATGTCTGGACTTATATGGCTGATTTCGAGGATTCGAGCGCCCCGACTTGGGACAACATGGTGAACGGTCAGGTCAACCTGTACGATGCTATCCGCCGGCAGGTCGACTTCAAGCAGGGCGATAAGGAGTACAAGCTCCGGACTGACCGCACCCTGCCTACTCTGATTGCCCGTGCTCGTGGCTGGCACCTGGATGAGAAGCACT